TTTTGACCAAATAAGCGAGATCATCATCTCATCCCATAGCATATTGCCGCCAGAATCCGGTATGGATTGGTGCGTACCATTCCCTCCTGAAACTCAAAAGAAGTTCATCTTAAATCTTGAACAAAAAAAAGTATAATAACGATAGTATGTTATTTATACAAAAATTAACATCTTAAACTCAAAATGATGTCTTTATACGGGGTAACAGAAGAAGATACGTTCAAACAGATTTTAACCCCCAATAAAACATATTATAATAGATAAAAAAAACCTCTAGAATCAAAATTCTTCACAAATTTTCTTAAATTCGACAATATATGAATAATAATTAACTCGACTAATATAAAAAACTGGACTAACTCGTTATAAAAAAAAAACTCGACTAACTTGTTCTTGTGGTCAGTGTCGTCTTAAAAAATGATGAGAAATGGAAACAAAATTAGGTGGAAATAGTTCTGATTTATCGAAAGGTTTGAAATCAAGACACATAACGCCCATAACCTTGGTAGAGTTTATTTCGCTAATGAATTTTCAACCAGGACTTGACAATTGCAGAAATGGTACAAGACTCATTATATATGGCAACAAGAAAATAAATGAAAATGGTATCAGAAACTTAAAACAAACATCTCAACTAAATCACTATTACATGTGAATAGAAAGAAGAGGTGCTCAGACAAAGGAGCATTTGAAATGAAATACAAAAAAAAAAAAAAAAAAAAAAAGAGAAAGACAATCATCATCATAGAGAGATACATGTGTTGCAGAGAGGTATCTAATAGCTATGATACCTCAGAAATGAAAACTAAATAACGCATAGGACTAAACAATACTCAAAGGGATAGAGATAAATCAATGCCAAATCCTTCAGATCCTTGAGATTTCCCCTGTTGTGGCTGATCATCATCATCATCATCATCATCAATCTCCACAATATCCATGCCCTTTCCATTAATCTTTGAGATCAAATTCTTCTCGGTCATAACATTCTCCTGCGAAAACAAATCGCTAGAATGATTGGTGGTTCGAGGATGAGGAAAAGGAGGAACGTTTCTACGGATCATGGGGGGATTGTTGTTGTACGAGGGTCTGGGCTCAAATCCCCTAGAAGAAGAATCATTGGTGAAGAAGCGAGTAGGAGTCATGCGAGGAATGGCCATGTTGATGTCGGCGAGTGCACTGTTGAAGGATGGGTAAAGGCCGCTTCCCACGCGTTTGAAAGGTTCAAGAGTGATCCCAAGATGATTATCATTTGATAGCGCGTCTTGTGAATACCCACCAAAGAGCAAGTGAGGCCTGTCTAGGTAAGGGTTCAGAAAGGCGAGTCCTGGGAAGTCTGCTTCCATCTCCTTTCGCTTCTTGTCCCACTCCCGCTCTTGCTTGTGCGCATTCTGGTGACCACCTAGGGCTTGAGAGGTTGAGAACCCTTTGCTGCAAAAGTGACAAGTGAAGATCTTGTTCGATTTCGTCGGATAAAACTTCATGATCTCACTTCCTGTTCGGAGAGCACCGGATCTGGAACGAGGGTTCTCACTCCTCCTTTCAGACATAGCCTCATGAGGAGACCCTAGTCTCAGACTGTTGTTCTCCGTTGCCTTCTCCTTGGACTCTTCTCCCATGGCCACGAGAACGCCTTTGAGTTTTTCGGGTTGAGGGGTGGAAGAGCTTGAAGAAGACATATCATGGTTCTCCATGTAACAAATCTTTTTTTTTTCTTTGTTCGGCTTGACAAGTGATCTTTATCTCTTTGTGCTAGATTCAGAGAAATGAGGACGCTATATATGTAGAAGATAGTCTTAATGTTCGATAACTATTATGGTATAATATCTCCAAGGGTAAAATTATTTAAAATCAGAACTACTATGAATTCATATCTCAAAAGTTCTGGTTGCATGTTTCTTTAATTATGTTGATTTTACTACTTTTGTCTTTAATGATATTCTTGTGTAAAATTGGACCAATAACTTTGAACTCTTCTGTCTACCAAAATGCATTTTTATGATAAAATATAATTTAAAATAAATAGGTATTTTGTGTGAAATATGTATCAATATCAACTTACATGATTGATATTTTTTTAAGTTACATGTTTGTTACTCTGATCATCTTATTTGTATTCTTTTTATCTTTAAAAGTGACATTTGGGTAAAATTAATATGCACCGATATAATTTAGATAACTGGGTACATTCATATATGTGTTAAACGTATTTAAAATTTACTTGATAATATGCTAAAAGTGGTTCAAACATCCGTTAAACAACTGTTGCAAACTACTATTTTTTTCTATTCTTCTATGAATACACACGTTGTTTTTTGTGTGTAAGATATATTTAAATTTCAATATTAACATTAAAAAAAAAACAATTAATAAGAAACTAGTCAAAATAGCATCTTTCTTCTTTCACTCTTATGGAAGGATGTTGTTATTCTTCACTAATTTTATAGAAAATATTTTATCATTCCAAATACAAAAGAAACTGCAATGATATGGAAAAATTAACTTGGAAGATGTTTCATAAACACTGTACTAAGACAGCTTTGTCTTAGCCTGCTTGACTACAGTTCATTCTTTGTCATGAGAAAAGTTAGTAAAAATATTGTGAGTTTCTTTATTTAGTTTTTTGGTCGTAATCAACTTTTACTTTCTATGTTCTGACTGGGATATAAATACAGGAAACAATATGGTGCATGAACTAGAAAGAATGGCAGCTTTATTCTTAATATACATTTTTCAGATATACATATCCCAGGAAAAAAAAAAAGCTTGAATACCTTTAGTGTCATTTTTTTCTTAAATCAGAAGTACAGAAGGATTGGTAAAAAATGTCCAAGATACATTCATGAATACTGATTTCTTACTTCATAATATGTTGATTTGTTTTTATCCTTTTTTCACTAAAACAGAACAGCATTATGAAATTCCAAACATTTTTTTCTGTATTACCAACATTGTATTTTTCCATTTTCAAATTATATGTCTGTAAATAATTAAATCCAAGATGACATTCCATTAAAACTTATATACAAAGATGAACATCCTATATTCCTATGGGAATAAAAGATTAAAGGAGTAAATTTGCGTCTGTTTAGGAAGAGGTTCTCTAAAACTATTTGACAGATCTTATTAGTAGCTTTATTGCTAGTGAAAGTAAAGCTTGTGTCTAAAAATTGTTAGCCTTACTCCATATGTCCAAATTTATTTATAAATATACTTTATAATGTAATCCTTTTAACAATCTATATATATAATAGCAAAATAACATCTTGGAACAGCTGATGTCATCATTTTTTATAGGAAAAAATAATAAATCTAATGGTTGAGGTTGTTTTGATTAGTTTAGCTTAAAAAAATTAATGATTAGAATGTCATCACTGACATCATCTTTTATGTTAAACATATGTATATTTAATCTAACGGTTAATATTCTTTTATTATTATTGAACGGTGAAGATTTTGTTTGTGAATAGACACATATTTAAAATATTGTAACTTTGATGAACCATTGTGATCTTTTGTTTTAATCGTTAAAAAATACATCAATCTAATGATTTATAACTTTTGTTTTAAATTTAACGGTTAATATTATTCTTTTATATTTATTGTACATATACAAAATCGAAAAAATTATAATTCTTGTGAATCATTGTAATTTTTCACTCTGAAATCTATATATAATCCACCATTTATACTTATCTTATTATAGTAAAAAATATTCTTTTAATAAAAAAGATTTAAGTTATTTATGTAACAGTCATAATAAGCAATTCAAAATTAAAGAAAATACTGAGATTGGTCTTAAAATTCGTTGTTAGTCACATTCAACTAAATAACCATTTTCAATCAAAATATTGTGTCTTCATTATCCATTTTAGTAGTTTCCTACAAAGTAAATAAGGTTAATATGTTGGAAAATTTTATATTGTTTATCCATTGTTATGTCAATATTACACATTTATTATGATTTTCTGAACTACAAATATTAATAAATAGTTAAAAAATTAATAGGACAATTTATTTTACTTTGATTATGTATAGATAAGAGACGATGTCAGAAGCTCAAAAAACTAAATTAAATAGTTTTATAATGCATAGAAATTTTGAAAACAAAATAATAAAAATAAAAAATATATCAATTTCAGAATTTTATAATAAGCAAGGTAATAATTTTAATTGTTATTTATATGGGCTTAAGTTTTAGATGTATTATTATAAATTTTATTATATAACTTTTGTTTTGTTTTGTTTTAGGATGTCTATTAAAAATAAATGAAGCAGGTTATTTACACTTTTCTTAATTTTATATTATATAGATAATTGTGATGACATAGTATATAATTTTAATATCATAAAATTTATTATTATTTTTAAATTTAATATGTAATAGCATTTCAGAATATGTGAATATGATAATGAACTTTGAAAGATCTAAAGTAATTGGTAAACAAAGTTACAATGCTTTATTTATTTTAAAAGCCAGTTATTATTTATATTTTATCTTTAGATATCTAGCAGACATTAATTTTCTCTTTTTCTCTTTACTTCACCTTATGCTTATATTTACCAACTCTATTTTCTTAGAGTTACGTTTGTGAAACTAAGATTTCATATTTAATTACATTGGAACTAAAACTCTAAAAAATAATATATATATATATATATATATATATATATTATAGATTATGATTCTTCATGATACCATGGATCATACAGTATTGTTAAACCAAATTATTTTGGGCTGAAATTTTACAAAGGTTGTATAATTATCTAAACAAATTTGTAACTAAGGAGATTCATAAATAATCTCATTCATTATTTTGTCCACTAAATTATGTGAACAATTAAATTAAGATTATTAATATATTAATTTTCCATGTTTAGTAATTCATACAGAAAAATCAGAGAAAAAAACAAAACCACAAACCTATTTTTGGCTCTGCCTCTCTCGCTTACGAATTTCCCGCCAAACCTCATAAAACAAAGCAACCAAAACTATGAACCTCTTTATCTGTCGTAAACAAAACTATCATTGTAGATATTTTTAAAAATTATGCAAGATTCACACTCCTAAGGAGGCTACGTAAGCTTCGAAAGAGGAGTCTATAGAAAAATAATAAACAGCTCTTTAAAAAAATATAAACAAAAGGAGCTTTTCAATTTATATAAAACAAAACAAACAAAAAATATTGATAAAAGAAAACAAAACAAAAATGGCATACGGGTCATACGACGATGATTCAAAGAGGAAAAGGAGGTACGCAATTATCTCCATCTCCTCTGTTCTTCTAATCTCTATGGTTGTCGCCGTTACCATTAGCGTCAATAAGAACGATAACGGAGGTAACGAAGAAATCACGACTTCTGTTAAAGCCATCAAGGATGTCTGTGCGCCAACGGATTACAAGAAGACTTGTGAAGAGACTCTGAGGAAAGACGCCAAGGACACATCGGACCCGTTGGAGCTTGTGAAGACAGCGTTCAACGCGACGATGAAACAGATAAGTGACGTGGCGAAGAAGTCACAGACTATGATTGAGCTGCAAAAGGATCCAAGGACGAAGATGGCTTTGGACCAATGCAAGGAGCTAATGGATTACGCAATCGGTGAGCTTAGTAATTCGTTTGAGGAACTGGGAAGGTTCAAGTTTCACAAGCTTGATGAGGCGTTGATTAAACTAAGGGTTTGGCTCAGCGCGACCATCAGCCATGAGCAAACATGTTTTGAAGGGTTTCAAGGGACACAAGGTGATGCAGGTGAGACGATCAAGAAGGCGTTGAAAACCGCGGTGCAGCTAACGCACAACGGGCTCGCAATGGTCACCGAGATGTCAAACTACTTGGGGCAAATGCAGTTTCCGGAGGTGAATAATCGCCGGCTGCTGTCCCAAGATTTCCCTTCGTGGGCTGATGGGCGCGCGCGTAGGCTCATGACCGCTCCATTGTCCGAGGTCAAACCAGATATGGTGGTGGCGCAGGACGGAAGCGGTCAGTACAAGACGATCACCGAGGCTTTGCAAAATGTCCCCAAGAAGAGGAACGCGACTTTCGTGCTTCACATTAAGGAAGGAATCTATAAAGAGTTTGTTCAGGTGAATAGGACCATGCCGGATCTGGTTTTCATCGGCGATGGTCCCGAGAAAACCGTTATTTCAGGCGACAAAAATTTCAAGGACGGTATTACGACCTACCGTACCACCACCGTTGGTAATGATTCTTTAACGATATCTCTAACATTTTTTTTCTTTCTTGAATTGAGGCTTAACTATATGGTTAATTGTTCCAGCAATCGTGGGAGACCGTTTCATTGCCAAGAACATGGGGTTCGAGAACACGGCCGGGGCGATAAAGCATCAAGCGGTTGCGATTAGGGTTCTATCAGATGAGTCCATATTCTACAACTGTAAGTTCGTTGGTTACCAAGACACTCTCTACGCACATTCCCACCGTCAGTTTTACCGCGACTGTACCATCTCTGGCACCATCGATTTTCTCTTTGGAGACGCAGCCGCGGTATTCCAAAACTGTACATTCCTGGTGAGGAAGCCACTCTCGAACCAAGCATGCCCCATCACCGCCCACGGGCGTAAAGATCCGCGAGAATCCACGGGATTCGTGCTACAAGGGTGTACCATTGCTGGCGAACCGGATTACTTGGCAGTCAAGGAAACTAGCAAAGCTTATCTTGGGAGGCCATGGAAAGAGTATTCAAAGACCATCATCATGAACTCGTTCATTCCGGATTTCGTAGCGGCCGAAGGATGGCAGCCGTGGCAAGGCAACTTCGGGCTTGACACGCTCTTCTACTCGGAGGTGCGGAACATTGGGCCTGGTGCACCTGTCACGAACCGGGTTACTTGGCCCGGAATCAAGAAGTTGGCCGAAGAAGAAATTCTTAAATTCACGCCAGCTCAGTACATCCAAGGTGACTCTTGGATTCCGGGTAAAGGTGTTCCTTACACCCCCAGTTTGTTCACCGTAAACGGTTCACCAACTGATGCCGCTTCCTCCAATTCCACAACTACCGGTCCCGCCGAATCGGGCTCCACAAATTCTACCGGTACTGCAACCGGGCCAGGTTTGACGACAGATTCTCCAGCCGCTGCTCCAGGAGCCTCCACTAAAACCAATGGCTCAGCTTCACCATCAGCTTATCCTTCAGTTTCACCATCAGCTACTCCTTCAGCTTCACCATCAGCTTCTCCTTCGGCTTCACCATCAGTTTCTCCTTCAGATTCTCCATTGGTTACTCCTTCAGTTTCACCTTCGGCTTCTCCCACAAGTTCGGTTAAGACTGCGTCTAACTAGAGGCCGTGTGTGTGTACATATCTGTGCTTTCTACTCAAGAAAAGGATAAATATCTCGACAAACCTTGAGGCTTTTGTAAATGAAGTATATGATTAGCTTTGTAAATTCATGTTAAATCTCCCGGTATATATATGATTTTATTCACTTTATTTAACATTAGTTAGATATTGATCTGGAAGTATTAATGTGAGGATTGTTATTTTGTACCCCAATTGTATATAAGATTTCATATTTTTTCACATTCCATAGGCACAACTGGAACTGGTCCACGTATTTTTTCAATTTTTGGGCTTATAACCAATAACAGATTAATGATCAAGGTTCTGTGTTCGTTGTGTCGATCTCGAGGACTAGAGGTTCTGTGTTTTTGTATAGCGACATTAAACACTGTGGATGAAGGTGAAGCGGTAAGAGTTTACGAAAGCAAACAATGGCGGTTGGAAACGTTATTAACGATTTATAATTTTATATAACTAAACTTAACGGCTGAAGACAAATGTGATTGCTAGTTAGCATAAAAAAAAATTAGACTAAACTTCTCAGTACTCGCAAACACTAATTATGTTATTATAATTGGGCCGAATTGTATATTTTGGGCTGAGATAGCTACTCTTGACGTTTGCCCGTCTGCTATCAAGATCCGGGTAATCTCAAATTTCATAAAACTCCTCAATGTTTTAATATTTAAAATTAAGTACCATGAAGTCTTTTCTTACAAATTTAAGCCCACTAATTGTTCCGAACATAACTTTTTCTTACATAGTTGAGCAAAACCCTTAAGATCTAATCTCTCTGCTTGATTTCCCCTCTGAACAATGGCGGCTTCCTCGTCTGCCTCCTCCTCCGACGTGTCCTCCGATTCCTCAGACTCTCATCGCAGCCGTAAGGATCGCCGTCTCCGCCGTCGAAGCGACCGAGACAGGGACTCGCTCAAGGTACGAAAGAAGAGCCGGTCCAGCTCCAAACGACGTCGTAGACGCCAGCACCCTTCCGATTCCTCTGACTCTTCTTACTCCGATTCCTCCAGGTCCGTGGGTTTCTTGTAGAAACGCTATAAACTATCCTTCGCCGAAATATACATACGATTGAAAACCATAAATTTCTTGTTTGGTGTTAAAGAGCTTATAATTGCTTTTCGTTTCTGGATCAGAGCAACCTGGTTTCACGTGTTGATTTTGCTCCTCTATGTTAGCTCTTTCTTTTTGTTTGGTTTCATGGATACTGGATGAGAATATGTTCATAGAACTATAGCTTGATTTTAAACAGAAATTAGCGAAAAGAAAGAGTGATATATGCGTTTTTGTCGCAGTGATGAGAGCTCAGATAGTGAGCACGAGAGGTCACGAAGACGCAAGAAGCATGAAAAGCCAAAGAAGGTTACTTGTTTGCTCAATTTCACAATCGTGTGATGTCTCTCGTGTGATATTTGGAGCTTAAAAGTACTCTTTCTGTTTTACAGGCTAAGGATAAAGAGCGAAGCAAGAGTCATCGTCATAAACGGCATAAGAACAGAGACAGAAAGGTTGGTCACTTTGTCTCATTACGACTTGTGCTTAGAAAAATAACATCAAGATGACAAGTTACTTATATTACTTCTTTTGCCTTTCTCTGTGGCCTCTTCGAACTTGGAGCTGGGGTTGGTGACATGATAAACCGGGGACATTTTTGATTTTCCTGGTTTCTGTTTTCTTCGGTTTGTTTTTTTCTTTTTGGTCCTGGCAATGTGAGTTTTGTATAGAAAGGGGAAGGAGAAGGAAGCAGCGGGCCTGTGAAACTATCGAAGGTACCAAATCTAGATTACCCTTAAGATCGATCTCACTTCACATGAAGTTCCGGTTTCATTGCCATGAGTTTCACCGTGATTCATCTCTTTTATAATCCAGTTTTTGGGACGGGACAAGGACGATGGTGAGCGTAGAAGTGCTGTCTCAGGGAAAAAGGTTAGTCCAAGACTCGCTCTCTTGGGAAGATTTGGTTCGTTGCTCACATGCTTCTTCTGTGTTTTGGCTACAGATTCTGCTGAAGGTTGACAAGTCCAAGGAGGACAAAGCTGCAGAGAGCAAGAGAAATGAACTGCTTAAGTTCTTGAATGCAAGTTTCGACTAATTTTTATATTTCTAAACAACAAAAATGTAAGACGCTATTTGATCAGATTCTTGTTTGCGCATCTGTGTGTTGATTAAGATTCTCGTTTTGGTTTATCTAAGAAGACCAGTCTCATGGAATTGAGTTGATATTATGGCATGTCGAACTTGTTTTTTTCCCTTTATAATCCATCCTTTTTGTTCTTGGAAACTCTAGAAATGGTTTCGGAGAATTTATCGGTGCGTATATCAGATCAGTTCCGTTTCCGAGATCCAGTACGCAACTTTTGAGCCTTCTCCATTTACCATGAAGTTGTGTTATTGAGTTCCAGTATTGTTGGAGTACATAAACTTGATGGATTCTCTTATATCTACTTAGGTAATCTAAACGAGGTATAGCAGTAGTAGACAGAAGAATATTTAAAAAGTATTAAGCAAAGCATTTAATTGTCGATTAGAATAGAAAGACATAAAACTTGAAACAATGTCTGCAACATCCAAATAGGAACAAGAGTTCACTAGCAAAACTTCGATTCTGAAACCAAACATAGCGAAACAGGACTCTGAAAACAGCAGAGATCTCTTAGACCTTGAATCCACGACTCTTTCGCCTTCCTCTAGCTTTCTCAAACTTCCTTCCCTTAGACCGAACATACGGCTTAGAGTGGCTGTGGGGAACACCAGGAGCAAGCCCAAAGTGCTTCACTGCCTCACGAGAGTTCTTTGGTCCTCTAAGGAGAACCTGCCACAATATATCAACATTAGCTCCGTTTCATATGGACTCCCGAATTCCTGCGCATAAGGATAAAGATGGTTCATCTCAAATCACTCACCGTGTTCTGTCCCAACGGAGCTCTGAGAGCAAGCTGATCAAAGGTTAAGCACTCTCCACCAGCTTTCTCAATCCTGGCTCTAGCCCTCTCTGTAAACCTCAGGGCAGTAACCTTGATGGCAGGAATCTCGTGAATTCTCAAATCATCAGTTATAGTTCCGACCAACACAGCAATCTTATCCTCCTGAAATTAAAAACTAGCAACATTTCAGTACTAATAAACAACACTAAACGATCTAAAGAAAACCAAATCTAAACATGCAGTAAGATGATAGTGAGTAGAAGGCCATTTCTACTCATTTACTAAAATCAAACCCGCAAAAAAAACAAAACTTTTAAATTATGCTAATATGAAAATAGAATTCACAGGAAATGGGATTAGATTACATGATCTAGAACAAGCTAAATGTATAACGGAAAAGAGAGAAATGTTCAAAGAATCTAAACCTTGCCGGTCATGAAACTGACGAGTTTCGATAGAGAAAGAGGAGCTTTGTTAACTTTGCTCATGAAAAGCCTCTTCAATATCACAGCGTTAAAGCTGCTCTCAGATCTCCTTACCAAAAATCGGTAGAGCTGCCAAAAGCATTTTTAAAAAAATGTTAAAATCTCAATAAACCAATGTACAAGACGAAAAAAGCATATTAGCATAAACACCTTTCCAGGTTTTTTACCTTGACGAGAAGCTTGAGGTAGACATCGTCGGACTTTGGGGCTGTCCTTTTGGTCTTCTTACTCTTACCTCCGGCGATAAGATCGATACCCTACAACAACATATACACCCATGAATCAACCTCGATAGCAAGTAAATCCGAAATAAAAATCAAAATACATAGACACAGGAATCCCAACTATAAGCTAGAGAGAAAATCTACGGAGCTAGAAAAAAATTCAGTCACCACACTCGAAATCTACAAAACTAGATTCCACTACCGAAACGCAGAAACTAATGAACAATCATGCGCTAGTATCCACCAGAGTAAGCTAGTAAACGGAAAACTCAACGTTGAATAATCGGAAACATCAGAAAAGAAGATTGAGCGGCGGAGATCAGAAAGTACCATGGCTTGTGCTGTCGAGTGTCTGTCTGCTAGGGAAGGAAGACGAAAATGAAGTTAGGGTTTATGAATTTATAGGAGCAAGCTCGCTTACATTTTTAGGTTTCGTGACTTGATCTTCGCTTTAGGCTCATTGGGCCCGAACCACAAGCCCATTTGTTCAACATCCTCCGGCTCGATAAAAGATTGTATAAGCATGACAAATTTTTTATGAAATGTATAAGCTTGTGGGTTGGTAAAAGATTCTCTGTCCCATAAGCATGATAATATTTGCAGTTTTGCACATACTGTAATTTTTTTTTTTTTGTAATCAGTGTACTAAGTTTTATGGAAATTATAACCGAAGAACAACTGACAATTAGTGAATTGGTTTATGTTTCTTACTGTATATAATATTTTTAGTCTTCTCATATTTCCGATGTGGATTTCGTTTGGGATATTCAGTCACATCTCAAACTGAATCCCACTCTCTAGTTCATAATAAACGTCACACACAAACAATGATCATCAAGCTGAACTGTAATACACCCGAGAACATAAAGATTTTATCATTATCGGTCCCATCATCTTATTTTTGATATGGAATTCTTAATTAATACGATGTTAGCAACCATGTAAAAACTAATTAAGAGAAAACATAAGAATTTTTTCATTTGCTAAAAGCGATCTTAAGAATAGTATATACTCAATTCGATATTCTTTTTGATTCTTGCTCCAATATCTTATTTGGCGGCGATAAGGGCCGTGCCTTAGGTGGGAAGTTCCAACACTTTCATAGCGACATCTTATTCCACTCTACCATTGGTTTTGACACGTATGAACATAGCTTTCTTCAAGCGAAAGTAAACTTTAACAGAGGTGAAGAAATCGTTGATGATATGTCCCATAAGGTAGAGAGCTCTGGCAATAATTACAAGACCGACGATCGGAACCATTGCTCCGACACGAATCTTGGAACACAACATAGACAGCGGTCGACGGTCGTGATTGGGATTGCGTTTCTGTCAAGAAACAAATATAAACTTATTACGTGTTTAAATACGTCGTTCGTAATGAGTTAATCTACTTTTGGAACAACTTATTTCAAACCTACATATTTTTAGTCCTAGCTACAACTTTAATAACTAGTCTTGTGTACAGCTCCATGAATATTTCATTGGATGGGTGGTAAATGCACTTTCTATAAATTAATGTTGATTTCTGAAATGCTTTTTAAAGTTTTGGGGTTCTTTGTCATTTTCCCGTATTGTAAACTTTCTTTTCTTATTATCTCTACCCACCCATTTGATCTACTTTCCTCCTCTAAATTTGAAGACAGAACAACATTCTTCTGGGTTCTCATTGTTTGACCCTTCTCTTCTTCTTTTCCCTAATTCCCGTTTCCCACAATTTTTTTCTCGGGAAAAATTCACAAGGGAAACAACTCTTTGATTTCCCCGATCGGCTATACCAGGACGACCCGTTATTCATCCCCTGTTTTGGCGCAGGCCATTCGTATCAATTTTGGATTCTGGTGAGAAAATTCGGGATATGAGAGACAACGATGATGACGAGTATGGAAGGAATGGTGGAAAAAGTAGTATTGGATGATATTATAAGGAGATTGTTGGAAGGCAAAGGAGGCAAACAGGTTCAGCTTTCTGAGAGCGAGATTCGTCAACTCTGCTTTAACGCCCGTCAAATCTTCCTATCTCAGCCCAATCTCCTCGAGCTCCATGCCCCGATTCGTATCTGTGGTATAACCTCTCTCTCTCTCTCTCTCTCTAATCCTTGATCCATCGATGACGAAAACTGCAAAAAACTAGAATTTTTGATGTTGTATCTCAGGTGATATCCATGGCCAATACCAAGACCTTCTGAGGCTATTCGAATTCGGAGGGTATCCTCCTTCAGCAAACTTTCTCTTCCTCGGCGATTACGTTGACAGAGGCAAGCAAAGTCTCGAGACCATATGTTTGCTTCTCGCTTACAAGATTCGTTACCCGTCGAAGGTGCATCTCCTGAGAGGGAACCACGAGGACGCCAAGATCAACAGGATTTACGGATTCTACGACGAGTGCAAACGGAGATTCAATGTTCGCCTCTGGAAGGTATTTACCGATTGCTTCAACTGTTTGCCCGTAGCCGCACTCATCGACTACAAGATCTTGTGCATGCACGGCGGGTTGTCCCCGGAACTGGACAATTTGAACCAGATTCGGGAGATTCAGAGGCCTACAGAAGTTCCAGACAGCGGTCTTCTTTGTGATCTACTTTGGTCGGATCCTGATCAGAAGATCGAAGGGTGGGCTGATAGTGATCGAGGCATCTCTTGCACTTTTGGAGCCGACAAAGTCGACGAGTTCTTGGATAAGAATGATCTTGACCTCATTTGCAGAGGCCATCAGGTTATTACAAAACAAACTCCACCGACATCAAATATTCGAGATTGTGAAATTTTGAGTAGCGTTTGTCTTAAAGCTAGAGACTTTATGACAACTTCCTCACCGTATTTGTGACATGTGTGATGCTTTTTTTTTTATGTTTGCAGGTAGTTGAAGATGGGTACGAGTTTTTCGCAAAACGGAGACTAGTCACGATATTCTCAGCTCCAAACTACGGTGGGGAGTTTGACAACGCTGGTGCATTATTGAGCGTGGACGAGTCTCTTGTCTGCTCTTTTGAGATTATGAAACCCGCCCCAGCTTCTAGCAGCAGTCATCCTCTCAAAAAGGTTCGTTTCTACCAAGCAGATATAGATTAAAGCCTATCTTGTAACACGATTCTACAGCTAGAACAATCTGAAACTTGAAACCCTCTGATAAGGATGAAAAACTTTATCCGACTCTTAGCAACAAAACCTTAGGTTTCAATGTGAGATCTTACCATGAACTTCAAGTCCACAATCTTAAGCACTAGGAGCATCATTGTGATTTTGTTAAGCCATGAAAAGTTTTTTTTTGTGTGTGTGTGTTGCATGTTTACTACACTTACCAACTATTTTCGATATGTTTCTCTAATCAGGTACCGAAAATGGGGAAGTCTTGAAACTCTAGTCTTCTCTCGCTAGATAACGGTTTCACAGCTCAAGCTCCAGACTTTCATTATAAATCTGTCATCAGTTATGGGTTGAAATGCAATGAAGAACCCAAAGGGTCCCTGGTCATAAAACAACTTCTGTAAATCTGTCTTCTGCTTCTGGAGATTTGTATCTCTTTAATAGTCTCTCTTCATTCTTCGTTCAACACTTTTAGTTTTAAGTTACAGTGCCTCTCTTAGATTTTTATTTCTTGCTTATTTCTTTTTCTTGTTCTATAAACCCTTTCGCATATCATCAAAGGTACCACATTTCTTCGATATTTTAGCTCTTAATTATCTCAGCATAGTAAGACGAACAGTATGATACAGTACTTCTCGCATTTGGCAAAACTTTACTTGAGACAAGCTTTCGACTTTGAAAATAGTTAAATTCACGGCTTTTGCAACTACTACTGCTGTAAAATATGTTTCCATAAGCTCACTACTCAACATGTTCATTGGTGAAAAGCAATCAACTTTGAACTATTCTTCTATTTATAGCTGCACTGTATGAATTCCCGTTCACGTTCCCTCCCAATCGTCTGGCGGCTCTCTGGATCGCAGCTAGCCGCTGCTTCTGATTACGGTGATTCCACTGCCTGTAGCACCTAATGCAAGCGTTAGAGTCGATGAAGTGTTGCTTAGAGGCTTACTTAGAGTCGAGAGAGAGAGAGAGAGGAGAGAAAGGCGAAACCTGATCAAGAACATTCCCGCTACAAGAAATGACAGTCCCAAAGAAATCTTCTGAATCGTTGTCATTACGCGAACCCATTGCAAAAGATCTTTAAAACATGACAAAGTCTCAGTCTTTGAAGGGGTCTTCTTCTTCCTCGAGTCTCTCGACCATGATTCCACCACTGATTCTAGACTCGCTTTGCTTCCGTAACACGGTTTTTCTCTGGAATCATCATTCGCTTGAACGGAAAAACCAGCTGCTTCGCAGAATGCTGTGCCGTTGGACTCCCAATTTGAGGCCTTAACGCAGACGATGTCGTCGTTTGCTCCACAGGGACCAATAGCCTAAGCACATATTGGAAACCATTACATTCCACAAACCCCACAGAAATCTAAACTCCTTTGCATTCGTTTATCGCAATCATCAAAACACCAAGCAATATTCTTACCTGCGTAAGTGCATTACTGGCGAAGTATGCGTCTTTGCAAGCTTCAAAGACTTTGTCACAGAAGGAAGCGCAAATGCGAGGAGGACCAGGTTGAATACCAACGTTCGGGTTACAGATTGAACACTCCAATAACTCAAACAAATGAAGGCAATCTTGACTAGCTTCTCCATAAGTAGCCAAGTTTCTGACAGCTACGAAAGCAGGGTTTGTCTGAGCAGGAGAGCAACAAGTCCTCTTACGAAACACCCGGCACATAGTTAAGTCTTTTGATCCTCTACCAACGGATTTAGGAGGCTTTCCTTCTGATTCATACGGCGAAAACCTCCCTCCTTTAGAAACGCATACTCCTTTCGAATCCGGTTTCACTGCACCTGAAAAACATTGTGTTCTACAAACATTCTTAATCAAGTACTATACAATAACCCCTAAAGCCGAGCACTTCACTCAAATTGAACAGTTTTGGTTTTATTTCATTTCATGAATAGACCAATCTCGAGATGAACAACAACAAGCTGAGGAACAAACGCAAAAACTCAATTTCTAATCAATTTGGTTTTGCATCAGACGAGTCAAAATGATCCAAAAGACAAAAACAGAAAAAAAGATTGAGACTTTGAGTGATAAAAATCCGATATCTCCAATACCCATTTTCCGAAATCTAATCCAACAGATCAAATGGAAATGTCAAGAAGAAGAATCCTAAGATTTGATACTAACCGGACGAGAAGGAGATCAGGAGATGAAGAAACAGGATCGGACTGTGAATCAGAAACAACCTCTTGGTTAAACATCTTCCCATCTTTCTCGACTGATCTAATAAGCTCGAAAGCAAAAGATGAAAGGCGAAGACGAGAGTATAGTCGTGACTAAAAAGTTCAACAAGTCTCGCCCGCGAGGAAGACAAATACGGGTCGACCCGAATACCCAATTGCAGAGACTCCGTCTAATTTGGTTTTAGAATAGAATCTCCCTCTTTATTCATCATCACCTTTCTCTCTCTCTGGGAATTTTTTTTGTTTTTTTGTTGTTGTCACTATGGGAAAAATTCTCTTGTGGAGAAAGCAACAATTATCAACATATTGCTTTGTAATTATGTATATGTCGACAAAGTAATGAAACTGATTTAATCTATTATTCAATAGTCAATGCTTACAACATTCATTACCTTTTAAACATTTTTCTTCACAACCTGAAGAGAAGAAGAGGAAAATATGGATTAAGCAACGCTTTCATTGTGGTCTCAACCCGTTCGATAATCCGAAAAAGATCGACAATGTTCCGAATTCCGAATTAACAACATGAAATTGATTTGGCTTTCATGGGCATTATTAGATAATCATCATCAGAGTAACTTGACGCCAGCTTCCCTGACGGAATCGATCACAGCCTTGACTTTACCATGATACCTCTGCTCTTTCTTCATGTGAATAGTAACAGCTGGAATCTCTTTCATCAACAGCCTTTCCCCAAGGATTTTGCCAATCTTTGCAGCAGCGGCCACGTCGCGTGTGACCTCCATCGTTTCCCTCAACGCTTTCTCCTGTGAGCTCGCTGAGCAAGCCACCGTGGCCGTTGGAGAGTGGATGACTTGGGCGTGAACAAACTTGTTCGTGAAGTGCATTTTCAAGACGTAAGGTTTGAGGTAGTCGAAGAGACGTGGTGGTCTCACTGCCGGTGGAATCACCATCCTTCTCTCCCGATCTCTCTCTCAAAGTCTGCGAGGAGAAACAAAGCGTAAACACTTTAAAGAGAGAGAACCGGATTAAAATTATTCAAAGGGATTTGAAAGAAGTATAACTTTCACTAAGCATAACCAAACGAAGAGCATTTGACTTCTTTCAGACATTTCATCAAACATTTGGAGGACATCAAATTGTGACTAAACCATTATCATTAACAGTGGTCCAAACACTCATGTTGACATAATTACTCAAACCTGAGGAAGTGCTCATGTAATTGAGACCAAGTAAAGCACGTTCCAAAACGAAAATGTACCAAATCCGAATCAATTTCCTTCATTCTTCATCAATAAGAAAGTAAAATGGAGGAACCTGCTTTCATTAGGAGTTCTAATACTAAAAAGGATCGAAATGTGGCCCTAAACATTACACTATACGGAGCTTCACCGAATACCCAGAGAAGAACTGAATTTGGATCAACACGAAACTACAATCAAGTAAGAACTTTTCCAGGTTCTCAAGGCTGAAGCTCGATAGTCTAGTCAAGAGAAAACTAATCTACCGTAAGAGCTGCCAAGGAGACTTGCAACGTTTAATAAATACAACCCAGATTTAGCGTACCTGGGAAATAGAAAGCGACGGAGTCCGGCGAAGGAGAGATTGAACAAAACGCCGACGAAGATGGCAGGGGAAATAACCCTAGGACGATTAATTGGACTTTGATCAAACCAAAATGTGAGCCCATTATTAGCCCATCAAACAGTTACAAAACCCGGCTTTTTTGAAAATTCGCAAAAAAAAAAAAAAAAAAAAGTTGTCTTCTCAACTTACGCTGGATTGAGTAGCTCAAGTAATCTGGAAAAAATTAAGATAACTTATTAATACATATCAAATTTTAAATTTCTCACACAGATCAATAGATCATTCGGATATCCCATTGTGTAATCGACAAAAGGATAATATTACTATAACGAATATAGCCAAGAAATACGGAACGAATTGGGAAATTATGCTAAACCAACTTCATCCTAATTTGTTTCATTATATCAACAATATTGTATAATTAACCAGTTGCAAGGCCCACATCTAATTTGAATATCAGGCCCAACAATCACTGTAAGCGGGCCCTAATGGAGGGCAGGAGTCATAAACTGGCAAGTTTTCAATGACTTCATTTTCCATCTTGATTTAATCGGTTTAATTCACTTTGATCCGGTCAGTCTCTTGTAAAAAACTAAAAATTGTGTTTATCATTAGTGTGGAATACTTTTTTTTTAATTCAAGTATATAAAAAAATTGTTTGTCACATGTGCATTCTGTTCTTTTTTTATAATCGACAAAATTTCGTTATAATCATAGGAAAACCGAATTGTACACTCCAGTGTTTTTTTCCTCTGTACTTATGTGTCTCCAATAGTACAAGACAATATTTCTCACGTAATTTAAATGTGAATTTTTTTTATTTACAGTAGTATTAAACTGTTACTGAGCACAGAGACAGAAGTAGGAGTTAATGGCAGTGAGTGAAAGAGAGAAAGCCCCCCGCTTTCTACGGCAACTTTGCCTCCTCAACTACCTTTCTTCTTTTTACCCTACTACACACATTTATACACATGCATACATTTTTACAACAATGACGTAAGCAATTTTATTTTAATATTTTTTATTTATAAACTCTGCTAACTTTTTCCCACAAATAAATCAAGGTTACAGAATGTATCTATATATACTGAAGAGAGAATAAAACAGTTTTTTTCTGTCAGAGTTAACAAACAGTCTTGAAACTTGAATATTCCGATATCCATAATATAAAGTAAATAGTTCTGTTGAAACCTTATCAGATATTTAAAGAGAAAGATAAACAAAAAGAAGCAGTTTTTTCACAGTTTCAATGCTCTCAAATTCATTTGTGTTGATAACCTATCTTCAACTTTTACTAAGTGTTGATTACGAAATCTCTTGGTGAATGACATTTTTTTTTAGAAACGACTTAATATGGATGGTCATATGTTACTATGTATACGATATACATCACATGAATCCATGCCCATTCTTGTGCTTAATTATTGCCTACCACACACACACCGAAGTTGTAATTAACAGTGCTTAATATAAATAGTTCTTATTTACTCATACGATACATACGCATAAGAACGCGGAACGTTTATGTGTACATTCTCTTCTCACCGTCTACGAGTGTCGACTGCATGTTCGGGCCGAGAGGGGAGAGACACGTGTTGGAGGAGTAGAACACGTGCGAAAATATGATCAATACGTACCGATCAATGTCATTTGTATTCGCACGTGCCCTGCTTCTCCAGCAAGTGTTACTCACCCATTACATTTCTCTTACATCAACTCCATAGAGCATCCATGGCCACGTATACATATATGGAGCTAGTTACACATATATATAGAGAGAGAGCGAAGGGAGTTGTGTGTGTAGAGGAAGAGAGTTAAGAATAAAATATACAAGTTAGAGTGAGGAGGAGGCAGGAACTTCTGCTTGCTCATTTACATCCATTTATAGTGTGGGCTTCAAGTGTTTGATAAAATGAGGCAAAATTCATATTAAAAATAAATCTCGAAAACTAAAGTATAAGTGGGAGCGGAATTAAAGTGATTGAGTCTTGAAGTGGGATTTCTTTAAATGTGGATAAGAAGTAAAATGGCAATCATATCACCAAGTCTTTCAGTTACTTTAAATGATCTTTTTATTGTATTTTTTTTTTTTCATAGATATACAACACGCATGTGTATATACGTAAAACGACACCTCGCCGATACGTAAATATACTTTGAAAATTTCCAGCTCTTTCCGACGTAATTTTGATTAGAGAATAGTGAAAATAGACCGCTTGTTTTGTTGGTAGATAATTAAAATTTTGATTATTGATAAATAATCAGAATTGGTCTTTGACCATGACAGGAGGATATCCGATTATTGATTTTCTATTGGACAATCCCATATTTCAACTGGGTAGCTTGTAAGAAAAGTGATAATATTTTAAGCATTACTAACGATGAAATCGTTTATTACGCAATGTATGTAATAGAGACAGACAGTAAAGATAGGTGTTGGTCAGTTTATGTCTACTTCCTGCCGCCGAATCCAAGCCTCACTATTTAATTTTATCCCAATTCTTACTTCATTGTGGCGTCACTGCATATATATGTACATCCTCAAAAAGAAAAAGAAAAAAAAATACATGGATTTGAACTACTCTACAAATCATTACGACCATGTTTTGTGACACTATTCACCTAAAATACAAAACAAAATTAAGTGATGCATGGTTTAATTTGCTAATATAATCTTTAAGTGATGGTTTACATTAATAACACAGATTGGTTCAACCAATCTAATGAAGCTAGTTCGAAAATTTAGTGATATGGCAGCTTAACTGAAGCTACGGACATCCACTAATAACTATAGAGCTAACGAATATATATTATATAATCCAATTATCTAAAAGTTGTTCAGAATTTTTGTACATTGCCACTGAATATGCATGCGAGTTTTGGCAAAGCATCCCACTAAAATCAGGAGATAAGCAAGTCACTTGGCTAGGTGTAGTTCATTCGGTTGCATTCGATAAAATCAAATATGAAAATGTAACGAGTACTTTACATATTTTTACCTAAAACCCGAAAGAACCCACTATACTATGATTTCTTCCCGGATAAAGTAATAGTGCTAATATGGATAATTATATAACTAATAGTAATAGTTACGATGTATTGCCGCATTTCTTGAATTTAAAGAGGAAAGAAACGAAATAAAGTTGTCTTTTAAAAAACAAAAAGAGAGATCAGAAGGATGGTGAAGAGAAATGAAAGATGATGATGAAGTGATGGAGACAGTAACACAGAGAGGAGTGGGTTGCGTGTTCCTCGCGAGTTTCTTCCCCTTCTCTCTCTCTCTTTTCCATTTTTTACCCTCAGAACAAAAAAAGAAATGAAAAAAAATTAGATCCACCACCATAGATAGAGAGACAGTGACTTTGTGTATTGCAGAGTTCCAATGCATTTCTTCTCTCTTTTAATCATTTAATGTTCTCCTGTACGCCCATTATAAATAAACTTGAACAAATATTTTTGAACTACATGTATCTTATAACATTAATAAATTTGTAGCCTATACTCAAAGTGATGCAATAATCAATCTACGGTGTAATATTCCCATTGGTTGAGATTGTGAAAAAGTTAAGTTTATTGCTGAAAACATATCAATATTATATTCAAGTTAACTAATGTAAAAAATAACTATGATTAGCTTCACCTGCCGTTCAAGAGAAGCAGTGAAGTTCTTGGGTTTAGTTAAACTACTAGAATTCAGTTGAAGAAAATCATATTTACATTGGTCAATTCAATCATTGTTAAAGTATAAGCATCGAATCTTAGATGATAAATTTTCATGATATTTGAAAAAGACATAGAAAAGCTATTTGTATAACTAAAAGATTTCGTTTTTTTTTAAAAAATATGAAAAGGAAAAAGAAAAAGTGGAGGATTCTGCAGTTCACTGTCACTTACTTCTGACGAAATTGAAGTGAATCGTTCCCCCATGTTTTATGGGTTTGGGTTTTCCCCTCTGACGTCGTTGCTTTTAACACCCTCTCGCTCATTTCAATAATTCTTTTTTTTCTTATATCTCACATCGCACCCCTAATTAAATTTTAAGATTATATAATACAGGGTGATAATAATTCAAACCACTAAATTACATTTTTCGATTCGATAATTATATTTTTTTATTTCTATTATGTAAGTGTCGGGATTGATATAATGATATGTTTATATGCTACATACAATTTCTAAGGTGGTGGTTAGCGTGGCTGGGATACAATCCTTGACATATAGTGAAAAATAATCGAACAATAGTTTAGTTACGCTAAAAAAGCCAAAAAAAACTAGACTTTAATTTTTTGTTAGCAAAAGAAAAATGACACTTAAATCTGTTGATAATAATTGGAGTAGGGTGGTTGGTGAACTAAAATGATACATACTGCTTATTTGACTACTATTTTATTTCAAACATAAGGAAGGAAATTATTTTTGTAGAGAGAAGTGGGTATGAATTATATTTTTTACAGTTAATATTTTAATGTACAATAGTCAACATGCATCATTTGATAATTAAATTACCAAAGAATGAAATGAGGATGATGATACGGTAAGAGACATAGAGACACGACAATAGATGACAGTTCAACTAGATTTCCATTGGTAAGAGAAATAGTGAAATGTTGTACTTTTGCCAACTAAAAATTATGAGATCAACTACCACCGAATTTCGATACCCGAAAAAACTATCAAACTGAAACCCATAAAATTCTTGGCCCAATTAGATTATACGGCCCATATCATTCTTCGTAATAAGAGTTTTTTTTCAACTATAAGGGAGTGATCCAAATAACAAATGGAACCTAAACCGAAATTGATAAGATATAAGAATACGAATTTGTTAAGACCTTTTTTCTCCATCGGAGAAGATGATTAAACCTTATATTCCAATCCAGTCCAACTGTAATTTCCTCTCTGTACTAAGTAATGATTAATCAATCTTCATCAACGAAACATTATTAAACGAATAATTTGCAATCTCCACTCGGATTATAAAAAAAAACTGTCGGGAAAAAACAGACTCCATAGAAGCTCAAGTTGCGCAACAACAAAAGAAAAAGAGTATTACTTAAATCAAACTAAAAAAGTATCTAACAAAAACAGAGATAATTTAAGAATCAAAACCAAACCAACAGGAACAGAGAGGTACACGACTTAATATTGGTTTTAGTCTTCATCCTCAGCTTCGTTCTCGGCGATATTGAAGTACCTCAACTCATAGAGGTTACGGTCCTTGTTCGCTGCAATCACTCTGAGCCAATCCCTCACGTTATGCTTCTTGAGGTACTTCTTCGTCAAGTACTTGAGATACCTACACACAGAAACAAAGCATTACACTTAAGTGGTTGACTAAAGATAATAATTTCGAGACTCTACCACTATCTTATCTGCAACACAAACCCAACAAGATGAACAAAAATCTAGAGACAAAGTTATAAGCAAAGTTGGACAATGTGGCTTATGCTTTAATAAATACCTCTTGGAGAATTGGCCACTGGAAGTGACGGTGATCTTGCTCTTCTCACGAGTGATTGAGACCGAATCACCAAGAGCACCTGCTTTACCACCAACCTTAATCCTCTCCTGAAGAAACTTCTCTAGCGAAGCAATCTCCATGATCTTGTCATCAACTGGCTTCGAACAATCAATGGTGAAGGAAACTCCCTTCTTCTTCCCCTTTGGAGCTGCTGCACTTCCACGACTCATTTTTACCTCTCCTTCTCTCTGCAATACGAAACAGATTCGCCATTGATTATCGTTAACAATCATGCACGCATACTAAAAAACACCTGTAAAATTCGATCTACACCGATTCTGGTTATATATGATGAGTTCTAGCTAAGTTCGCCAATTACATTTGCAGCAAAACGAAATCTAAACCAGCTATAGAGGATAAACTAAAACCGTTCCTTCTCTTTCTCTTCATTTTCAAATCTCAATGGATAAAATCTAATAGTTTCAAGCAACGACGCAGATCCATTCTGTGGAAGATTGAAGAGAGAAGCGATATCAGCGTACCTGTAGCTACCGAGTAGAAACTTCTGGAAGATGGAACAGCACGAAGCGACGAGCGGCGTGTTTTGATCTTAAAATAGAGAAGGAGAGAATATGTGTTTAGGGTTTTAGGCTTTTAAGGGTGCTCTCGTAATTCAGTTTTTTTTGTTTGTGTGATAATTTTGTGGTGATAAATAACCGAAGTAACCCCTGATTTGTTTGTTAAATCGAAATAACCCCATATTTTAATGGGCCGTAAGCCTGTCTTTTAGCTTTCAGGTTTGTTCCAGAGTTCTCACTAATAATACTCTAATGGGCCGCAAAACAAAAGGTATCATTAGAAGAATTCCAAAAGAAAGACGAGATGGATTCCGAAAACTCGAATAGCTAAAATTAGAGAGTGACAACCTTCAAACAATATGCTTCAAGTAATCATCGGATAATAATCTGATCATATATTGGCATTGAGTTCTGTTCTTGAGAATTTCAGTATAGTTTCAGTTTTTACCATGGTGTTTGCAATAAAGTTTAACAGTTAAATTATGAACATATTTGAATTTGGACAAAGATGCATGTTTACATATAAAAAAAGGCCTTTTAACAACCAAAGAAAGTATGGAAAATTGTTAGTCTGGCTGTCAAATTTGCAAAATTTTCGGACCAATTTCTAAAGGTTCTTTTTTTATCTGATGTAAGTATAACGCTTGTGACAATCAAATCCAAAGAAGGACATTATATTTAGAATTTAGCTTGATACGAACTTTTGATTTATTTACATATAATTAAGTCACTTTTGAAATTCAATTCTGCTTAGATAAGTAAAAGCAACCCGATGACGAAACATCAGTAAAGAGATTATTAAATTAAGAAATCACTTGTGAAAACGAAAACCCGACAAACTTGCTATTTTCTTCCGATGTGGGATATTCGAATTAACTAGGTAAGTTGTTCAGATATATTAAATATATGTATTCTACAAACCAATTCTCTCCCCACATTCTTAGCAAAATCAATTAATAATAAACGTTGACAAAATAATACTAAAAATTTGAGACTGAAGGATGGTAGGGACCGCGCGAACGCAGGCCCCCTCTGCCACAAATAATGACGCAGGCTCTTCCACTTGGGAAGACCTTAGGCTAAGCGCCCTTCCTTAATGTGCAATGGAAGTCACTAGCCTAGGCCACTCGTCTTCTTGATCACGAGTCGACCCCGTCCAGGTAAGTGATTTGCTCAGTGACTCCACTTCCCTTCTTATACTCTGCTTCCCCTTCCATTTCTTTCTGTGTAACCGATGTGGGACTTTCATTGTTTTTACCCATCTCACTCTTTCATACAGGGCCTGAAACGATTATTTGGGATGTTTATGAACCAAATGGGCCGGACGCTCTAGACCCAGCTAAGTGTTTGGTAGTTGTTTGTTGTCAAAAACATAACATGCATAGTTGAAGAAGATTAAAAAAAAAAGGTTTCAAAAGTGGTGAATAGTACACTCCCTATTATTAATCATCCATCAAACGTTCTTTACAAATAGAAAATTGGATACTGGAATTTATTTGTGATTTTACTTACATAGCAAGAAAACCGAATGAACATTTTAGTTCACTGATAAAACAAATGAAATACTGACAAGTTCATTGTTAAAACATTATGAAGTTCATTGATCAATCAACCAAACTCCAATGAGGGACGCACAGCTAACGAATAATAATCTAAATGAATTTGAGATACGAGATAATATCAAAACAAAACGACCAGCCTCATAAACCCAAATAAAAGAAGAAATTTATTCATATAATATCTGTACGTATCTCTTACATTTCCGCATCCTGTATCTGCGAGTCGTAGGGATTACATAGCCCATAATTAAATCCATTTCAAAGCATCAAAATAACAATGTAAGAAACATGAAACTCTCACTAACTATAATGTCTCTCAGGCATCAGCGAATGATAAAAGAGTATTAGTCCTTATTCAAGTTCTCAGGCTTGAGAAACTTCGGGTAGCGATCAGTGGCTCCAGTTTTGTGATCATAGTACTCCACTGCGGCTGCTCCAGCTAGAGCCGCTAATGTCAGCGCCTGAGCGTGTAGCCTGCGAAATATAATCCAATCCAGAAATTGTGAATATGTAATGAAAATCATCATCATCAACATCATCATGCATGGTAAAGGTCCAAAAGGAAACAATCCAACAAAAATTAAGTACTAAACAAGCAAACTTGTATATGATCGATGTTGAAGACAAAAGATTAGAATGAGCATTCTACATTTTACTGGTGGAGAAATGAAGAAACAACGGGAACAAACGATTCCCATTCACTTGGAGAATCTCAAAGCACACACACAAAGATAAATAATTGACGCTCTTGCTTCCTCAAGCATCAGTTTTCTACATCGAGATGTGATTATGCAAAAAAAAATTATATGCCAACCCCTACGATTAGTGCATTTATGAGAGTACATAGCTAATTTAGTTTGATGCAAGTTTCTTGACCATCAAAAGGAGATAAGAATCAGTTTCTACAGTGGAATAATCTAAACTTTGATATCTTCTTACCATGTAACAAAGTTTGTAACCAAAAATTGAAGCAGAAATTAAGAAATATTAAGATTAGCAAATTTACCTGGCGTGGATGATTCTGACACTGGTTTTCATACCAGGTTTTGACCAGTTGTAGGCGATCGAACCAGAGATACCACTAAGCCATAAACAACCTATGGAAGAGTCGAATTAAGATAAAACCATATCAGAACAAACACAAACACTCATACATGTTACGAAACCGCAAGATACCAACAATATTTGTAGAAGCATACTGGAGCACCGAGAATGCGAAGCTAAGAGTAAATTCGATATTCAAAACTGAGATGAACCCAGATCCAAAAATCTCAGATATGAGGAAGAGGGATTACTCAGGTAGATACGACATAACCCAGATCTATAATAACGATGGACCGACGCGAATAGTCTCACGAAACTCTCGATTCGTGTATTCTCTTATGAAGCCAAAACGACCCATTTGATCGAGGATGAACAGAGGAACAAAAGGAGAGGAATTACCAACGGTACGAAGCTTGTGATCTATGATCCATTCCCTGATTTCTGCAAGCTTTGTCTTCGATTCCGCCATCGCTGAGAAAGAATATCGGAAGGAGAGGGGAGGAAAAATGATAGAATAGAGAAAATAAAGTGCGTTTGGCGGTGGTTTTAAAGCGTCCAAGGCGGAAAATTCAGAGGAAGAGAAAGCCAATTTGCTAACTTGCGCTAGATTTCGGTGATACATGTTTCTGTTTTTAATTATGATAATAAATTTTTATTTTCCGCTAATATAAAAAGTAAAAACGTAAAAACCTCACATAATATTCTTCTACAACATTTTTTAATTACCAAACAAAACAAAAAGAAAAAAAAAAAACGTCAAAGGAGTAAAAAAAAGTTGGTCAAACCAAGAATCAATTCAAAACCACTGTGTTCTTCATACTAAGGGCGGAGCTAAAACCGTCAAAGCTGTATAAGTGCATCGAGTTGCCAGATTATAAAATAAAGCGCAACTATTTGACTATTTCAACATTTGCCATTGAGTTGCCAGATTCCACCAATTTGTTAGTATATAAGTGCATCGAATTTTTCAACAACACAAAAACAAAAACACAACTTTTGGTGTTCTGAATCACAATTGTTATTAAATCGTAACACAAAATCAAAATGAACGAAATATGTATATGTCATCTTCGATGTTTTGTCTTTTCAGCAAAGACAATAAAGCGTAGGGTCGTCATTTTCATTTCAGAAAGGTATAGTAGCTTGCACACGTGTTAGAGTGGCTAACAAGGATTCAACTTCTCTAGAAGAAGAGTCGTCAGAATGTTGAAGAAAACAGAATAAATACTAAAAGTGATCATTGGTCATCATTTTCCCTTTCGGGCCAAAAATATAGTATTATTACAATAGGAAGTAGACAAAGATGAAAGTTCTGTACCATCGGGCACACTTGCAGAGAAAACAAAATTTTGAATATCTCATAAATCTCACGCAACATTCAAATCAGAAAGCAAGTTACAAAAAAATTAGAAAACATTTCCGGGGAGTTAAAAGAGAAAGAGAAATCGGAAATAATTACTGAATTAGGCGATGGCTTTGGCTTCTTGCTCTGAATTAAAGCTTTGCCACTCTGGAGGAATCGCATCTTCGGAATTGATCATCAGAACTATGCTGAGTCAGGTGAAACAAACATCCAAACATATATATGAGCAAGCAACACCATCCATATACATAACATTAGCAAGACTAAAGACAAAATGTACACCTTGATGATGGCGACTGAGCCATGGAGGTAGTAGCCGACGACTCGCCCTGTAATAATATAAGTTTTTGTGATAAAGAATCAAATCAATGAAAAACAAAGCCTAGACAGAAATTTCTCAATTGCAAGTAAAATAACCTGATCAAGCAAGATCCGCTTTTTCAACTTTGGTCGGATGCACTTCTTATAACTACGAGACACAGATTGACGTGGAGGACCGCAAGGTCCCATACAGCACCTCCTTCTTCCGAATATACGTCGTCTCCCCATTATTGCACTGTCTCTGAAACACTTTAGGGACGCGGGAAACCCTAATAATTTGGGCCTGAACCAAGGTCTACCATTTTCAACCCCTGATCCGGCCCAATAATAGTATACCCGAACTACATCTTTTCTTCTTCGGAAGTTGTCATCAGAACTATGCTTAGACAGGTGAAAAAACATCCAACATATATATGAGCAAGCAACAACCCACCAACACCATCTATTTATGAGGACACCCGTCTCATATTGGTATCGTGACTTAAAAACCAAACCGTTACCATAGTTATTGAAATTAAGACTCTTAAAAAACAAATTAAAGTCGAGGAAAAGATAAAGAAGAAACATTCAAGTTACTAAAACCTTAATTTCACAAACACGGATCATCGAATTAAAAACAAAAAACAGTACAAGTCTGTCCTCTTTTCCTGATTCTGAAGCCTTTCCTTCTCTATCCAAATGCTGCAATGAGGAAGTTTTTGTATATGCTCATAAACTTGGCCACAAATGCTGCAGTGTAACACCCACAAACATGTAAGCAGATGATTGATGTAACCTATATGGGCCATACGCAATTACTAAAGAGAGTTTATCTACCTTCTATGTGAAATATGGCTTTCTGACCTAATCTCATCCGATGTTCCTGTAGCAAGACCCCAAGACATATATCATCAAGAAAGCCATCAAATCAAAGGAACAGAGCTCAGGCTCAAATGACAAAACAGATGTTGAGATAATGCTGAGGAGGAATAGAATACGAATGATCATACATAATATGCGGCCCAGTGGCAGACTTCGAGCTTTAGCTCCGAGTCCAGTTTCTTCAGCAATTCATGAAGAAGTCTCTGAAATGTATAGTCTATGGGTGAGAGAAAGGGACACAGATGCATAACTGAAAATAGAATTGGGTTTTGTTTGAAACCTTCAGTATGACTTCTGGTGGAATGCAATTAACCAGCAACTCGTATACCTTTCCGCGCACCTGAAACAAACTGAAGAAGCACACAAGAGATGATTCAATCAAAGGATGTTTAAAATTTATACATTGTAAAGCTAAATGATTTGCTAAAGTGTCACCTTTTAGGGCTCTGTTCCTTCATTATGTCAGCTGCTACTTCAGCAACATACTCTTCCCAATCCATGGGAGATATCACTTGATTATCTGTGAACGGATAACTATAAAGAAAATATATTAATTATTTTTCAAAACACGAAACAACAAAAGAGTCAACCAAACTCATTGATTGTCTGCATAGATACCGTTACTGATGCTTACTTTTGGACACGACAAGTCTCAAGTGACAAAATAGCTCTTCTAAGACTACGATTTGATTTTTCGGCAATGCGAGCAGCAAAATTATGGGGTAGTTGCAGACTTTCTTTCTTTGCAATGAACTCCAACACTTTCACTATCTGGAAACAGAGAGTTACATTTTTGTAAATGATAATCTTGCCTACATGTTTTTGCAAGAAAGCTTACACAGGCCAAATTAAGCAAACACTGAATCTTATGTCATCTTCCTAATAGCAACTACATATTCTTTATATTATATTTTTGAAACACAGGAACACACTTGCACATCATAGACATGCTACAGGGCAAGTAGTCATGAAAAAGGAGATAAAAGCAGATACATAGGTACAAATTTTAACTTGTTGTGTTCTTGCCAATCAAGTGAGAAGTACACAGAAGAAAGGCATGGATATGTAAGAACTGATTTCTATATTGAGTTGATCTAAAGGAAAAACGAAATGTAATTCGAGATCTCCCATATGATGGGAATTTTTAAGAGGATTTGGTTGGCTGATTATCTAAGCGAATAAAAGTAGAGGGAAACAGCTTCTGTACCTCTTCCTTCGAAGGTGCATTTATCCGCACATTGAGACAACGAGACTTAATGGCTTCTGTAACCTTTGAAGAACTGTTACAGCACAAGATGAGACGGCAAGATGAGCTATATTTCTCCATTGTTCGCCGCAGAGAATGCTGTGCTTCTCGGGAGAGCTTGTCAACTTCATTTAGTACCAACACTGTCAAAACCAAAAAAAAAAAAAAAAATATATATAATATCATGCGTTTGGATAAAAGCCAAATACTTTTCGCATATATCATCCATCATCCAACATTAATATGTGAAAAGAAGTTGAAGTAATTGGCCAGGGCATGGAGGCAAAATTTAAACTAGAAAGGATGTAAGAGACGAGAGATAAGTAGATAAGCGAGAACATATAACCATCTAAATGTATAAATGAAGACATTCAGTTGAACATGATGCCTTAAACCTAGAAATATGAGGCAACCTTTGATTAACCAAGAAAAAGAAAAGAAAAAACTATACTATGAACCATAAAATGTAGACCAGTCTCACTCTTCGTAGATGCTTCAAAGAACTATTATGATCCATCAACATCCAAAAATGTCTCCACTAATGATAATGTAGTGAAATAGACAGGCGGAACACTAATTCTTACCCTTATATCCCTTCTTTCCTTTTGTGTCGATTGGTCTGTTCTTAGCCATTTCTTTAATTATCTCTTGAACTATGTATCTGTCCTGAAAGCCTGCATCACTTGGAGTAAGTTCCACATGATTGGTGCTTGATAATGTAGTGACCTCCAGATCAAGAGTTCTACTCCCAGCCTGCATTTTTCAAAGTTAATATAATGAAAAGATAAAAAATTCAGAAAGTAAAAACCATATTATAAGAGCAACTACGACTGGGTTTGGCATAGTAGGTTTCATATACTAAAGATTAGACGCAACAAAACACAATTATCACAATGCTGTCACGATAAAAAGAAGAATTGACTAATAGGAACCACCAAATAAAAATGATGGCAAACACAACCCACATCTCTCTGTTCACAAGTACAAGAAGATACCGAAACACGATTCACTGATCCAACAAGGGCACAAGACGGATATGGATATCATCAAGCAGAGAGAAGTTTAGAAGTAAAAAGCAATGAAAACAGATAACCATGTGCAACTCACATCGACTTTCCATGCCCTGTTCTCCACTTTCACCTGCAGAATGAAAATGAAAAAAAAAAAAGTAGCAATAAGAAGATGAACATCAATCTAAGGAGATAATAACTTCACCACATCTCAAACATGCCAAAACAGATAGTTTACTTTGCTCAACTGTGTATTATGGTTCAAAGTCGTCATCTTTCGTTTATAACCAAGCCATACCCAAAAAAAGAAGGGAACGAAGGATACCTTCTCTGCACTGGCACCATAAATCTGCTTGAGAAGCGCCATGATTAGGGTTTTCTTACCCGAACCTGACGGCCCATAGAAGAGCAAATGCGGACAATCTTGCTCGGTAACCTGAAGGGAGAATCAAAAATTCGCTTCTAATCCCATAAGAAAACCCCTCAAAACATTTCATAAAAAAAGAAATTGACTTAGGGCTCGAACGAAAGGCATACCAATTTCTTAAGATTTTGGGCGATATCCTCATGAACGATGACCTTGTCAAGCGATTTCGGCCTGTACTTGTCGACCCACAGCATGGTAGTCACCGACGGAGGGATTTAGGGAAGACAATGAAAGTGGCGGGAAAGAAGTGAATCGTCTTCCTCTCTTCCACAGCAGCTTCTTTGTGAAATGTCTTTACCTCTTTCTTCTCTTACGCCTCCCCGCGTCGATGGGAAGAACCTAGCAACCCGAACCCTCTCTGTCACTTAGAGTCTTTGAGTTACACAGCTTGCTTTACTTGAAGTATTTTAGATACATACATGTTTTCCTTGTTGTATTAGCCTTATAAACGTTTAAAGTTAAATTTGAAAAATATATCTAAGGGACAGAATCTGCAAATGACATGCTAATAGGACAGATAAGAAACCGAAACCAGTATACAAATTGTCCTGTGCTCACCCCAACCTTAGTAACAATGTATATTTTACATTACTCATACATAACTTATTATGAATGTGATTTTTATATCCTAACTATTACAACTTCACATAGAGTTATGTCTTCTGACGGTGTACTTAGTCTTAGAGTTTCCAATAGATGTTGAATCTGTGGAAAACACCAGTGAGCAAACCCCAGAAGAGAATCTCCGCGAAAATGACATACATCAGGACACCAACCCTTCTTGAATGCCAAACTCGGATAAACACATGCTCCCGAATCCAATTTATCTAAACCAGGTTATCAATCATAATAACACTGTTAATCAACTTCAAATGGGTCATCAAGAAAACAAAATAGCCATTTCAGAATTGAGAAGGTAAGTAAGTGATTTGTTTTTTTTTTACCAGTGTATTGCGCGGGTGGCGATAGTACCAACCGTTGAAGAAAGCAGCCAAAATGCCTTCAGCTCCCATCACGTAGACAAGCATTGCGTTCATGCCTATCCATTTTAGAGGAAGAAACATGTGCTTCCACTCCAATATATCCACCTGCAAAAAACCCGGAAAAATATGTTTTGTGCAAAGTTTGTCAACAGTTTATATTGTTTGTCAATGTGGTGGAACAAGAATCACCAGAGAATACAAGGCAGAGAAGACGAGCGCGGCTGCACCGGAGGTCACGCATATGTAGCTCAAACTGTAGAGTTGTTTGTTCAAAGGCATCACTGCAAACATTTTTGAGTTTTTAATATTCTGTTAAGAGAAGATTATGTTTTGAGTTGGATCAAAGACAAGGTGTTACTCACAGTGGGTGAAATGTAGAGTTAGTCCAAGAGCGAGGAGAGCGAGACCGGTGGAGATCCAATGTTTCAGCCGAGCTGAATGACCCTGGAAATTTTGATAACGATGAATGATGACACTGGATAAGACAAAAGGGTGATAATATACTAAGAGCTCGCGACTTATGTTAGATAAAATAAGTTGACCTTCAAGTGTAAGATAATATGTCCGAAATGGACTCCTATGATTGTAGAAAGAATAGCTGATATGGAGCTGCATCAAACAAGATTCCGAGTGTTATTAAATTTCTGAAAATAGGATGATGATGCTCGGTTAGTGACAAGATCTTAGACCTTAGGACTCCTTCAGGCTCAAACGGAGCATGGCACCATGACGGTGCATCTTGGCGTAAAGATCCCTCATAGGGGGAATTCTCAGTGCAAGCCTTAAAAACTCAAAAGAAAACATAAATCATTAAACAACCCTGCCTCTATCTTCTATGACATAAAACTCAGAAACTTGTTATGCTTGAACACAAAGAGAATTTGGGTGTTGTACCTTGGATCGTCTCCAGGCAGGATGGTGATACATATGATTGATCCCTAAAACTTGTCTGTCAACATATCCAACAGCATTGCAAGAAGGGTTTAGCTTTCCTCTCACTCCACATGGCACCTAGGAAAGAAAAACCACAGACTTTCTTACACTTATCTGATCACAGACGTTTACACAACACTTAGTAATGGTGATAAACGTGCAACATTCAAAGACTTTACAGATTGGATTTTCCCATAGAGAATGCTATCTTTATCAGAGACGACGAATTCCCAGTCAGGAACGTAAGTTCCATAGATTGTTGCCAGATAAATCACAAGAACTGATGCACCCACAATCCTGTGAATGTACAAGAATTAATAATCTGAAACTCTCGATCTGCTTTTCATGAACTTTTCTATTGTGAAATAACTCAAATGTCAGGTGTACCATTGCCAATAATATGACTTGAATATTGAGAACCTTCCAGTTGACAGATTCTCCTCCTCATGTAAGTCCTTTGTGAAGATTTCCACCAATGCTACTACCAAGTAGGATAAAGCTATTCTCTACATGAAAACAGAAAGCACAAACTTTAAATCTCTAGGCCTTGAGAATATATATATATATATATATATACACAGAGAATGAATCTTGAGCCTGAGACAACACCTGTAGAATCCCACAAAACCTCATCATAGTCACATCAACGCCATAGGTTAACTCGTCAGGAGCGTGAGAGAAACCCCCTTCGCAGCAAAAGCAATGAAGAGCCCATTATCTTGTATTACGAAAAAGAATAACACTGAGGCTACAAGGTTACAGGATAAAGAACCAATTACCTTGTAGTAGAAGACCCCAGAAGAGGAGCTTGCAGGTCCTAAACCCCACCTTCTTACAAGCTTCAAATTTGTTCGAAATCCGCTGAAAATTATACAGCATTGAGCTTGCATGTTTGAGCCAATCAGACTAGGAAATTGAAGGGCAAAACAAGTGAGTCGAGTTCGAAACTGAAATGGAAGATGAGATGCGAGAGAACCTTGAAGGCAAGCGCGACGGAGACGCCGACGATGAACAGAAAGAAAGGCATAACGAAATCCGCCAAATTGCAACCTTCCCAGGGAGCGTGAGCAATCGCTGGCCAGTCTCCTCCGGCGTCATCCACGAGAATCATCAACTGTTCACTCACAACTCGAAAAGTAAGAAACTTTTTAAGTTGGAAAATCCGCACGAGTAGAGAGATGGAGAGAAGGAAAAGGTAGTACAGCGACAGTGAGGCCGCGGAAGATGTCGAGAGAAGCAAGCCGTCTCTTTCCGGCGAGGCACCGAGTGGATGCAGTTTCTTCGGGTACGAGGAGGCGTTGATCGTGACTGATATCCGCCAGTTTGATTTCCGCCATTACTTTCAAGGTTCTTCTTTGTAAGAAATCATTCTCTACTTATTAGCTGTGGAGCTTTTAAACGGGATTAAAAAACATACATCCGCTCAAATTAATCATAATCGGCTGAATTTTTTAAAGAAGTTTTAAACTGAACATATTTCTCAGTTGTTTTCTTAGGTCGCCGTTGTGACTTTAAAAAATCATGTGTATTCTTTTTCATAGAAATTATGTTTTATCATCAAAATAGTAAATCTGAATTATTAGTCAAAATCGTAAAATTAAATTTATGTACCAAAACTATTTTCTTTTATTAAAGTTACAAAACCGAAAAAAATTCATCTAAACTAAAAAATTATATTTTCTCGTAAAAACTGAAAAACTAAGTTTTTTCTGGTAAAACTGTAAATGAAGTTTTTTTTCTAATCAAAACCTTAGATCAAATATTTTCTGTCAAATCCGTAAAATCATTTTTCCGTCAAAATCATAAAATCAAGTTTTGCACCAAAATCATGAAATTGCAGTTTTCCGTCAAATACAATTACAAAATCTTAAAAGAATGATTGTAAAAAAAATTTCTTAAATGATGTACTTTTAGAAAGTTTTAGCGTGGAAAAATACAAAAACAGCATTAAATTACATGTTTAGATTAGATTCAAATTTTATTTAATGTTGTAATTATTATTATTATTATCATTTTTTCCTAATTAACAATCGATTGATCTACTTTAATTATGCAAACAAATTAAACATAGGTAATCTCTAACGACCAATTGAATTCAAATGGCTGGAAACCATGTCCGGTTAGTTCCACAACTAATGCAAATCAAATCGATTTTAAACTAATTTAAATTTTAATGCGGATGAGTTAAAAAAAATGAATAGTATACAAATCTTTTTTACTAAATTTCCTTCTCTCTGCATCTATTGCTTCTTGACATTTATTTGTTGGAGAAAATTTTAATCTGAAACAATACAATAAACAATATTACTAGATTCAAATTTCATTTGATGTTACAATTATTATTATTATTATCATTTTTCTTAATAAAAAAATCGATTGATCTACATTAGTTGTGGAAACAATTTGAACATAGACATTCTCTAATGACCAAATGAATTCAAATGGCTGGATATCATGTCCGGTTAGTTTCACAACTAATGCAAATCTAATCGGTTTTAAACTCAATTAAATTTTAATGCGGATGAGTTTTTTAAAAAATGAATAGATTACATATCTTTTTTACTGAATTTCCTTCTCTCTGCATCTGTTGCTTCTTGACATTTATTTGTTGGAGAAAATTTTAACCTGAAACAATACAAAAAAACAATATTAGATTCAAATTTTATTTAATGTTACAATTATTATTACTATTATCATTTTTCGTAATAAAAAAATTGATTGATCTACATTAGTTGTGAAAACAAATTGAACATAAGCAATTTCTAACGACCAAATGAATTCAAATGGCTGGATACCATGTCCGGTTAGTTTCACATCTAATGTAAATCTAATCGATTTTAAACTAATTTAAATTTTAATACAGATAATGCAAAAAATAGAGAACATAAAACTTAGCTTTCTTCGTGAGTTTTCTTCCCTTGTATTTCTTGCTTCTTGAATTTCATTTTGTGGATAAATTGTTAACCTGAAACAATAAAAAAGACAACACCATATTCCTGTTTGGATTAGATTCTAATTTCATTTAATATTGTAATTATTATTATTATTATTTTTTTCCTAATAAAAAATCGATTGATCTGTATTAGTTGTGAAAACAGATTGAACATTAATAATCTCTAACGACCAAATAAATATAAATGGCTGGATATCATATCCGATTAGTTTCACAACTAATATAAATCTAATCGATTTCAAACTAATGTGGATGAGTAAAAAGAAAAAAAAATAAAAAAAGAGAGTATAATACATATCTTTGTTTTTGAGTTTTTTGGGTTCTTGACACAAAGCACCAATGCAAGCAACAGTAAACCATCAATTGGACATTCTGCAAGAAAATCACAATTGATCAATAATAATATCTGGATATATGTGAGAATGGTCGGTTCATATACAAGCAGAATATACAAGCAGATGATACATTGAAGGGCAGCTTCAGTCCATAGAGATGCAAAATCGGCAGCAACATCTCCATGTGTGTCCTTGGAGATTCTTTCTAGATCCACCTGTTAAAAAAACATAGATCTTTAATAAACTTTGCAACCAAAGAAACATCAACAAAACATGTAAAGATGATCTATAGATTATAGAAACTTTACTTACATCTTCAGCTAGCTTCATGTTCTTCGTGCAGTGGATCCTAAGACATCCGGTTTCATCAGGAACACCGATATCAGATTCCCGGTCGAATCTTCCAAACCTTCTCAAAGTCGGGTTGATACTATTGGGGAGATTTGTAGCTCCCGTGACAATAACATGGGCACGTGACTTCAGCCCATCCATAAGCGTAAGGAGCTGAGAGACAATCCTCCTTCTCAGCCTCCTCGAACAGTTGTGGATGCCTCAAAGGAAGTTCAACAAGTTCCCTAATCTGACCGGTCTGTTTCCTGACACCACCAACATCATCATAACTGACTTCATCGAGCCTTTCTTCAAGTTGGTAATCAATAGCAGAGAGAGTGAGAGGAAAGCAGCAATGGCCTCACCTGTAAGAACCGAAAGTCACACAGCTAAAAGATCAGAGAGAGCATCAAGAATCCAGAGGTTTCCCATTCTCAATATCCTGCTTAAAGAATGTTTTTAATGTGTCGATCCTCGTCTTTGCTTCTGGTAGTTTCCTCCCTTCCAGAAATTTATTTGTTGCGGTTATGAAACCGTCCTTGTCATGCCGCTTCCATATCTAACACAGTTGAGAAAGCTTCAATTTCACATCCTGAAAGCAAACAGGCAAGTTATTATATAAGACTCCTAACCTCGAAATCCCATTCGCCATACAAATCCGGATCCTCTTTGTTCCGACTTGCAGCTTCTCTGAAGTATCCTGCAGTTGTAAAAGCAAACAAAGAGGTTTATATCAGAATCTAATCTTAACAAAAACCAAAACCTGAAATGTAAATGCAGAATTAGTTGTTCTGTTCAAAAATCAAAAAGGTAATTATTACCGTCAGCACCACATGAACAGCCTTTCTGTCATATTCAACATCCTCAAACTCATCTAACAACTTCACTTCATCATCTGTTATTCCCTTTAACACCTGACAGCAAAGTTCTTCGAAGATCTCAAATCTTTATATATGAGAATATCTCAAAATCAGGATTATACACAAAACAAGGAGGGAAACAAAACCATCTCTAAACTAAAACACTAACACAAAATCCCCACAAAGAACAATGGCCTTAGCGTTTATCTATGGCTTTAAAAGTCTTTTCCAAGTTTTTCCATCATTTATAACATACAAGAGACAAATGTGAAAATGGGAATGAGGGATAATGAACCTTTCCGGTGACTTTTCTGTCACCGTCCGGTAGAATAGTTGGATAAACACGACATTTGTTCTATACGATCAAATGTTCCTCCTTTTTAAAAATGATGGTTTTATGACTCCGATTATATAATCTGACCATGTAGAGAAAACCTAGAAACTAGCGAGAAAGAAACTGGGAGCGAGTGAAAATTCGAAGAACATAAACTCGAAATTACAGAAGCGAAATCAAGATGAATAACTCAATGAATCTTCCCGGTCAGAATGAATTGAAACCAGAGATTTCCGATTGTGGCAATACAGAATTTAAAATATATTAAAAAACAGAGTAAAAGCCAAACCTTGATGAGAATCGTATCGCCACAGAAGAGAGAGTTATCAATCGTTAATGGCTTCATCGACAACAAGTCGGAACTGAAATTCTTCTTCGATTTACTGAAACAAACAAGAGAAAATTAACAAAATCCAGCAGCTTAAAGAAGAAATCAACTTTAAAACCCTGATCCGAACTTTGGGTAAAAGAATGAAACTTATGATCAGATATTGGAAATCTTGATACTTACGAGTCGGAAGATTGCTTGACATGGTGATTGCTGAAATTGACCAGAGGGTTTTTCTCAGAGAAAGTTACGAAATTTGTTTGTAAAAAGAGATCCATTGATAAGCCTTTGTGATTATGGGATCAGAAGAAGAGAGAGCAGATTTCAAAAGTTTATATCCTTTTTTTTTTCGTTTGCTAGTCGGTAAAAAAAAGACCGTTGTTTTCTCCTAAAACGTTCTTTTTGAGGAGTATGGGCCGTTTTTGTGATCTCCTCGATGTTACAATTTGTGCCGTTTATCTTTTTGAGACTTCCGGTTTATAACTACCTGCCGTTTTTAAACTCGAGTGATCGTCTTCTACTCGACGAGAAAAACCAAATGGGTGGTTTGTCTTAGTAAAAGGAAAAGAAAACATCGGAACACACGAAAAGACATGAATTTAGGGTTTGTAATGAATAGAAATACTACAAAAGACCGGGCAAACATTATATTAAAAAAAAAGGAACAATCGTTGAAATCTCCATCACGTTCTTATATAACTTTGGTTTTCTCTACAATCAAACTAATGCAGCAGCAGCAAGAGAAACGAGCAGCGATTGGGGTGCCAGCTAAAAACAGGTAAAGTCTTCACAAGTTGTTGCATCAACCACGCCCACGACCTGCTCCTGTTTTCACAACGTATTAGAGAATTTAGCTAAAATCCCACTGTGGCAGACAGAACTACTAAAAAAGATCGTCAAAGATGTTGGTGTAATCAAGTAAAATCAGAAAATCTTGTGACAGCTTCAATGGTGTATTTTTACCTCTGTTGCCACTCATCTTTGCCATTGGAGCTCCTCGTCCTCGGCCTCTAGCCCCTCCATCATCCACACCACGTCCTCTTCCACGTCCAACCCCTGGTGGTTTTCTATCTGCACATATTTAACCATCAGCAAAAGCTTTCTTCCTTCCGTTTAAAAAATCATAATTCTTGCCGTTTGGCTAATGTATGTAAGTCTTTAAGCATAGTTAGCAAAGTTTACAAATAGGGTATTACTGAGCGAGAAAATCACATAGTTAAATGTTAACGCCTCGTAAGCTCAAAAGCATATCTCAAAGTAAAGGGCACCATATAGACATGAGAAAACTATACCTGTGCGGGTCTTCTCCTCCTGTACTTTATCAATCACCTGAAGAAGAAAGAGTATATCAATATACGTAAAACCAATCTAGGTTGAATCATCTACTAGAAGCAGTAGTAAGAACATTATATAGAGACAGCTTATGACTGTCACTTTCAAAGATATGGAGTTACTGGCATCAGAAGAACAAATAATACAAGTGAGTCAATATTCTGGTCAGGCAAAAACCATTCTCTGTGATATCGTCTGAAACACGCTTCAACAAGAGGCATGAACCCGGTTCATGACTCTTGGAGCACATATCTGATTTGGCTAAGCATCATCACTCCAGAACAAGTAAAGCCGAAAAGGAAAGAAAGAAAAAAAATAGATCAATCAAGAGATACACAAAAGAATATACTACCTCATCCGGAACTCGAAGGTACTTGATTGTGTTACCACGGATATAACATTCCGGCATTCTCCAAAACCTGTCTCCGTCCTGCAGAGTAATCAAGCAGAAACAGCAAGTCAGTATATCTGAGTGTCAACCACACAAAATTTCATGACGAAATAGAAAGTAAAAAAATTGGAAACTTTGAACCAATTAGCATACGAAAGCAGAAGCAAGAAGATAACCTTTGATGTGCAGATTACTTCACGCAGATGAATGTTCATCCACGTATCACAATTAACTAAATGCCCATTGTAGGTCTCTCCATTCTTGAGCTCCACAAGCTACCACAACAATTCAATCATCAAAAAGATGCAATCTTTCAGAAAAAAGAAGTTCATATACACAACGTTTATAATGCAAAAGCATATAGACTCCTAACGCAACATCCCAAATCTAAACAGTGCCCAATGAACTTCTCCTCCATATATCACAAAAAAATAATCAACTTTCGAAATTTCCCTTACCATAGGATGCCCTTGAGCAGTCTTGAGCAGCGAAAGAGGAAGCTACAGAATCAAAACAAAAGCTAAAAGTCAAAATTTGAAGTTATACTTATACCGCAGAAGGAAAAACCCTAGATAGATTTGAAGACCAACAAGCAACTTACCATCTTGTCGAATCAGAAGATTTATAGATCCTTAAAGCACCTGATAACATCAGAGAGAATATAACATTAAACCCTCCATAAAGATGCGGAAGAACCAATAGAGGAAACAGAACAAAACCCCAGCAAATCGAAAACAAAGAGAAACCTTTCTGTCAGAAGATTTGCTGCAACTTCAACAAAGAAGGTTACGATTTTGAGGAGAGAAAGAGATCTAAGACGACGGAGGCGGCGAAATTTTCGAAATCGGTTTGCTTTTTCTACCTCCTCTTGGGTTTCCGACAGTGGGAGGGATCTCTAATTTTCTTTTAGTTTTAGGTCAATAGGAACTTTGAGTTTTATCAGTCGTACCCCACTTAGCTTTAGTAAGTGTCTCCATTCATTATGGTTCTTATTACCTATTTAGCTTGCAAGTCTTTCAACGGATCCGATGTCGTCCAGTGGTTAGGATATCTGGCTTTCACCCAGGGGACCCGGGTTCAATTCCCGGCATCGGAGTTAATTTTTTTAACTGCTTTCTTTAAAGTAGTGCTTAAAAGTTCGAAAACAAAAGATTTTAATAATAAAAATAAATTAAAAAATAGTGAAAGGGTATCTGGCTTTCACCCAGGGACCTTCAAATCCCGGCATCGGAGCTTTTTATTTTTTAAATTACTTTTTATGAAGTGCTATCGATGCACAAAACTTCACACCTGCCTAATTTAGGCATCCAACTCCAAAGATCATGAACCTCGAACATCTCCAGTAACTAAAACTTGAGCATAATCCTAATCATATACAACTGTACAGTTTTGAATGGTTTTTAGCAAATGAAAAGCTGATAATCAGGTTCCAGAGCTCCGACATTCAAGTAATTGACATCAACAGCAGTAGTTCCCAAATCATCTGATGGAGAAGAATAAGGCACAGGAGATATCAATAAATCATAAATCTTTAAAGAGAATTTGCGTTTATATCACTAATGAGAACTACAATTAAGCAAATAGAAGATGAGTGAGATGAGAGAAAGCTTAGAAGAGCTGTTCGAACCTTCGTAGATAGTTCTCACAAACTTAACATAGTTAGGGATGAGATCTCGGTATATGATTCCATCTGGATGCGCATCAAGCACCACAAGTACACCTATGGATCAATCAAAGAAAAGGTAATATTTACAATTGCTTCTCGTTAATGGGGTTCTGAATTGAATAAGAGTTGTCTTGGATGCGTTTGAATCAAAGACATGTTAGACGTAATTCCCTAACGGCAAGATTTTCTTGCAGAACTATACCGTGTTCATTCAGATGGTTAAGGAATGATGATTTTCCTTTTTTTTTACTACTCACAGAAGCCAGAAATGATACCTGGAGCAAGCCAACCTGGAGTAGATTTGCTGGGCAATGGTGCAAGCCAGAGGATATTTCTCAAGTTCATCGAATCATCGTACTTCACATCAGATTCTAACAGAAAGGAGATACAGTCATATTCCTGAAGAACGATGGAGGAATTCTTGTTTCAAGAGATTGCAAGAAAAGTCTAGTCACACGGGCAGGAGCACACAGGTTACCTCTCTGGCAATATCCCATGTTGTAAGGAAACACTTTCTTGTCATAGGCTGGATACTCTTTAGCATGAAACCTGCCAAAAGAAAAAAAATTTGCATCAGCTAAAGATACTGATCAACAACACTCGCTAAAATATGCTTCAATCATGTACACATCTTTAACCTTTCAAGAAATGATATTGCAACAACACAAAACCAACTCCTAGCAAAACATTACCCTTGTTTACTTCAGTCACAAGACTATTTCAAGAACCCTGGTGTACAATAAGAAGACAAGAGGGGCTTACAATATCCCAAGGCGTCCAGATTCTGAAGCAAGGAAGAGGTGGCCATGGAACAAATCAAATCGAGTCAAGGAAACATTGAATCCGACACTCGGTCCCCTAGATTCAATTAGACGAAACAAGAACTCGATATATGAGTTCACTTCCTGTTCATTGGCATCACCAATCAGATCACAACGCAATGATATCTGGAGGGAAAAAAAAACACCAGTCATGCTCGAGATAGCTTTACCTCTGCTATGAAGTGACGGCCATAAGGAGTTCTCGTGAGTTGACATTTGTCTTTCCTTGATCCTTGGACATCAGGAACCTACACGAAACCGAGTCTAAGCAAATTCAACACTACTCAAATCAAATTAAGCGTCAATCTCAGACGAACCGGGAGCATTTTGGGATCGAGGGTTCGCTGAATTGCGCCGGGATCGCCGCCGGAGTCAACAGCGAGACGAGCGAGCTCGAGAACCGGCTCCGGTGGCCACCAGACGAGAGAATTATCCTCTTCAGACTTGCTCCGCCTCTCAATTTTCCCAGAACAGAGTCCAGTGCGGAGCGAACATCGTCCCATTTCGGGTCCAGAACTATCCGATTTGAAAGGGACGAGGAATCTGAGACACGACCGGATTTCTCGAGATACAATGGGGTTAAGGGTGGACGCGGCGGAGGGTGGTCCTAGAACAGAGAGCAGATCGTCGGCGGTGGCTTTCGGAAGCGACGACGGAGAATGGGAAGCGGAGAGCTTGAAGGAAGAGGCAGCTGCGAGGGAGAAGGAGATGAAAATGGTGAAACGAAGAGGTGTGTACGAATTCACCATCGTCGCATCCTCCTTCTGATGGTTTTTACTGATGGGTTATCTTGTTGCGCTTTATTGGAAACAGTGGATTAAGATCAAAATTCTATTAATCATGCGGTCTTCACGGTTTTAGTTGGGACAAGTAAAAACTAAAATGCAACTCCTTTTCTTTTCTTGTGTAATGTACCTCAAATTCGATTAGTAATCATACGACACAGTCCAATCAACATACTCTATAAGTGAGAAGAAGGTACTAATCAAAAAGACCAAACTTCTCTCGAAGAAGAAGTAAGTTGGCTCGTGATAGTTGCAAAACACATCCCGATTTTTCAGGTTTGGAACTCATTGCAATTGGCTTCATGCAATCTGCTTGGAATTACATCAGAATTGACACTAAGCAACACCGTACTTGCACGTTTCTCACAGGTTCTTGCTGGATACCATCTCACTCTACCACTAGGGATTCTTGAGCTTCCTTCCAAGCTATACTTCGAGAGAAGTTTATTTTGCTACTTTTCACCTATATTATTGTTTTCTTTTAAACATTTTCTTCATTTCTAATAACATGATCGTTAAGAAGTAGTACTATATGGAGGCTAAGTATGTATCCTTTTGACAAATTTCACGCTAATTACAAATGGTTTCTTATACTCTTGTCAACAAAAATGTTTCTTCAACTTGAGTTCTATTTAATTTCTCCCAACAGTCATCATTTTTGGTAATAAACATTCTCTTGCTAAAATCTGCATTGTTTTTTTTTACATACAAAAACTATATATGTATTTACAAATGGAAATTATATTTAACATGATCTGATGAAGCTTCTGTATATTTCATGACAGATAATTTATAGTCAAGAATATATCGGTGGGTACGACTGTGATGGCCCCAACATGCCACCAACAACCAAATAAAGAAACGATTCTGCCTTTGTTTTCAATTTCTATACATTTGAATTTGCTTTTCTAAGTCTTACTTGTTAGATTGATTTTTTTTAAAACAAAACATTATCAAACCTTTCTTTTAGAAAACGATTTGATTCTGCCTTTGTTTTTAATTTCTACACGCTTAACTTTTGTATATTGATAACATTGACAAACCTTTCTTTCACACAGATCATTACGAATTTCCTATAACATATAGAAATGCACTTATGTGGCATGTAAGGTTATTGCTTAGACGTTATGTTCGATTATTCGGTATTCCAGTTAGACATATGTAACGAGTTTGCTAAGCGCCTCACTGGCGAAGGTACACTGATCCATTAAAGGACACTTCCAAGTACTTTTTATTGATAGAGTATGCGATAGATTCATGACTTTATGGAACTATACATGGCAAATATTATACCATCTTGACGAATTTATATACATGTTCATGTTGTTCTTGGTAGACACCATCGGTTTAAGCTGTATAAATGTCATGGATAATAAATATAAAAAATTCGAGTGCTTTTAAGCTATGTACATACCACATAGATCTTTTATGCTTACGTCGAAATCTGGAAAGCAAATTCGCAATAAACTAAGTTTTAACCTAGCTTGAGGTAAAGTCAAAACTAATAATCGCTCTAGTAGTAGTAACTAACGAACAAAACTTGATCACTTTCCTATATAAGCAAAAAATTATTTTGATCAACGAAATTCCGAAATAAATATATATAAAAAACGGATAGCATAAAATATATAGGCATATTTATATCACTGTATGTATGATTTCGTAACAACGAAACCAATATATCTGTAAGTGAGATAAGTAAAAGTACATATAAGATCCAAACAAACAAACAAAAACATTTGAGAAAAAGGAAAATCAAAAACGGGAAGGGTAAAACCAAGCAATTCAAATTTCAGCGCCTGCACCTGGTGATCTTGCTGCAGCCGCGACTGTAAGGGTTAGCCTGAGCGCCTCGTTTGCAGTTGTAGTAAGATGCGCCGCGTCGGGAACAAGGAACGTTGTTCTTCCTCATCGCACCGTAGCTGATGTACTTCTTCGAGGCTAAAATGCGCCTGCTGATCTCGGAATCGAATTCGAACTCTTCTTCTTCTGCTATACAGTCCGCGATTGATCCTTTGCAGTCAGAGGACGATCCGGTTCGGACGACGAAACCCAACGCGTCTTCGTAGCCTCCGGCTTCAACGGCCGCGATTACGATTATGAGAATCGCGACGACGGCGTAAATCATACGAGAGTTCACCATTTTCTTCGCGAAACCTTCGGACAGAGTCAAAGGCTTTTCAGCTTTTTTTCTATCTTCGTAGAGTTTTTCACCTCCGGCTGAGTTTTCTCTGAATCGTTTTCTTGTGTTGAAGACAACAAAGGCTTAGCGTTTGGTCTTTACTCTTGAGCCTCTTTTAAAAGTATTTAGAATGGACATCCTCTTGGCTTTATTTACGGAAACACCATCGATACTTCGATATTTTTCTTAATTTATACTTTGTTATTCGAAAATTGACTTGTAGTTGTAGCCTAGCCTTGAATATGTTGTTATAATAGAACAAACCAATCAGCCGACAAATCACAAATGTAAAATAATGGCAGTTCGGTAATTATATAAATAAAACCATGGCCCCGGTTCGGCTGCAACTGGTTGACTGGTTTGTAACCGTGTGGTGAAATAACATAACTCCATTCAATGTTCCGTTAACATCAACGGGCGTTTTATCATCCTCTGTTATAATTGATCGCTGACTCGCTGTGACACCCTCCGATAATATTTTTTTTAAAGAAGTTGAATCCCAAAATGAAGACGTGTAGGTCACTCCTCAAATCCTAATAAACACCACCATCCTAGTGTTTTATTTTATGTTTTGATAAACCAATCATCATAGAGTTGACAAATTACATACCAAACAAGAGATGTTAATAAGCAAAAATAAAATTGGTGTGAATAGATATTATACATTTTTATATATGGACGGATGCAGAATAATGTTTAACTGGTGGCGTATATATCTTATATGAAATCTGGCTAGGGGCATCTAAATGAATTTGTCCTATGTTAATGCAATCTATTTATTTCAATGTATAACGAACATATATATGAAAAAACTGTTTTGACTGAGTAATGATTAAAAATGTGATGTCTGCTTCACATTTAGGTTTCAACCAGTGACCAAGGGAATGAGGAGGAATAATGAATTTCTCTTTATTCCTTAAAAAATTTACTATTTACTAGTAATAATATTTCCCTATCATTTCTTTTTATTCCTTATCATATAAGGAATTATAGAACAAATGTATTCCTTATTAAAATTGGGGAGGAACAAAATATATTTATTTACTTCCTTATATATTTTTTATTCCTATTCATTCTTTTCCTTTTGTTTCTTTCATTCTTTTCATTTTCATTCATATTCTTTTTTTATTGGTTACCAGTTAAAAACGATAATAAGAGGGACAGTTTTTCTTCAAATATACATTCATTTTCATACTACACGTTAGATTTCTAAAAGTGTGTAACAAATAACAGTGAATTGTAATTTCAGATATCGAAGATATTCACATTCAGTCTTGAGCCATTACATAAGAACAACTTGTTCATTGCTGGTTTTCTAACCAGTTCACGATCCATTAATATTATATTACGATACGGAGTTTGTACTGTATAAACAGAAATAGTTAATAATTTATGTTGGTGACACTTAAAACCATCACATATTCACATTGTCTTGATCAGGTGGGCGTCAAGCCAGCGGGACAACTGTATGTGTCGTTTCGTTGGTTGAATCAAGAGTTTTAGAGGTTGTTCAGTGTGACTATCCACATGTCATTTGATTTTATATTTTATTGCAGCATAAAAATTAGTGTGAAACTAGATTAGAGATAGATTATATTTTTTTACCATAAAGTGGGATAAAACAAATTAATCTTTACCCAAAGTTCTTCTTTTGTTTATTGGTCTTGTAAAACGGTGAAAGACACCGGTGATTACGGAAAACAATAAGATTACCAAAGATACATGAAAGAATCTTTTTTTTCCCTTTTTTACAATTAAAAATTACTCGACTGCAAAACAAAAATTAGAGAATAAAATCGTTAATTCTTTTGCCGAATTTCAAACCTCAAAGATTTCACGAGAACATTACAACTGTAAATTGAAAGTAATAATAACACCATCTAATTTGTATTGTTATCTTTTAACAAAATGGATATCATCATCATCGATTTCTTATATTTACAGGTGCAATATATTATTTTCTTTTTCTTTTGTCATTTCATCTAGGTAAAGATCTTTAAATGTTTGACTCTTGCAAGTAGATAAGAGCTAGAGGCATAAATATTTCAAGATAAAACTTTTAGAATAAATATAAAGTGTTTTAAATGGTTGTTCGTTAAATTATAAAAAATTAGATTTCATAGTTTTAAGTAATTTTTTTTAAGTTTTTTTTTTTCTGCGAGATGTCAGGTAGATGCCTCTTGGAAACAAGAGAGTCTAATATCTGGAAGAGGTCTTTTTTCTGGAGCGCGAAGACGGGAGACGGATGATAGGTCTGATGGCAATTGACCAAGTCTTATTCCTACTTCATGTGGAGATGGAAGTCCTGTTATAGGCTATGCGAGTTCTCACATCCAGCCAAATTTCTCGACTGATTTTTCAAACAGACTGCCAAATGTTGGTAAGATTTATAGAAGAAGAAGAGGAATAGCCTGCTTTAGCAACAGAGTTAGAAGAATTTGAGATCCTCAAATCTTATCTTCATGAATTTTCTCTTGAATTTATTCCTTGGAATTTTAATGTAAGGGCTGATTGTCTTGCAAAAAGCGTTCAAACTCGAGAATCCTCTTTCTTCTATGTAAACAATTCTCTTCCAAACTGGTTGACTCTTGAGCCATCCTTATTTAAAATTTAATAATGCAAAGAGCTTTTGTCGTTAAAAAAAAAGTTTTTATAACAAATCATTAATTCACCCAAAATCTTATTGTTCACATTCGAATTATACCGTTTTCTTATACAAATCATTTTAAATTTTAATTTGAATACATTTTTTTTGTGAAAGACAATTCTTTCGATTACTTTAGCAACAGCAGAGTAGGATCGTAGTATAGTCCGAATTGCCATCGCCATCGCTATCGCCATCTTCCTTAAAGTTATGTGTCTGTATCTAGCTTTCTATTTTTTAAAGATATATTAAGTTTGATTATTATAAATGATGGAAATAATGTTTTCACTGTCACATAACAATGAGTTATATTAATGTACAATTTGAACAATACCATATTTGTTTGTGTATTTAAAATACATTCAATAACACCTACTTAGTAAAATCAAAATGGTTGAAAAAACAAGAAAAAAGTAAACTCAAAAAATATATACGAGGAAGAAAAAAACGATAGCAAAATGGGCCTTTAGTGGGCCAACCCATTTTAAAACTTAGGGTTTCTCGCAGGTATAACTTTGTGGCTTCTGCTCCGTCTCCCTTCTCTTCCGCCGCACTTGCTTTGCTTCTCCTCAGGTAAACTTCACTCGCTTGACTTCATCGTCTCTTCTTCGTTTTTGATTTGTTTCTACGCCATCGTAGTCGTTTGTGATATCGATCAGCTGTGAGAACATATGGATTCCTATTTTATTTTATTTTAGAATACATTTCGATTTGTAGTTTTCATTTCGTGGATATTTTTTTGCTGTCATCCTGTTTACGCTGCGCACGAATAAGTAAATCAATAGTTTTGGTGAAACCTAGAGCTCTCGCTTACTATAAGTACCTTAAGATATTCAATTTCGTAGGATTTTGCTATCTCACTGAGTTTTGGATTGGTTTTAGATTTCTATAACTGGTGCTAATCTATTTCCCCAGCTCTTAGCTTCACTATAACATTGAATCGTTGTGGTTTCAGTCTCTTGGATGTAATTGTTTTGTCAATCTATTTGTTTTCAACGAGTTGGATCATTCATGACAATCTCTTGTTCCTGTTGAATCCTTCAGTAATTTCGAGACCGATAAATGGCAACAATAGATTTTCATGTTTGCTTCCACTTGCAAACACTATGATCTCAGTTTTTTTTTAACATAATGCGATTCGTCATCGTTGGTTATAGTCTAACATAAGATGTTCTGTGTTCTGTATTTTACAGTCTTTGGATTTAGATTCGTCTTCTCTTCAACTTAATCTTCACGATGCAAAACGAAGAGGGTCAGAACACGGAACTATACGTTCCTAGGAAATGGTAAATAAAGCATTTCTTCATGTTATTGTGATCTCTCACAGACCTCTTTGCTAACAAAATTGGTTCTTGTTTGTTTGACTGATACTACAGCTCTGCCACTAACCGGTTGATCACATCAAAGGATCATGCCTCTGTGCAGCTCAACATTGGTCATTTAGATGCTGATGGCATCTACACCGGACAATTCTCAACCTTTGCTCTCTGCGGTTTTGTTCGTGCCCAGGTTTGTGATTCAATTCTCTCTAGGCTCTAGATTCTTGTATTCCCAATTTGTCAATAGCTTTTGTCCAACCCTTGTTATATTTGCTTTTCTTGGAGATATAAGAACTTATCATCGTGAGCTAACACTACAACCATGTCTAATCTTCATTGTATAAACTGATAACTGACGATGAACTATCTGCAGGGAGATGCTGACAGTGGTGTGGACAGGCTGTGGCAGAAGAAGAAGGTCGAAGCCAAACAAAACTAAGACCTTTAGCTGTCTTTATTTTTTGTCGGAATTTTCGTACTTTTAAGAAAAGATCATCGGACATACTGAAGTAATGTTTTTTGCTTGACTCATGGTTTTAGTGATCTTGTGCACTTGCTTGTTCTGATCTTCTCCTAAGTGACTTATTATCTTCAATTTGCGGAACCTTCCTCATTCTCAAGTTCTAGAGTTCGAGTCGAATTGAATAAACGTATCTCCCTTTCTATCAAATACTGTTTAAACATCATATTCATAAGCTCTGGCCATTTTCGATTATCCCGTTTCGTAATTTTGATTGGGTTATCTTGGAAAATGTAGGAAATTAGTATGGTTTGTACCGTTTATATCTCTGATTAAAATATGTTTTCCTTGATTATTCGCTTGTTCATGATAACTATCGAGGAAGCAAATCATTTCAACCGAATTCTGCATTGTCTCAACGACCAATTAAAGCAGTTAGACATATAAGAAAATTCAAAATTATTCATCAATGATGTTATACATCTGTATAGTTTTTGTTTTTCCTCTTCTAAATGCGTTAACGTGTGGATTGGTTTTCGAAACTGGAATCAGATTCTCCTTCTCGGTCAGTTCTCATTTAACCATTGAGTAATTAAAGAATCACTGAAATGTTTTACGTTTTGGGTTAAAACATTTGGTTACGATTTTGATTCCACACGTTAAAATGGTGGGTTTCATGGAAAATACAATAGTTTGTTTGTATTAAACTAAAACAAGTAAGACCAATCCAACAATACGATTCCTTGAGGACACTATATTACATATATTCTTCGTCATCAGATATGCTTTCTGAAAGCATCTCAAAACCCGCAAAAGCCATCCGTTCCTTCCAAATATATCTTTCTTTCCCAATTATTCTTATTCCCTTTCAGCTAGAATCTCTCTTTTTATTTATCTCCTAAAAAGATTTGTTCTTCTCAAAGTTCAATTATTCTCCTCAATGTTATTCCAAATTTTGCACCCAATAAATGATATTCGAAAATAGTACCTCTCATCTCACCATGTCACTTGCGTTTCGGTGTATTATTTGAGTATTTGGGTTTAATCGGTAAAACAAGCTAAACGCGACAGAACAATGCCGTATGTTTTCTTACCAATTACTAATTTTGTAGAATCGTAAATTATATTTAACTTTTCTTTACTGTCATTAGAAAATCAAATATGTACGTAGTATGTTCTTTGGAAATTGGCATATAGAAGATTTGTTTTCTAATCGTAATATCATCAATTAGAGATCTGTATAAAAAAACGGATTTATCATTAAACTACGTTTTCATATTTCATTTACAACAAAAAAATCTACTAGGTATAAGAAATTCGTTTTGTGCCCAAACTTTTATTCAAGCCTTTCATATAGAAGTTTAAAATTTAAAATTTAACTACTGGTATTGTCTTCGGTAATTGTTTACGAAAATTCCCCGGTAGTAGCAATATGCCATTTCAAGCCATTATGTCATTTGATTTTTAAAAACTTAAACCAATCACATGACGCAACAAGCGTTTGGATTGCCTTCGCTGAGTGCCTCAAACGAATCCGACGGCTGAGATCTATACGAATAAAACTCGGGCGGTGGAGATTCGTAGCCCGTGTCCACGTACTCATACGAATAATACGACGTCGGACGGGGAGGAGGAGCCGCGTAATACGACGCCGTCTCATTCCCACCGTTACTCGGGCCGTGCGCCGTGTTGTAGCTCACCGTATAAGACGGCGCCGTTTGAGGCTGCGCGTGATAATACGTAGGAGGCGGCGGACCGTACATTTGGTGCTGATGATGACGTGGAGGACTGTGAGCCATCGGATACGGATGCTGCTGCTGATGATGAGGATGATACTGATCTGGTGGAGCAGAGTATATCACAGTCTCTGGTGGTCCATCATGCTGCGGCGGAGCACCACCACCCCCACCACCGCCTCCTTCCATCACGACCGTCGTGCTCCCTGAGCTCTTCTTCTTCTTTTTCTTTTTCTTCTTCTTTTTCGGAGCTCCATCTCCAGAAGGAGGTTGAGGTTGACCGTTGATTCCAAACGTCACAACTTGCTTAACCTGATCACAACCTCCTCCTCCGCCACCGCCGCCACCTCCAGGCCCGCCAATGCATGTACCAACATCAATAACGCCACCGTTATTGTTGTTGTTTTCGTCGTCTTCGTCATCTCCACTGCTTTCGTCATCTTCGTTTTTAGGTTTCTTTTGTTTCTTCTCTCCCTGGTAATTACAATCGTTGTTGTTGCCCTCCATTGACGTCGGCCATAGCTCGGCGTGTCTACCGGCTTTCATGATCTTCTTTATCAGAAGCTCCGGCTCGACGTTTCCAATCACCGTTACTTTCTGCTGCTTCACGTCGATGTTCGTTGTATATACACCTGTTTTATATAAATGAATCAACTAAGTAAATGAAAAAGAGAAGAAGAAAAATGTAAATGATCACTTCTATATATTTACCATCTATTTTGCTCAGTATTTTCTTGATTTTTCTCTTGCATCCTTCGCAATGGATAGAAACTCTCAAAACCCATGTCTGCAACAACAAAAACGAATAAACATTTCTCAAGAAGTAAGAAAAAGAAGAGAACTATATGAAATAGTTGATTATAGATATATGCTGATGATCTTACGGTGTATCTGAGAGGTTCAGGGTATTCTTCAAAGACATGTCTCTCTTCTTGTCTTGGCTCAGTTTTGATCTCTGTTCCGATTTGTGTTCCTAGGTCCATTGGAGAGAAGGAGAAAGAAACCGAGGGAGAAGGAATCGATGCAACTTCATGCGTATTGTAGAAATAGGTACGAAGTCATCGCTTCTGTATCTTTATTGGTAGTCCTTTAGCAGATAATATTCTCCATTATCTCATAAAGTTGTTTTTCCCTATAAAATATTCTATGTTTTCATTAAACATTTTTAGAGATTTTTTTCTTCTTCATAAAACATATTACTAATAATTAATCTTCTTTTTTTTTTTCTCTTGTGAAGTAGCAGCAAGGTGATACGGAAGAGTAATACATTACGGTATCAAATCTAATCGAAGTTATGAGAGATTAGATGACAAAATCCAAACAACCAAGCTTTAATTTAACCATATTAAACTAGAATGTAATGATGCATCCCATTTGTTAGCTAGAATGAGTCATCTAAATAATATTTGTTTCGTTTGTATTTATTAAAAATTTTATAATTAGTAAAAAACATATTTCCAAACCATTTCATGATTCATCAATCCCACACTTGATACGCCATTGGACGACATTAGATAGTGTTTTTGTGTGTGTAGACTGTAGAGATAGTGAGATACTAAAGCCATTTATCTATCTGTAACGTATTGATTGAGGCTATAAACACTAAAACTGATTGGGTTATGCAGTGCAAGTTTAATTTGATTTCGTATCCTTTCGAACTGTACAATAATAATTGACATCATTAAACCTAAGTTTCAATGATGACGATCCAACTATTCTTCCCAATCAAAATGATAGGATTTTAGTGAGTACAGGGAAAATATAATTTTGAACCAATTTATTCATCTAAAATGCAAAATCAGCCTCAAACAGTTGATTAATACAAAACGACGTCATTCTGGGGCAAGCGCGCGGCAACTTTTTATGCACCTTCGTCCTCTCTCATTCATGAAATTGTCAGTGCTTTTGATTGTTGATTGATTTTGGCGCCTAGGGTTCTTATTTGCAATTTCCAACTCGTTTGCATCTTCTCGCTTGTGGGTTTCCCATAAAAGAAATTGTCGTTCAAGGTGAGTGATTAAGTTCGAGAGGTCTTTGTGCTCGGCGAGAAATTGGGGGCGGAGCATTGCTAGTTAATTGGAATTTCGTTTACTAGGGTTTGGAGTTCTGAATTTGGGATTATCCGGTAGTTTATGAATCAAACTGCTGTATGATCCTTAGCCTATTCATATAAAGGACCCACGCAGTTTAATTTCAATGGATAAACTAGATTCGTCTTCCGACGAAGTTGTGGTGACGCTTGTTGAAATGGGCTTTGAAAAATTGGATGCTATGGAGGCTGTAAAAGCTGTTGGTAAGTCGTGTGATGACGCTGTGGAGTATATCTTGAAGGGTCATCATCACAGAAGTAGTGGATTCTCTTCGGCTGCTTCACTATGTTCTACGACGAACAATAAGACCCTTGGCAAAAGAGCTGTGCCATCTTCGAAGTTTTCTTCGGGATCAATGCGACAATCGAGTTTGCTTGACCATTTTAAATCCGTGGACCGGAACAAGAAAAAAGGCGACAGCTTTGGGACTGCAGAAATGGATCCTCAGCTAGAAACGCCGCGAAAGTCTTCTCTTCCAGCGTCTGGTTGTTTTGTTGATACACAATTGTTAAATGGTTGCTCAGAGGCTTCATCAACTTGGGAGAAAAGGGTTATTTCTATACTAAGGACTCGGTTTGGTATTTCATCCCTGAAAAGTTTCCAAAAGGAGGCTTTGTCAACGTGGGTTGCTCACAAGGACTGTCTTGTTCTAGCTGCAACGGGATCTGGTAGTTTCTATTTTCATCGCTGATGCCTTCTTCATTCCTTCATAGTTCCTACACGGAGTCAATACGGCATTCTAATTGCGGCTTCTGTGTGTTTCACCATGCAGGGAAATCGCTTTGCTTCCAGATTCCTGCGTTATTGACGGGAAAGATTGTTGTCGTAATTTCACCTTTGATAAGCCTGATGCATGATCAGTGTCTCAAGCTATCAATGCACAAAGTCTCTGCTTGTTTTCTAGGCTCAGGCCAACTTGATAATCGCATAGAACAGAAGGCAATGCAGGGAATGTATCAGATCATATATGTTTGCCCTGAGACAGTGGTTCGGTACACAGCACAACTTTCTGAAAATTCTCTTTAGTGCATTTATGTTACTATGTTTCTGGTTAAAGAAAGACTTAAAACTTGGTCGCAGATTGATTAAACCACTCCAGAAGCTCGCAAAAACTCATGGGATTGCTCTTTTTGCTATTGATGAAGCGCACTGCGTATCAAAGTGGGGGCATGATTTTCGTCCGCACTACAGGTATGATTTTGAGAGTCAAAACTTGCAAGTGTTATTGCTTTTAGTATTCTAAACAAATCTACCGCTGCTGGATTTTTAGGAAACTATCTGTGTTGCGGGAAAACTTCTGTGCCAGCAATTTGGAATTCCTGGAATATGATGTACCGATAATGGCATTGACTGCAACAGCCACGGCTCACGTACAGGAAGATATTCTTGATTCACTTCACCTGTCAAAGGAAACAAAGACTGTGCTTACTTCATTTTTCAGGCCAAATTTACAGTTTTCAGTGAGTTCTCCAGCGCAGATATAATCCCACTTCAGATTTATAGAACTCTTTTTGCATCCGTTAACTTTAGGAATAAGATTAGCAGATTAGTCTGTAACTTTCTCCTTGATGCTGATATGTAAATCATTAGATGTACAGCTTAAAGCTGATATTTTTCTGTCATTTACAGGTTAAACATAGTCGAACCAAGTCTGCATCGTCATATGAAAGGGACTTCCAAAACTTGATTGACTTATACTCTGGAAAGAGAAAGGCTATAGGGAAAAAGCTAGCAGTTATCGCACGAGAGTCAGAGGAGCAGACTGATTTTGGTTATCACGATGCTGAGAACATCCATGAGACAGATAACGATGATGATGAAGAGGATCCAGAAAACTCTTTGGCAAATCAAAACAGTTCAAGTGGGAAAGAAATGTCAGAAGAGTATCCGGAAGATGAAACCGACATCTTCCAGAGTGTTGATGATTGGGATGGTATGCTCCTTTTCATTTTGTTTGGAAGCAGAGAGCGATCTGAAACTGTTAATAAAATTCCATAACTTTGATTAAAAAATTGGTGACTGCATGTAACTAAATTGATAATAGCGTTAGTAAAATAAATAGGCTTGGCATCTGACTAAGTTTTGCTTGGGGAAAAGGTCACTAATCCAAAAGTGTATCATTGTTGTTGAGGAATGGTGGTTTATATGAGATTTAATTATTGCAGTTGCTTGTGGGGAGTTCTGTGCAAGGTCTCCTTGTGAAACCCTGGATATGCCTCTCCCTCCCGGAAAGCAAATACCTGACGAATCTGGACACAACTATAGTCTCCAGCAGAAGGATTTTGAAGGACCGACAATCATTTACGTTCCTACAAGAAAGGAGAGTGTCAACATTGCAAAATATATCTGTAGGGTTGGACTGAAGGCTGCAGCTTACAATGCATCGGTATGGACTCAAAAATCTTACTTTCGAAGTCTTCTGAACTGTTTCTTTAGGAAAGAAAATTGTCAACCTCTGTTTACTTGGTATCAAGTCAATATTTCAACCAAGCAGCTATTGTTTTTGTTTCCAGTTTACGATGGGAAAATTTTATGTTGTGAATTGAAATGCAGTCCTTTTTAAATGTTGTTCTGGTTTTAATAGTTTGTTACATTTCACAGTTGCCAAAAAAACATCTCAGACAAGTCCACCAGGAATTTCACGACAATAAGCTGCAGGTACATTCACATGGAACCTTCATGTTCTTTTTGTCTGGATATTATGTTGAAGATTGTTAACGTTATGGTACTCCTCTTCAGGTTGTTGTTGCCACAATTGCGTTTGGAATGGGAATTGACAAGAAAAATGTCCGGAAAATCATCCATTATGGTTGGCCGCAGGTCTCTCTGAAAGCTTTTTATACGATTTTCATATTTAACATATCCATCTCCGTGAATAGTGCGCTTTGCAAATTGGTTGTTCTGTTTTCGACATCTCACTGAAATAATGAAACTGCAGAGCTTGGAAGCATATTACCAAGAAGCTGGTCGAGCTGGAAGAGATGGGGAATTGGCTGAGTGCGGTGAGTTGATTAATAATAGTTTTTGTTTGTTTGTTTGCAGTGTAAACCTTAATCATCTTGCGATTTTCAGTGCTCTATGCTAACCTGTCGAGAGTACCAACGCTTTTGCCAAGCCGTAGGAGCAAAGAACAGACAGAGCAAGCTTACAAGATGCTATCTGATTGCTTCAGGTATGTATACTAGTCAAATACGTGTTTGTGTGCATCTTTCACTTTTCTTTTGGTATTCTTTTACATTCATGCTCCTTTCTTTATGCAGATACGGGATGAACACTTCACAATGTCGAGCAAAAATTCTCGTGGAGTACTTTGGGGAGGATTTTAGTTCCAAGAAGTGTAACTTGTAAGTCCTTTTTTTTAAAATAGAAATCGTATAGGTAAATTAGCAAATTGTCGTAGTAATACTTTCTCAATCTATGAAACAGATGCGATGTTTGTACTAAAGGGCCTCCGGAGCAAGTAAATGTACGAGAGGAAGCTAATCTTTTGTTTCAAGTAATCACTGCTTTTCATGTAAGTCTTTTTGAGTAATCCCAAAATTACATAAGTAATTGAGATTTCTTCTTGTCATAACCGTTCTTTCGGGCTCTTAAGCTGCTAGTAGATTAGTTGCAGGTAGAGAATAGCTCTGAACATGCATCATATGAAGATTACGGACTCGGCAACAGCACACAGAAGAAATTATCCCACAAGCCAAATCTTCTGTTCTTCATCAGTAGAATCAGGGAACAGGTAATCTTCTGTTCCAGCAAATTACATAGTGAACTATGTTCTACATGAGATTCAGGTGATGCCTTTGGTTGGTGCAGTCCCAAAAATTCATGGAAATAGATCGCCTTTGGTGGAAAGGTCTTGCCCGTATTATGGAAGCCGAGGGGTACATCAAAGAGATCGATAACAAGGTAGGTGGTACACAGTAGTAACGAAAAGCAAAAAACCAACCTTTTCTTCTTTTGTTTCAGATAGTTTATCCTTCTGAAAATCTGTTGCTGGTTTGTATATGCAGTCTCGTCGAGTTGAGATTGCGTCAATAGAACCAACAGAAAAAGGGAAGAAGCAACTAGATTTTCAAGAGGAGAAGCCACTCTATGTATACCCTGAAGCCGACATGCTTGTTTCGTTGAAGCAACGCAGAACATACAGCGGATTCTCTGATTGGGGAAAAGGCTGGGCAAATCCAGAGATCAGGCGCCAGCGGTTAGAGACGATGAAACGCCCCAGAGAAAGGAAACCCCGAAGAGAACGATCACGACAACGTCCTTTGAAGTTACAAAAGAAAGTTCCATGGAGAAGCAAAGAATGATCTTATATCAACCATCTTCAAGTAAAGAATCCACGTTATATCATCATATCATTTCTTCAATATTCTCTCTCTCTCTCTCTCTCTCTCTCTCTCTCTCTCTCCCTCTTTACCAAACCCATGGATCTTTATGGAAGCATAATAATTCTTTCTACAATTGCTATCTCTGGATCATTCTTCTTTGCTCTCAGTCCCATCTTGAGGCAGAGACGTCGAGCCATCGAGAAGCTGAGGCTCGTGAATGAGGCTTTGGTTACTGCGGAAGAGAACGTGGCGAGGCTTCAAGAGCGCCATGATGTGATTCTCAAAGAAATATGTTCTTATTACCTCGTTAACTCCGAGCTCCAAGAAGTTTTGGTTGCAGCTCGAGCAGCTATTGATGATGCTTCTGGTTTTGTAATGGAGCTTAGAAGATTACAGTTGAATATTTTAAACTCTCTTTCTTAATCAAGTTTTAATGCTTGCGTAATTGAATACATAATTAATACGGTTCTGTGGATTGTAAAAAATAATGTTTAATTAGTACGGGCCACTATTAAATTAAATTGAAAGTTGGGTTAATTACTGACCCGATGTTAAAGAAGGACAGATAAAGCTTGTATTGCGTGGGAGATAGATCTGACGGCTGAGATTACTCGAGTGTTTATTTTCTCCTTCCTTTGCGGCGCCCACGTGTTGTTAACTAAATACGTCGACACACACACACACATGGTGAAGAGCATCATCAACATGGTATAACAGGAACCGTTGGATCAAAAGCAACGAGATACAATCTGAACGGATAACATCACTAATACTCGGATTGCCAGCGTGGCCGTAGATGGTATATAGATACACGTTGTTGCGTCCACATTTTCCGCAAATCGGAAACCGCCACAAAACCGAAAAAAGGGAGAAGAAACACACAAATACTGCTTTTAGATCCGAATTTGTGCATTTCATCTGTTTCCAATGGAGTCACCAGCAGCAGCGAAGCCAGCGAGAGGTGCCGGAGGAAGAAGGGGCGGAGATAGGAAGAAGAGTGTTACCAAGTCGGTCAAGGCTGGTCTCCAGTTTCCTGTGGGTCGTATCGCTCGTTTCCTGAAGAAGGGTCGGTATGCGATTAGGTACGGCTCCGGTGCTCCTGTCTACCTCGCCGCCGTCCTCGAGTACCTCGCTGCTGAGGTAATTCTAGATCTCCTTCTCTCCGTGCATTTTGATTTCCGGATTTGCATTCTAAATTGGTGTAGGGGAATGGTTCGTTGGAAATAGAATTAGGGTTTGTGTAGGGATCAAGTCTAATTCGATTCGGAGTTCTGATTTATTCGATAGATCTGCTTAATTTTGAGTTTCCATTTCCGTTTTATTCGGATCTAACGAATCTACTCTCTCTCGTTTTTCGTTGGTGTCAGGTTCTGGAGCTCGCCGGAAACGCAGCGAGAGACAACAAGAAAACGAGGATAAACCCTAGGCATCTTTGCTTGGCGATAAGGAACGACGAAGAACTGGGGAAGCTTCTTCACGGAGTCACCATCGCAAGTGGAGGAGTTCTTCCAAACATCAACCCGATTCTTCTTCCCAAGAGAGTTGCTTCTTCGTCTCAGACTGAGAAGGCTTCACCAGCTTCCAAATCTCCTAAGAAGGCTTAAAAAAATCTGTGTTGAGAAATCAATGTGTTTAGGGTGTTGCTTTGGTTATATCGATCTAGAAGAACATCTTGTTTTGCGTTTTGTTTTAGGGATTGTGTAGGTTTCTACGTTCCCCATTTGGTTGTCTATGGAAACCATGGGAAGATAATGTTTTAAGTCATTTTGTTATGATCGAACTAATTTCTGGATTTGTTATCAATTTCAGTAAAAATCAACTGTCTAATCAAATTAATAATTCTGGATTTCTTGCTCTTTGATCTCAAGAAAAAACACAGAAAATATGAATGTATGGATTAGATTGTTTAATCACGTAGGTGTATAAAAGATACACTACTAAAAATGGCGTTTTGGTATTTTGGGAGACAGCTCTAAATTCTAAAAAAAGCCAGTTCCATTAATGACGAAGTAGTTAATAAACTCACCTGGTACATTTAGCGAAAATTAGGGTTCACAAAAAGATGTACTATTTACTCGCCGTTAAAAAAAGACATGCATTTATATAACTTGGGCTTTATTTGGGCCTAAATTGAGAGGCCCATTACAATTGCTACGCGTGTCTCTTTTCGAGATTCTGGAAACAAACGATACAGTATTTCTGAAACTCATATCAAATCAAAGCATTCTTTTCCGCTCCTATACTGGATTTGCGATGATGAACTATCTGGTTCAGTTCTTCTCTCCGATTGTCGATAAACGATTTCTCGATTAATTGGTAAAAAATTCACTGACTCTTTTTTACTTTCATTTGGATGACTTCCTGAGCAGAGAAGAGCCGTCTCTTCTTCGAAGCGAAGCTCGCTTACTCGCATGGTCGCTGTTGCTACCGCTACTTCTGGAATTGTATACGCTAAAACTAATCCAGATGCAGGTAATAATCTAGCTCTTACAATCTTCCTTCTTGACTTATATAGATTTTTTTTTGAATTTGATTTCTCGAATTTTAGATAAACTTGTTCGTTCTGCATTGAAATTTGCCGTGGTTTTGGTTGTTAATGTGAGCTACTCGCTGATAAATGATGTGATGTGTATTCTAGGAACGAGGATATCACTGGCTGTTCCAGAATCTGTTCGGGAGTCTCTGTCAATGTCATTACCTTGGCAGATTTCACAGGGCCTGATTCATCGCCCAGATCAAAGCTTGTTTGGTTCGTAATAAAGTTTCTGATATCTGCTTATGTAACTATGGAAATTTATACTTCTTCATATAATACAGGAAATTTCACGGCGTTTTCTTCCAGAGTCGGTCGAAAATCAGAAGCAGCTGCAAATGATGAGAAGGGAGTTCCGGTTGAAGCATCGGAGGAAAGTGCTAAACCAAGTAGCGGCGGGTACTTGGGGAGAGATACAATAGCAAATGCGGCTGCAAGAGTAGGACCTGCAGTTGTCAATCTATCGATTCCTCAGGGTTCGCATCTTTTTTGCAGATTTATTTTCATTTCTTATGTTGTCTTTGCCAAAGTTGGCTATAGAATTCACCTTGGTCGTTTGGTTATCTTGGTTTTATTTTTCTTCAGGTATCTATGGGATTTCTACGGGGAAAAGTATCGGTTCTGGAACAATCATTGATGCTGATGGTACGATATTGACTTGTGCTCATGTTGTAGTTGATTTTCAAAACCTTCGTCAATCATCTAAAGGGAGGGTAAGTCTAAAAGATGACCAACTCATGTATTTCCGGTATGAATTATCGGAGCTTAGTAAACTGAGGTTATAGCTGATAAGATTAAGTTCTTGTAATGATATTGGCTTGATGGAATATGTTTAATGAAGTTTTAGAGCTGTTGAATGAATTATAGGTTGATGTGACGTTGCAAGATGGTAGGACGTTCGAAGGCGTGGTGGTGAACGCTGATTTGCAATCAGACATAGCATTAGTGAAGATAAAGTCAAAGACTCCATTGCCAACTGCTAAGCTTGGTTTCTCGAGTAAGCTTCGTCCAGGGGACTGGGTAATAGCTGTGGGTTGTCCTCTTTCTCTCCAGAACACAATTACTGCTGGCATTGTCAGGTAAATAAACACATGTAAAGCTATATCTTTTTTATTTATTTAGTAAGCTTGTTATATTCACAATTGCTTGATTTTTTTCTGGTTTTTGCTTCCATTTTGTGTGTGTGTGGCAGTTGTGTTGATCGCAAAAGTAGTGATTTGGGTTTAGGAGGCACACGTAGAGAATATCTCCAAACAGACTGCGCGATCAATGCTGTAACTCACATCTTTCTTACGCTATGGATTGAAAACTTTGACTTGTAGATCCTTTTGGTTTTCTTATCATTGTGCTGTTTGTGTGTCAGGGAAACTCTGGTGGGCCTCTTGTGAATTTGGATGGAGAAGTAATTGGTGTCAACATAATGAAAGTCTTGGCTGCAGATGGGCTAGGGTTTTCTGTGCCAATTGACTCAGTCTCCAAGATCATCGAGCACTTCAAAAAGAGCGGGTATGTTAGTTATCTTTATACCTTTTACGATGGGATTTGAGTTGTATCTTATCTTGACATAAAAACTATTGTTGCAGGAGAGTTATTCGTCCATGGCTTGGGTTAAAAATGATCGAACTCAACAAAATGATCATGGCTCAGCTCAAAGAACGAGACCCGTTGTTTCCTGATGTGGAGAAAGGCATTCTTGTCCCTACGGTGAGTGCGCCCATCAGTAGTTGGTTGTATAATCCTAATATAGTGTCAAATTTTGGATATATTCACCAATGTATTTGCATGATCACTGTTTTGAAGGTGATTCCGGGATCACCGGCTGATCGAGCTGGATTCAAACCAGGTGATGTTGTTGTGAGATTTGATGGGAAGCCGGTCGAGACCATCAAGGAGGCATGTATCATCATTTTCTCAGTCTCTCTCTTTTTCTTCTTCTTAGAATGGAAAGTTCATGTGTGAATGGTGTATAGTTGCAGATAATAGAGATAATAGACGATAGAGTTGGGAAGCGGATGCGAGTAGTAGTGGAAAGATCAAATAAAGAAAGGGTCACACTAGAAGTCATTCCTGAGGAGGCTAATCCAGACATGTGATGTGACACTTTCAATGTCTTATACTAAAAGCTGCAATGAGTTTTTGCTTGCTTTGGTTTCATGGGATTTGCTTCCTCTTTTTCAAGGGAGCAAAGTGAAACCCAAGTCGATGACATTTAGGACAAAAAATATATCCGTACTAATGGCTTCAGTTCATTTAACGTTAGCCAAGGAAGTTGATTGGTAAATTTTTTGTTTGAAAGAGTTCTTTTTGAGGTCAGTGATGAAATGTGGTAGCTGATAAAGGACTAGCGTTTATCGTGATTAGAAACAAAAAAGTTATTAACTATAAGTGGTCGTGACTTAATATTCTTAAGAAAAAGAGGAAACATATCCTCTACCAAATATAGACCATATAGACCAATGTGAAGCTCTTATCTCCTTTTGCTCTCATATTTATAAGTTGTTAACAACTGAAAACTCTGTTACCAAAGCGAACCTGGTCTAATTGGTAGAGGATGTGTTTCCTCTTCAGTTGGGCTCGCGGGTTCGAAACGTCTTTGGTACATAACTCCTCCCTCTCTCTCTCTCTCTTCCTCCAAACAACTCATCGTTGCTTTGATTAAAGGGAGGTAATATAAATTACCTTTTTTTTTTCAATTTTCTTTTTTCAAAACTAGTAAACAAATTTAAGAAGAATAATGAAGTGGTATTTTTGCTTGGAAAATCGAAGAGCATGTAATAATCATCAAACACATAGTGCATCAAATATCATGGCACAATGACTAGTGCATCAAATATCATGGCACAATGACACGAAAATTAAAACAAGGAGAAAGAGAGGGAGAGAGATCCATTATGAACTGTAATACAGTGATTGAAATAACGAACCAAACTAATATCTAACATACAAATATATCACCAAAAATCAAACACGGATACTTGTAAGAACACAACATTTATATCTCAACGGGCTTTGTTTTTATCACAAGGGATGGTAAGGAACGTAGCCCAACAAGCCCGTGACGTTAGCCACAACATCGTTGCATTTTGACAATAGGTTGAGCATCTGGTGAGAGATATCTCCTGAAACAACCGCTGGGCTCGGGCCACGGAAATTTCTTGGCGGTGGTGGCATCGGTGGTTCCACATGGTCCACTGTTTTAATGGGTTTTGAGTATTGTGGAGGGAGAGGAAGAATTGGAGGCAGTGTTGAAGGAGGAAGCTGTTGCTGATGAACAGAGTTTTGAAACTTCTTACTAACAAATTCCATTCCAACAGATGATGATGATGATGAAGGTCCACTGTTTCTATTCGAGGTCGTTGCGAACTGTGGCTCGGTGGTTGCTTTACTCGAGTTTTCTTCACCTACTAACATGAATTTGACTCTTGCGCGGTTACCATTTCCGTTGTTGCTACTATTGCTCGGGTCATCGCTCGGTTTCTTCAAGCAGGATTTGAGGTTGATGTTTGGTGGTGGTAAGATTGGTTGGTGAAGTGGCGGTGCTTGGTCTACCCATTGGCTCTGTGGTTCATCATCTTCCTTTGCGTTTTCTGCTTCATGAGGCTCGGCTTTTGGAGCATCCACGTCTCGGAGAAAGTACCTCACGTTCACGTTTCCAAAGAGGGAGCTGTTTCCTGTTGCGTATCGAAAAGCAGTCTGCGCATCGGCTTTATACAGAAAGACAACACGGCAGGTCGAGGATTTCCAGAAAACCCTGATGGCGGATTGATCCAACAGCCCGAACCGACCAAACCTCGCCTTAAGCAATGCAGCTGAAGGCAGAGATGTGCCAGGTGGAAACTTCATGACCAGCATTGTGGGCTCAACCACCTTCACTGATGGAGCAGTTTTCTTCCCGGTTTGAGATTTTGCTGGTTTTGCTTGAACCGCACCGCTTTGCTCTCTTACTGGTTTTATACTACTATCCTTTGCTTCTCGTCTTATCTTCTTCTCGGAAGCCAATGGTTTCAGCTGACTAGTTTTCTTCAGCTTCTTAGCGGATGGGATCTCGTCTTGACGATCAGAAGAGAGGCGTTTTCTTCCAGCTTTTGATGGGTCTGCGGTTCTGTTCACGGTCTTGATGAGTTTTGAGGGTTTTGTTGTGTCCCTGGCGTTTTCGGCTGTAGCATCAGATGAAGATACAGCCAAGCTTTTCTGGTAATTTAGTGAACGGAAACGGAGAAAAAATTTCCTAGCAGCACCAAAAGAAGCAACTGATGAACCAAAGAAAGGGTCAAGAGAGAGATCTTGCAGATGACCCAACACCTGCGGCACATCAACTTCCATATAGGAATTTAAATGTGCTGAACCAAGCTGGGACAATTTCTTGGCTCCAGCTTCCCCAGAAGATAAAACCTTTCTCTTTTCTGGATGATCAGAGTTTGGCTCTTTCTTCTTTTTCTTTTTCTTTACCGGCTCTGAAGGAGCATTCTCAGAGCCCATTTCGCTTGAAGATCGTTTAGTAACTTTGACTTTCTTGATTACAGACCCTGTGGAACTTTTCCCCTCAGATGCTGATGTGTGAGAACCTCGAGGAGACTCAAGCAGGGGCTGGAGAGAGTTTCCAGCTGATCCGGAATCTGGTCCGGCCTCTTGTTTAAGACTCTCCATGGCTTCAGATTTCACATGATCTGGAGATACAACAGTCTTTTCTTCCAACTTCTCCTTTGATTCTTCAGCTAAACCTTTTTCTTCATCAAGAGACAGCTTTGAAACAGAACTTTCTTTACCAGGAGGAATAGCTGCACTTGAAGAGGTAAAATCCATATTCACAATCCCAGACTGCTCATCTTTGATTGGACTTTGAAGCGTTGGAGCTCTTCTCTGTACCATAATATCTCCATCCGAAGACCCAGGAAAGCCCGTGCTTGAACTTGCTTCAACTTGGCCAAATGGAACAGTCTTCTCTTCAGCTTCATCTCTTCGTTTGAGAAGATACTTGTCTTGTTTTTTTGAATCCTTAACCTTTGTGGGTGTTTTAGAGCTCTTCAAGTCACCTAGAGTTTCTGCTATGACCAGTGGGCCACTCAAGGGAGCTGGAAACATGAGAAGTCGAAAGAGCACATCAACAACCAAAAGAATAAACAACAAGGTAAACGTATGAAGGACTCTCCATAATAGAAAGAGGCGCAGAATTGTTATTAGGACACTTTTTGCAATGCAGATTTTGACATCAAAGTTACTTTGAGCTTTTTTTCCAAACGTGCTAATGTAAAAAGATACGACTACAAAGATATAAATCCCAAAATCAAGAGCCTAGAAAAGGTGAAATCAGAGGATCTAACACTCACAACACCACCAAGTTGTAACAGCTGTTTCAGGCTTGCATAGAAAAAAAAATCCATATACAAAGCAAAGATTACACATAAATGGAAACAATCCCATGATAGTATCTGAAAAGTGACAATACCTCGAGGGGGTGCTCTGTTATGAGGCTCATGCGAACTCACTGAAGTGCGCGAAGATTTCGTGCCAAAGGCCTGTGCATACGTTTCATCAAACTCCTCGAACACCGCCTTGCGGAAAGCAGAAACCACTGCTCTCTTCTTCAAAAACTTTAAACTCTCTGAATCACACTCTTGAGGTGCTAAAGCCACTTGCTTCACAAACGAGAGAGTGTCAACAGGTGAAAACTTATCCCTGGATTTCTGAATCTGCTCAGCAGAGTAAACGGCCTGAAGCTCGTAGTCCGGCACATCAACAGCGAAGTAATCTTGAACATTAGTAGGCCTAAAGTTATAAGGATTCCGGCATTTACAAGTCAACCCAAGAGCTGACCTTCTACTAGCCTCATCCATGGCTTCCTCCACAGCTCTCACAAAGTGCTTGGAAACAGTCTGCTGCGATTTCTCTGCTAAGTTGGGTTCAAAGGGAATAAGCTCAGCAGGATCGAACCACCCGTAGCTGCTATCTCCGAAGAACGCGACAAGAACATGGTCCATCCTCCTCATGCGACGAACAGAGGGAGACGCAAAAGCTTCATTGAATATATGACCAGGCCACCAAGGATGAGACTTTACCTTTCCCCAGACCAAATCGCCGACTTCAAGCCCGTAGCTCAATGCCCTCGAAACTCCAGAACCCATTTTCTCGCTCGCGACATAGTCATCGAACTCGGATAAGAGAGATTTGTAATCCGTAACCGCATGCCTCTCCAAATCTCCTCGCTTTTCTTCCTCGAAAGCTTCGGAGCCAAGCTCATCAGAATGATCATCATCATCATCATCGGAGTCATCTTCCTTAAGCTCAGGACTGTCATCAGACCTCTCAATCTGGGTATCACTTATATCCTCGCTTTTAATCTCTGGAAACCTAGGTTTAGTTTCACTCGTATCATCTTCCACACTCCCTTTGCAGGCAATGGGATCCGATCTCTCACTCTCAGAAACCCTAACACCGTCATCGCCATCGCCATCAGTAACCGACGAATCGAGCTCCATAGGCGAAGCTGTAGCAGCACCATCAACGCCCTGACCATCGACGCTCGAATCAACAACATCAGCATCACCCGAAACCGTAGGAGTCACCTGAGGATCCTCAATCGAATCCGCTGGTTGGGCAATCTCAGCATCATCGTCCATAACGCACAGCACCGAACGAATGGAGAGATTTGCAAATTAGAATCGAGAAAAACCCTATGAACTCTGTTAGCAATCCTGCCAGATTATCCGTATCGGTTCTGGAGGAGGAGGAGAAAATGAAAGAGAGACGGATTTTAACCAAAACAAATAAAACCAAACTGTTGTTTAGAGAGAGAGAGAAGAGATCAAAGAGTAAGAGAAAACAATTAATTAAATTAAAAATACATTTGAGAGAAATTCTATCGATTATACTGAATTGACACATCATAGACGGGAATTACGTCATATTTGTCCTCAGTCCTCACACGATAAATATATTTTGTTTTACGTCTGAATCTCTTTTTTTTTTGACTCGTCGGAAATTTATGCTAATCCTTTTATTGAACGATTTATCTTCTTCTAGATAGGTTTTTACACTTTTTAGACTTCGAAAGAAAAAATTGTTTTGGATTTTTAAAAAATAGCTCCAATCTAGATTATGGCTTTGTCCTTCATAATAGCTGTCATTAAAGTTATGTGTAATGGGTAATGGTAAAACTGTAGCACACTTGACAATACAGAAACCTTTAATGAAATCATCTCTACTCTCAAGAGTTACAGTAACAATAACTAACCACAAATCGGCAGCATATATAGAATCTTCAATGGCAAATCACAAAGCGTTTCTAGATATACCAATTTACACCTTATTTTCAGTAAGAACCATTTGCCTGAGAAGGGGACAATCATATATCTGTATGATATATCTCTCTTTTTTTGGTTTTCTAACAATAAATAAGATTGGTAAGAAAAAACAAGTACGGGAAACAAAAGTTTCTCATGTTTTTGGCGGAGGAGTTCCAGCAAGCCAGCCCCAGACGCCGCCGGAGCTCTGTCTTTTGGCGTTCGTGGAGGCTTGTTCAGACGCAACCGCTCTTTGACGGTGGAGGAGTTCGAGTTCCTTTTGAACTGTTTCCAGTGTCTGAAGCTTTTGTCTTAGCTCCGCAACTTCAACCTGCGGGCACTTAGGCCGAGTTTGGTTAGAATTTGGTCAAAATCAGAGAGAAATTCAGATGTAAACCTGGAACTTACAATAGCTTATAAAAGGGAAAAGAAAAGCGATTTTTCTTAATAAACGGATCTAAATACCTCTAGTTTGAAACACCGTGATTGTTCCGCTGCAAGTTGACTTCGCACAGATTGAAGTTCCTATATGTCAAATGCAAAAAAGGTTGATAGAACCAAAGATTGAGACTTTTCAAATGCTAAAATGCAAAACTGAACAAGAACCAGTTTGCAGAAAACCAACTACTACATATTGTTTTCTCTGTTGGCTTTTCTTCTGGTAGCATCGAGGTAAAAGGCAAGAGAGATGCATCAAGGCAGATAGTATTATTACCTTGTACAGCTCTGTATTTCGCGTTTCTATCTCTGCTAACTCTTCTTTTAGCTGGAGAGTTTGTATCTTCTCCTTGCTGAGTGATACCTCCACTTCTTCCTTCTCAGATTTAAGGGCAGTGATAATGCGCTCGCTTTTTCCTTCAACCTGTGGATTTAGTATTCGAGACACGAAGGAAAAAGTTAGGATTGTCCAATGTCTTCATTTATTTTATGTGGTTACAGTATCTAGTCTACTTTGTTATTCACAGTTAAGGAGGGAAGATACCTTTGATCCGGGGTTAACATTATCCATTACAATTTCCCGTACTTTACTTTCTTGGCTCACTTCGATCTCAGACTCAATGTCTCTGGTCGTGGCGTTATTAACAGCAGACACACTATCTGTCACAGGAGAAGCTTCCATAATCTTTGATTTCAAGCTTGATTTGTGGCTTGGTTTAAGAACGTTCACCTTATTGTAAAAAAAAAAACAACCAAGAATTAATAACCGAGTTGAAAACCAAATCAGGACAAAAACGTATTTATGGGGGTACATTGTTGTTGTAACGTCCATTGTATCCACCAAAAGCAACGATTACATCTTCGCCATTATACGAGCTCACAACTAAACTCAATCCCTGTCATCAAAGTAACATTTTCAGCTAAAATAACAAGACTGATTTATTCAAGGTCTTGGAAAATTCAAGTTTCGTATTTCAGGATTAATGAGTAGAAAATTAAATGGAAACTTTTTAATGGGGTTTGTCTTTTTGAACTACCTCACTAGCAAGAGGTACACGTCCTTGGACTGAAGTGAGCACTGACCACGCAAGTGTTGACATATTTAATACAACAGTCTCAGATGCCCCTGCGGTGGAGTACCAGGAAGCATCACAATTAATCACACTGTACAATTAAAAGAATAGTATGTGAAGTTTTTTTTTCTTTCCAAAGAAGGTTCCAGTGATGTAACATAAATAGCAAGACATGCAGGGATAAAAAAAAGAAGGGAAGATGAAGAGACTTTCTAAGGAAAAGTACAGAAACATACCGCTCTTGGTATCTCCACCACCAACAATAAACCAATTTTCCCCAATTGTCACACCAGCGTGTCCAGCACGTGAAGTTGGTGATTCACCTTGTTGTATATGTCTTGACCACTCCATCTATTATATGGAAACATGATGTTTCTTGAGATATGTCAAGAAGCCGACAAAGAGCATTGCTGAAACAAAAGAAGCTGAACATACAGTTTGTAGATCAAGGACGTGCAGATCATCAAAACAAGTTGCATGTGATCCTCCGCCAAATATAAGAAGGTAACGCTCAGCGTGCACTGCAGCAGCATGATCAGACCTTGGAGATGGAGGAGAACCTCTGCAAGTTGACAGAATTTAAAACCTTGAACTGTTGATCTTTCATTGACAACTAAGATATGAAAGTAAAATTTCCTTCATTTCCTGGATTTATATCTTTGAAGGACCTGCCTTTCTCAAAAGAGAATAAAATGCAGAATGTCGTAAGATCTTACACGGCATCTATCTCATTCCAGGTCATACTATCTAGATCAAGTACATGCAAATCGTTCAGAAGCGATTTCTTTGCATCCTGACCACCAAAGATCACCAAGCTTTTCCCCACAAGGGTCGTTGACTGACCTCCACGCGAAATCTGCAAGAGAGAGAGAGAGAGTGATAAAAATAGTTCATATCTATATATTAAGCAGGCAGCTAGCCAGCTAAACAACACCTCAATATCAGCAAGGATATCAATAAATTGGATACAGAATGCTACTTAACACCTGAAAATATTACGAAGAACGAAAGAGAGCAACTTTTCAATTATTTTTCTTCCTGATGTTCAAAAGTTTTTACTTGTTTACTAAATTGGAATATTTCCCATATAAAGATTAGAAAAATTGGGAGAAAAGATGATTTACCGGTGGCTTTCCGTTTGTCTTTAAGATTGACCATGTACAGGTATGCAGGTCAAAGACCATCACTGTGATGAGAAAACAGAAGAAAAACTGATAAACAAAAACTGCATATAACCATTTCCAAAAGTGTTTTAACTCCTACCTGGCATAGATTCTGAGGGATCCTTTGTATGACCACCGACAGAGAGAAGCTTGTTGTCCCATGGTATCTACAGAACAAAGGCCAATGAGAATAAGATATCGCTTAGATTCTTTTCTGCTATAAACTAGTGGCATGTGGATTTCATAAAGAGATGTTTTTTGCCCGAAACCTGCCTTGACTATTTCAAGGCCAAACAAACAAAACAAAATGCAAGTTAAAATACTAACCAAAGAATGACCAGCACAGTGAGTTAGTGTTGCTGGAGATGATGTTTCATGTGATTCAGTCACAACCTTGGTTTCAACTCTTGACCAAGTCCAGTTTTTTAAATCTAGAACCTGTATTTGAAACACCATTTACAGAAGATATGCTTCCAAACTGTCAGTAGGAGTGTAAATATTTCAACTAGATCAGTTAATGCTATACAGAGAATGCTATAAGTTGCTTACATGAAGATCACCTAAATAACGCCCGTTGTGATTGCCACCATACATATACATCTTATCTTGAATAACCGCTGCTCCATGCTGAAACGAAATAATAGTAAACATGAATTATAAAAGAGAGAAGATACACGAAGAGATCCTTCACTTTCATGTTTCACAAGAGTTGGATAAAATATTACCTCATACCGAGCTTTTGGTGGCTGACCTGATGTTAGTGGTGCAGTCCACTGGTTGTACACAGAAACAGTATTTGGGTCTTCCAAAACTACATCTTTATCTTGGGTTTCCGTCAAGTGCCCCTCCTCGGTAGACATCGTATTTGTCTCACCAAATGAAGCTTCATTCTCAACACTAGGCTCGGCCTTTGTGCTCTGCAACAGAGAACCGAATCAATTTACTACTTCTCTTTAGAAACAGGGACGAAATTCTGAACCTAAACATGGATGGAATGGTATACACAAGGATCAAGCACATCAGACGAGGCATTATTATTTGCTAGCAATACATACTCAAAACTGAAACTTGAACCTGTGTATAGGTGGTGATATTGCTTAATTTATGGATCTAAAACTCACATTGATTTGGACATCTACAGCAGGTTCTGGAACAGAGTTAGATGGCATTGGATACCAACCAGGATCTTCTTCCTTTTTAAAAGTGAGCAGTACGACGGAATTAGCCTATGATCCACAGATTAAGAGAAATGAGCAAAAATTCTTCTGTTGGTTACCTCTAGAATTTTCACAAAGAGACGCATTGCCTCAATGGCGGGCATGATTCCAAGCCCCTGCCAACTAGTAAACATGCACTTCTCTTACAAAAGTTCACAATGACCATGTTCTGAGCTCATTGTTCAAAGAACATAAATTAGGTTTTTTTTTGCATACTTTCCACTGTTTCATTTCTTTTCCCACAGATGGAAACAAAAGTCCCACATTTCTATGTATTTTCTAACATCTTACATCTACAATACGTGTTGCAATTGCCCTAATATATGAGACATCCTGATCCTTGCACTCTGAAGCTAATTTTTATGGAATCTAAAGCATCTCCTAATGTAGAATGGTAGATAGTTATTGACCGACACAGAAGTGCTTCTAACCTTTTCCACTTGCTCTGCTCCACTGGCTTCCACGCACTAGGTTTTGGTATATTGCAAGGTCCAATAGTAGCCTGTTAATATATCAAGGCAAACAAAAGATGAGTGGCGGTAAGTTTCTTTATCACAACTCACAAGGATGATGTAAAATCTGAGTCGCCAATCATTGGCAAAGACGAAAACTCTCAGTCAGGGAAAAGATACATTAGTTTCAGCAACATGTATGATTATGATCTACCACAATTCTAATCTTGACTAAGAACCAATATTTGCCAACCACATATCATGGCTCTGAGATTCGTAGCAATGGAAATAATGTGGGTCATCTCCCAAGTAGAGCACTTATCCATTCTCATATCAGCATTGCATGGAGGCTTATTGACCTTAACATTCATATCTATTGTAAACGAGAAATACACTCCCTGAAACAACGACGTCTACGATGGAACCCATCGAGCTCAAGCAAATCCAAATCAACGAAAAGCTAAGGCAAAGAAGCAAATTGGGTCATTTTAGAAATCAGAAAAAAAGCTGATGAGAATGCCTTAGAAAGTAGAAATCAACATGTTAAATCACCAGATCTAGTGGAATTAAACACCGGAATTGGAAAAGCGCGAGTTCAGCAATGGAGAAGGTGAGAAATAGAAATTTCGGAACCTGCTGGTGCAGCGCATAGAGAAGCAAAGCGGTATCATTGGAGAATTTGGAGCTGAGCTGTTTCACCGACGATACAGATCCGTCGAGGCCGACGTACGAGGCGGCGGCGTAGAACCTCTCAGGGTAAGCAAGGCCAGAGCTCGCTCTCGCCAACATATCAGCCATTTTGTTCCTTTACACACAGATTTGATCGAAGATGGAGGAAGCAACAGATTCAGCTTTTGGGATTAATCAATTACGGATACGAAATACAAGATGCAACGTTTATATAGCGGCGCGATCAAGAACGACGATGTTGCGCTATTTGCTTGCACCAAAATACAAAATGAGCAAAATCCAGAAGACGGCTTTATAATCCGAATATTTTATGTTTTGTTCTGGAATGTTTTCGCTCCACAGCTTTCATTTGTTATCTAACTTCAAAAATTTCATTCACAATCCAAATTTTATTAATCTTACTACTAAGAACGTCAAGGAAAAATTCTAGAAAACGGAAAAATCTGTGTATCATGATCGCAAAACAAAACCATTTAGAATGTTTTATGCGCCGAAACTAAAATTAAAGGGTGTTTTTTTTTGTGTGTGTTTGAAAGTTCACTGGCATATTGGGCAATAAATAAACCTATGGCCAATAGTGTTGCCGGATACAACTCTTGTCCCTATAGCATAAATTCTCAATTTTTAAATTATTCAAATTTAGTACTAGTAAGAACAACAACATGGGGGAAAAAACATTTAAAGAGGATTTGAGCTAACGTGCCAAGAAAGAATTGGTAAAGGCCAAACGAGAATCTCAACCCATCGGTGCCCCTTTTGGTGTATCATTGGAGCTCCTATGTGACTTGTGCTTCGATCTCTTCTCCCTTTTCTTACTCCTGAGAAAGAGAAAGTCGATATGATAAGCAACATAACTACCAAATATGTATGTGATGAAGCGGTTAGAAGAATCAAAAGCAGAAAGGTAAATTGTACTCGTCATGTGAAGAACTATGTCCTAGACAAGACTTTAGCTTCCGGTTGATATGCTTCATGTCCTTTTCACTTGGGTACTTGTAGTTTTTTACCTGCAATAAAGAGAACGCATATAGTAAAACTGCCTTTTAGAAATGAAAAGATTCATGGTGAAAGCTAGTGCATACCAAAAATTCGATGTCATCAAGTAATTTAGTGAGCTCTGAAGTCGTATGCTCAGAGTTGGGTTGAGAAACAATGTTCTCTAGGTACCTGCAGTTAAATGCAGTTTAGTTAAAAATCCAACCAGTAAATTACGGGAATATAATTGTACGATGAGCATATGGTGGCAAAAGGGAGATAACCTATCAAAGTCAACCACTCTAAGAATCCCATTTGCAATACGCAAAGCAGCCAACGCCAACTGAGAAACAATACAGATACTTCTTCTGTTAGATATAAGCAAAAGAAAATAATCCTGAAACAAGGAACAAGATGAGTCTATTTCGAAAAAAATTCACTAATGCAGTTTTCACAGAAGAACCATCTTTCGTCCTAAACTGTTATGTCTTGAACAGCATACTGGAGCTTTACTATAATATCCCAAACCATGAGTTTAACCAGATTCGTTGATGGGTTTAATATTTAGTATCTTCAGCTTGATAAAAAAAAGTAAAAAACAAAGGCTAGTGAGCCAAAAGAAACTATCATCACCTGGCCAGGAGGAAAGAGGAGAGGAGCATCTGTGAGCATAGCTTTATCGGCTTCTGCTGTCGCCGCTTTGAGCAAATTCTGCAAAGTACTTGAAATGTTATGACAGTATGAGAAAATGACACTTCAACAAGGCCCGTTAAGTAAAAAGACTTGCAGTTAATGAAGAGAGATCTACCTCCAGCTTTTGGATTTCATCATCTCTAGCTTGGAGAAATTCCTAGAGGATGAATAATGATGTCACTTTTGGATAGAGCGTGAATGAAAAATTACACATCCAATAAAAAGGATTAAAAAACTAAAAAATTTCGTATTATGGTTCATCAAGGTCTTCACTTGAAGGGAAGAAACATTCATAAATTTTCTTGCAACAAAATAATTGCATATCAACTCAAAAGGAGTCCCATCATTATAAAGATGTAAACAAAGAAAACCAAGCTGGCATTAAAAAACCTACGAGAAAATATAGACAGCCAAGATTTTACCTCCATGTTTCTGACAAAGCCTTCGATTGCACGATACGGTGCATAAACAATCAGATCAAATTCCAAACTCTGCAAATACAGTTAATTTCATATGAATAGAAGAACAAAGAGAGAATAGAACATCAGGAATAAATAAACGTAACGAAGTTGCTACAAATTAATCGACTCATATCATGCCTGAAGAACGGCCATCTCATACTTGAGAATTACGTGGTGATCTTGTTTAATCCCCTTCCCTATTTCCTCAGCAGATACATGATTCTCCTCTATTTTACATGCTGCATACACGCAGGTTAACCTGTTCCATGAAAGGTATCAATTAGTCCAAATTACAACATTCTACCATAGTTCTTATGGCCATGGGAAAACAAATTGGTAAAGCACGCATTTTTCAAGGATTCGAACGAACTATACATTATTTCTTTTGGATGATGTTGCATAACAGACCATTGCAGATAAAATCTTTTAAAGTATTGAAGGGCGGTTGCCTGCAAAAGATTGAAAACAAAATATAAATTCAGAGAGCTAACAAGCCGGCGTTTATATTTTTAATTTCATCATAAGTTATCATCTGGAAGAAGAGCAATGCACCTGAATCTTATGAGGAAATTCAAAGGCACTACACACTTCTTGGACCTTTGCCTCATAAAATGCTCTCATGAACCGTTCTTCATCAACACTCAAAGGCTTAAGCTTCTTGTCAGCTGAGAGCAAAGTAACATCATTTAACCTTTGACCAACAGAACTATAATGATACGTATGAAGATATTGGAAGAACCATGCCTAGATAAAGCTAAAACTTACCTTGATCTCCTGCATCACCTTTATCTATAGGATATGTTAGTGTTCCACTGGCATCTACTTCAACTTGGGTTGTTCCACACTAAGAAAAAAGAAAAAAAGAGAGTTAAAAATCTATCATAAATCGAATTTGAACAAAAGTTCCATATAAACTTTTAACACGCACCTTCTCCAGCATTTGCACTGCTCTCTGGTTAGCAGCTTTATATCTCTCTGCCTACAAATTACACAACACTAGAGCTTAGTTGCAATACCAACATCTACACATAATTAAGCAGCAAAAAAGTTCGAAATGCTTGAAAAGCTAGCTCTACGCCTCTACTGCTCGATTGATCAGACTCTCTTGTCTCAAACAAAGTCAATCAAATTGTTTTTCCCTTTCGAGATAGAAAAAGAAGCAAACGAAATAGACGATCAATTGAGCAATGAACAATTTCACTTCTATTTCACTTGAGAAACCTAAATGCTGAGTAACCCAAACAGAAACAACAGAGGAAAAACGAAGAAGAAGATGAAAGCAGTCTCTATGATGCAATCGTATACCCTAACGATGACAAACTTATAAAATTTCTAAAGCCTCAGAAACAGATAACGGCGGAGATAGAACGGGAAGCAGGATACCAGTTTCTGGGGAGTAAAAATCCACTTGGCCCGTTGAGTTGATGTCTGGAAATCCGCCATTACTGAGTGGCTTAACAGTTCTCGAAATCAAAAATCCGACTTCGCGAGTACAAAAGCTCTCTCTTTCTCTCTCTCTCTTTATATGTCCAACAGTTATTTCTCCTCCGTTTCGGCTGCGACGGAGATTGCCGATCAAATTGATCCGCCCGGACCACCGTCTAAATTTTTTCACAATATTACGGCTTTAATTTTTTTAAAATTATGTTTTACTCTTCAAGGGTTTAGTTTTAGTGTTGGGCTTTCAGAGTTTGATTCGGATTTTAGAGAGAAAAAAAAAATGAGAGAAAGATATGTTAATTTTATTTTAAAGGCTCTTAAGGCCCGAACTGGCCCAAGAAAAGTAGCACCTCAAGGATAGAATTTCTCAAAGAGCTACGAAGTTACAGAATCAATGGTGACTTTCAAGAAGCTGTTATTAACTAACTAAAACTAAACTAATCTCTACAATCCAAACAGTTAATAATCTGAAATCTTTTCTTTTCTTCAGATGAAGATGTCAGGTTAATTAATAAAGGACTCTCAACCTTTATGTTCATGTTTTTACAAGAGCCATGATTTGATTCTTGATCCATCCCATACAAGTCTGAATTTCTCTGTAGATCGGCATGTTCTGGGGACACCGTGGCTGCAAGCTATTCACTGCTGTCTCCATCACCTGAGCCACGTCAGCTGGTGGGTACTGCTTCTCTGTGCACATCTGCATGGGAAGAAAACCCAAAAATAAAAAAGGTGAAAAACTTGTATTCTTGATTTAGACGTTAGCCCAAGAAAACTTCAATTTGATTTACCTGAATCATGAGCCATGTTGAAACACAAGAGCTGATAAGCTCTGAAGCCATTTGTGTTTCGTTTTTCCTTGATCCGATCAATCCTTGGGTCATCAGTTCTGCTGTGGTTGAGCTTTGATGATGATGATCCAAGCTGCCATTGGTAGTCGTTATAGAGTTATCTAATGGCTGATGTTCGCCAATTGAGTCTAAAGCTTGTTGGACCATAAACCCTGCGTCTTCTTCATCCTTCACCGAAGATGCAGCCTGAAAACCGCACAGTGAAATCAATTTAAACAAAAGATAAGACTTGTATGACCTTTTGACTTCACTGTATTTAAATACTCTAAATATAGTTGATTGCTGGGAGATCAACAAACGCAAACATGTATTATATAACTACCTTCATAGCTGCATCCACCATTGCTTGTGCCATTGACCTTGAACCACTGACAATTCCAAGCATTTCTGGCTCCATTTCCTGAAAAGAAAAATTATAACAGGAGTATTAAAAAACAGTGTTCTGTAGTACTGTTCCACTTTATTCAGCGGAAAAACTAAAACAAAATAAGCTTCTACTTTAAAAACTATCAATCTGAAAGTAGAGATTCCACGGGCATCGAAGTTTCATAAACCTGAGCCTATTAAGCTACCAATACCCAAAAATAAGGCATACAAAGTCATTACCTGTGCATCTGAAGTATGCCTCAGCATCAGGGCTCGTTGAATTTCAGCTCTTCTTGCTTTGCTATTGCTTGTGTTATATGAGTGATCAGTAGTGACTGGTCTGTCCCTATCATCCTGTAAGGACTTATTGAATTATGCATAGAGTTTACCAAAAATGTACGGAAGAAAAGAAGAAGAACAAAGCATTGACTGACCAGTCAACCGACAATTGTTTACCTGTTTCAGAGGAGGATTCATGGAAACGTTGACATTTTCAAGCACAGAAGGAGGGAACAGAACAGATGCATCAGGGTTTGGGTGTCTGTTAAGCTGTGCTTCTTTGCTTATTGACAAACCGTTATCCATTTGCCTCCTTAGACCCTCTGGCATGTATTCCAGTGGATTTAAAGGCATGCAATCAATGTCCTGTCACAGAAAAAAAAAAAAAGATTTGTTAAACCATCAGAGACACGATTTAGGTGTAAAATATTTTCTACAAGTCACAATAAGTGAATTGTGTCAGCAGAATTGGTATAGTTTGCGATTTACCGAAACCAAGTCAACGCCCAATTCATCAAACAGAACGTTGCACTTGTTATGATCCACAGTAAGAATCTTGCCATCACGAATTTCCCGTGTTTTAGGATGGATGGCAATGACTCTGTTGCCGACTGATAAAGGCTGGGCCAAGTCTGTAGGAAGCCCTTCCCTAGCACCTGCACGGAGCTCTGTATAATGCTTTCTCACAGATTCACGATACTGCTCGAGTTTATCCCGCTCTTCCTGTATGAACCTCTCAGAGAATCTCCGAGGTCTACCAAGAGAACTGAAAATATACGGAATGAGTAAGCTTTTCGAATTTTTTTATGTTTGTATGTATCCTGAGCCCATTTCCATTGACAAAAAGACGGAAACTTTAACAAACCTTTTAATGACGCTCCATTCAAGACGAGTAAGTCTTGGAACGTGACCAAGCCCCACATGATTTAGATAATCAGTGAACTCCATTTTTGCAAACCATGGATAGTCAATAGCACTGTAGAACCATTCATATATGCACCTTCGACGTACCAATGGATATGACAGACAAGTCGATACCTCCTCCTGTAAATGGAATAAGCAAATAAATTACCAGATTTTGGATGCTTAAAAGAGAAATGAAGTTAGAGACTCCACCTTTAATAATTCATGTTTTGACAAAGTTTCGTAATTATGTGGCTTGTCATGAGTGGTTTCAGAAGATTTAGCTCTTTCTTGTAAACTTTTCTTCAAACTCATCTTACGCCAGTGTGGTGGTTTCTTCGGAGAACTCGGTGGACCCGAACCTGAAATTTGTGTAGCTGACACTACAGCATCCGGTACAGTTATTTTCTTATCACTAATTGAAGAAGATTCTTCCGAGGTCTTTAAAATTTTCAACTGTTTAACTGGGCCTTCACCAGCACGTCTCACTTTGACCAGAGTCTTCAAATGATCATCTTCAGCCGAATCCTGCAATGCAATATTCAAAATTCATGAGAGAAAGCATAAGCTTTTTGATGGAAAGACTTTGTCAAAAATCTTACAATTGCATTGTGAGCGACCAACCACAGATCACAAAGTAAGATTAAATCCAAGCCAAATTTTTTTAAAAAAAAAAGAGCAAAAGGAGAGAAGGGGGTCCTGCATATATATAGATTTGCAAATACCTTATAATGTAGAGGTTTACGTTTTCTTCTTAAAGTGCCAAGTTCCCCTATGGAAACAGCATTACCACCAACGAGTTCCTGCGCAGACTTCAATTTTCTATTATTAGCAACTGAAATTCCATGAAGGTGACTATCTTCGGGTCCTGCTTGTTTTGCTTTTTCTCTGTGATGGCTTGTGGATGCGGTTACCGGAGTGTTAGATTTCTCATCCACGTTGTTAAGTACTCTTTCTTCTTTCGACTGGGCGGGTGATTCTGGATCCAACACAAAACATTAGAAATACATAAAGAGATGTACAACGTCAACGGGAAAGGTGCAGATATTTATTAATGGGTTTTTCTTCTAAACCCAGACAATATGCATCGTCAATGGGAAAACCCAACCTCAAAATTTTAAATTAACCATTCGATGCTCACCTGATTTCATCAAACCAGCCGTAGGCAGTAAAGCTGACAATGCATACAGAGCTTCTAATTCATCTACACAGGAAAAGACGAGTAATAAGCTTCGGTTTCTGATATATTAAATTCATTTACACAATAAGTTTTACCTCTATAAAAGAGATTCTGAACAACTTTTTTTGGACTATCTAGTGAACATTTACCTCTTGAGGCTTCATTTTCTTCTAATCCTTTCTGCGGTTTAGATCTGAGTCTCTCATTGGCACTGCATGCTTCTCCGCTGTCATCAGAAGCAAATCCTTCTGCTTCTTCAAAACTCACTTCTATCTCCTTCTGGCGAACCTCCACGGTACCAACCCCTCCCATATCCTTTATATGCCTCCTATCTCGGCTTATTTTCACCCCATTCTCAAACATGGAGCTAGCACGGTACTTGGATTGAGCATCCTTTGCTTGTGACTGACAAAAGCAAAAACGTAGAAATGCATTTCATTGAATCATGACAACAGTGAAAAGAAATGATAATAACTTTATTTGATAGAGCTATAAAGATACCATTTTCCCACTTGGCGTGCTGTCATTGAGTTTTGTTTTTCTATATAGAGACCCTCCTCCACTTCTTGTTACGTTTGCCAATGCTAAAGCTAGTGTCTCATCGTCATCATCATCATCATCGGCATCAAGTTGTTTCTTGGCTCTTTTATTTCGTGGAGTAGAACCTTCTCTATCATCCCCCTTGTCTGCACTTGGTACAGGAAACCGAGGTGTACGTTTCGCAGTGGCACGTCTCTCAATTCCTACATAAAGTAAAGTAACAGATTACACATTCTTGAACATATTCATCTACATGTATTTGTTACGTTGCCACAGGATTCCACAAGACAGATGGTTACCCTATTAATGCTGTGAACTACAGAATTAAGATAAAAGGCAGCTTGTTGTTCATATGCTCAACAATATAAACCGCAGAGTATTTGTTTAGCATCTTTTACACAATAAATTTTAGGAAAAACGATATGCGGAAAATAATGATTGTACCATAAGCTTGTGTCATCTTAAAAAACGAGAGGCATCCTTCTGTTGATGCAATTGAATGTGGTGGAATAACTTCTTCTCGAAAATCACTAGGCGGAACTTTAACACGTTTACGCTTCTGATGTTTCACCGGTACTCCAGAAGCACCATGGCCTTCTCCTTCACTTTCGCTCCCCTCCTACAAAAATTACCATAAGCAGACAACTTTACTAAACAGACAAACTGACCCAACCAGTTAGCCGTAATAAAAAAAGCACTCACTATGACGCTGTAATGATCAGTCATCATTGCAATGAGGCCAGCCACAGACGCAGTTCCCTCGGGCAGGGATAAATATGCCTGAAAAGAAAAGGCACAATCAAAATAAAATGAAAAGGTTAAACTGAAGCTTAGGGAAAACATTTCCATCTCGATAATACTTAAACGACACTGAAAAGTGAGATCTTCTTGCGATCATACCCGATTCATATGAAAAAGAGCTTCCACCATGTCAACGGACCTGTTATTCCGCACTGCAGCAGCTACCTAAGCAGTTTCCAGGGAAGCAAAAATTTAAAGACTTTGAAGTCATACAAAATTTGAGAAAGTAGTCACATAAGACCATATTGTGCAACGCAGTTTACCTTTTTCCAGTCTCCCCCATGCTTCCGATAGGCGTCATAGAAACGCTCAAGCTCTCCTTTTGTCCACTGAGGTCCCAGCTTGTCAGTCAACTTCTTCTTCTGGGATGAGAAAAACCAGAGTCAACACAAAAATAAACGAAAAAGAGCACTAGAAGAGGGTCCAATCAAAGGGATTCTGAAAATCACTCAGACTCCCTACACTTAAACAAGTTACAAAGAGCTTTAATTTAAGTGACGCTAAATAAGACAATAGCTTTAATTGGTCAATGACGACAAAAACTTACCCGTTGCTTTATTTTGCTAGAGTTCCTGAAATCTATTTCTGGAGTGGCTTCTTTGGTGAAGCGCTTGTAAACACTCTTCGACTTCCTACTGGGCGCCATATGCTGGTTCCTCTGCCCAGTGATTCCAACGCAAGTTTAAACAGTTAGATAAACTAAGGAAGCCGTAAAACTGATCTCACAAAAGATACAGACATTAAAGTGACAAGAGAATTTTGCTCTCTTCACAAAATTCAGAATTCAAATTCACCAAGATAGATCTGTATATCGATTCTGAGTCAGAAAGATAACAACTTTGCTTACATATCTCTAACAATTTGCAGCATCAGTAACGAAAACAAAATCCAAGATAATCCGGATCGGAATCAACTTTGGGAATTCAGAAGTACCGAAAGAAGAGAAGACCCAGATCCAGATACCAATACTCATTTCGAAAATAATGAAAATCTACCACGAAGAAACATAAATCACACAATTTCGAATCCAAGTTTCCGAGAATTTGTATGTTTGAAAGTGAAAAACAATCACTCTTCGAAATAAAATAAAAAATCGCATCGACGAACCAGAAAGCACCAACGATGAAGAAGACTCCTCAAAAAATCCGAAACCAATTTCCCAAAAGGCTTTTCAAAAAATCTAATGAAGTAGTGAAGTTTGAAAAACCCCAATTAGCTCGGTGAAAAACCCTTTTTAAAACCCTAAATTCGAATAGATCCACTCACCGATTACGCAGCTCAAAGAGAATCGGCGTCGAATCGCACAGAGAAGAACTCGGAGGAGATGAAGCTCGAAAACCTTCTTCGAGAGATCGGTGAGAAATACGAAAGAGGTTTTAACAGAGAGAGAGAGAAAAAAGGATTATTTAGATGAAATAGAGAGAGAGATAGAGAGAGAAGAGAGGCGTTGCCGCGAAACTTGAATAAAAGGACGACTTGGGTCTTCAGAGCCAATAGGCATTCCGTATTTTGTCATATTTTTCGATTTCTTTTAATTTATTTATCTTGTTTATGCTCTGGTATATCAAAAGCTTGTGATCCGAAACGTACACGTGGGCTTCTCAGTATACGGACCGTCAAATATTTTGAGTTTCATCTAGGGTTTGTAGTAACGGCAACACGGGATTATATTTGAAAATACCCAAATTTCATAACAATAAAACTCAAAGAAAGTAGTGACGGTGAAAATGGAAAAATTTCTTAGCATACTTTTTCTTTATATTATACAATTCTCATATGATTGTAGGATATAATTTTATCTAATCACCATTGACCACAACAATTTCAAATTTAAGTAATGATCTAACACGGTAAAAGATATACTAGCAAAACAGTTATAAACTTGAATTGGAATTACATTATTATTGTCAGTCAAAGTAACAAATACAATAAATACATTGTTTGATAAGAACTTTAAAACTGAATAAGAACAATTTACACGTTGCTTTTTTTTTAGAATAAATAAAGACACAAATAACTTTTTCAAAAATACATTAATAAATGTATATTATATTAGTTTAAAAACATTAATACGACATGAAAATTGAAGTACGTAATTGGATTGTAAGTTAGAAAAGTTTGTTACAAATAAACCGGTCTTTTACATTTTCGTTTGGCTTATGATACTGAGACGACTGGATGAATTTTTACTAATTACCTTTTTTTATATATAATAAAATTTTACTAATTACCTTTCATGGTTCACGTTTGTTATGAATTCGGTTTGGTTTGTGAGTTTTTTAAGTATCAGACTAGAGCTAGACTTAACCAAAACTGTACGGACACACTCATCCTCCATTTTTCAGGATTACAAATTTAGAACCATTCTTTGCTTCTTTAATTATTTTGTAGCATAAACGAAAATTTAAAGCAAAAATCTGGTTTATTTCTTAAAAATCAACCTCCAATCAAATCTTTTAGAGTCGTATAATTTAACTTCGAAATACAAGAAACACGTTTGAGTAATGAATATATATCATCACAGTTTAGAGGGCATAGGGTCCCGGGCTGCGATGTCCGTATACATATTGGATATTGCTTCTGCAAAGTAAGCTTTTGCTTGAGGTCTCTTTATCTGTTTGTAAGTTTAACACACATGAGTTAAGAGATTATTCCAGAGGTAAAGTAAACAAAATTACACAGCGGTTTCACATTGTTGGTTTACCTTGAAGGTTGGTGTTAGAAGTCCATTCTCTAAAGTGAATGGTTCTGGCACCAAAGTCACAGCCTTTGCAAACTCAAATCCTCTCAGCTGTATTAGTACACAACTGTTAATTGCTTCTTTTTTTAAAACCACATGTGAGATTATCAAGGCAGAGTTTGCTTCATGTTTTTACCTGAGCTTCTCTTCCAACGTTGTCCATCTCAGCAAGAACAGTCTTTTTCACATTTGGATCGTTACAAAGCTGTCCTAGATGCTCATACTGCAGTCATCAAGAAGAGATTGCATCAAAATTGAGAAAAATCTTTTAACTGATCACATCATTGAGTTAGAAATAATAATACCTTGATGCCTTCTGAAGAAGCCCAATCTTTCATAACATCTGGATCGACTGAAACTATAGCAACTAGAGATGAATTGAAGCTATCACCTACAATAGACCACATTCTGACTCGTTTGAGAAACAGCACAAGTGAAAGAAGCTTTGTGTGTTGTTTGTAGAGAGAGCAGAGCCTTTTTTTTTTCTAGCTTACCGTATACAAAACACTGAGATACAAATCTACACTTAGTGTAAACGTTTTCGATTTTCTCTGGTGCTATATATTCCCCTTGCGCCAACTTAAATATGTTTTTCTTCCTGTCATGAACACTGAAGTTTTAGCAATATTAAAACAAAAGAGTGAAAATCAAAGATTGTTTTTGATTTATGAAACCTGTCGATGATCTTGAGCCGACCACCGGGTAACCATATCCCGATATCTCCCGAGTGAAGCCAGCCATCCTCATCAATCATCTCTCTCCTGCTCAACTAAAATGTGTCAAGACCCCATATCTACTTATCGATTCATATAACCAGAGAGAGTCTTTTTAAGTTAATAATGGAAATATGTGTGTATACGTTTGTTCTTCATCTTTGTAGTAGCCTTTGAAAACGATTGGCCCTCTAATACAGATTTCACCACGTGGGTGTGGTTGATCTTCCGATGTGTAATTCATCTCGGGAACATCCACAAGTTTTATCTCTGCAAAAAAAAAGAAACATTTTCAAAAACGCCAAAAAAAAAACCCAAAGGTTTATCTGTCTTTTCAAAAAAGCAGATTGTTTCTTACCACACGCTGGATTAGGGGAACCGACATGGCCAGAGGAAGTGTCTCCTTCATCCATAGAGCTTATGAGACAAGAAGTCTCGGTCATACCATACCCTTCACGCACCCCACATCCAAAGCATCTGCAGTACAAACATCATGATGAGCATATTTACAAAACCAGTGAGAGTAGAAAATTTCGAGAAACAAAACTCACACTCTCAAGAAATCCATTACATCGGGTGACAATGGAGAAGCACCAGAACCCATGAAGCGAACTCGTCCACCAAGCTTTTCTTTTATTTTGTTGAACACCAGTTTGTCCCAAAACGCAGATGGATTCCGACCTAAAACAACACCATGAAAGCTTAACAAAAAGCTTCACTTTATCAACTGTTTGATATCTATTAGCAGATCAATACCATTCATGATGGCTTGCTTCTTTGAGTTATATGCAACTTGGAAAAGCCTCTTCTTCACAACACCAGATGACTTTACAGCACTTGTAACCCTGTGGGGATTATAAAAACTATTAGCATATACAAGTTCCATAATAGTTGAATTACATCATGGGAAGCATAAGAGTGGTTTAATTTACCCATCATATATTCGATTATATAAGCGAGGGACACTGCAGAATACTGTTGGCCTTAACACAGCCAAATCATCTATCAGTTTCAGGACATCCTGTCAAATAAAAAATATAAAATTAGTCTGATTACGATCATATGTCACAAAGAAGACACACGAGCTTATTATACATACCCCTTGATAGAAACCGACAGCAACACCACCATACACCGCCATAATCTGGTTTGCACGTTCATATATGTGCGCCAAAGGAAGATATGATATGTAACTAAAAGACACAAAGACATTCTTACTTAAAGTTTCTTTCCACTATAAGACATTCTTAGTTAAAGTTTCTTTCCAATATTACTTATACTCACACATCATTAGGTTCAAAAACTACTGCTGTGCTGGAACCGCCGACATTTGCGATCAGGTTTCCATGACTCAACATAGCACCCTTCAAAAACGAAAGAACATATATAACAATTATATGGTGAAAGTGTAATTTAGCTTCACAGAACGCATCAAACTTCTTACCTTTGGTGTTCCTGTGGTTCCACTAGTGTAGCATATGGTTGCAATGTCGTCAGGCTTTGGAGGGAGAAATGGATGTAAGCTATCTCGACCCTTAAAAGATAATCAGTAGCAACATCATCAAGTCTCTCCAACGAAATGACCAAAAATAACAGAACTCGTCTAGTTTAAAAACCCATTGTAGAAGTTTACCTGAGTCAATAGCTTTTGATATGATACAATTTTGACTCCAGATCCTGAAGGAAGCGATGGCAAATGCTCGTCCGCTCCTCCCACCACCTTATCACAATGCCAAAAAAAAGAAGATATATAAGTGAAAAGATACTACAACGTATATATAAAAACACTGAACAGTGAAATCACATACCACAACAAGACGAATGGATGGGATCTCTGATAGGAAGCTAAGCAACTGCATAGTTTCTCAAAAGTAAAAGAATACACAACTCATGAAGTTGCTGCAATGTAGAACACTTAAAAGACTGATTCTCACAAGATTAAAAAAGAAACAAAACACACTTACGGTGTTTAAGGTTTCAGGTACACAAAATATAGCCTGCAGAGAAGCATGATTCACAGCAAACTTAACAGCGTCTGGACCTGTGTAACCAGATAATCACATTTAGAGGAGGCAAAAGCTTGCAAACCCCAAAAGATTGAAATTTTAAATGAGTACCAAGTGTATCGTATAAAGGAACAGAGATAAGTGAGTATGCTGCACAAGCATGATCCACAACCAACCACTCGGGTCTGTTGATAAAATAGATTCCTACGCAAGCTCCCTGTTCAACAAAATGAAGACTTTTTAATTCAAAAAGACAGCATAATAAGCATATGGATCGATAAAACTAAAACCTGACAGACAAAACTCAGCTTAAAGAGAGAATTTTGGGGAGAAATTGAGAAAACTTGCTTGATTTATTCCATTATACAGAAGTCCTGAACCAATGGCTTGTCGTGCAGAAGCTGCTTCCGCGTATGTCATCCATGTGTACCTTCCAAAAGATAAACATAATTCAACCTCAGCTCAAAAGTTGGTCGAATCTCTAATGCAAAAAGAACAGTTTTTAACTCACTCTCCAACGGTTCCATCAGACCGAACTCGTGTACCCAGATACTTGTTGTCAGGATATGTTTCAACAGCATGTCTGATTCCAGAAACAGAGTAATTCCACAGCGTTATTAGATCACACAAACTAGCCAATCGTTGAACAAGGGTCAAAGAAGCAATCGAACTTACACGAAATTGTCGTGCAAAGTCCCGATTTCAGGATGATCAGGGAATCTGCTAACGAGCTTCATAGGCGACTTTGCAGATCTGGCACGGAAAAACAGAGAATTTCACCATAATATTCATAGCTACACTTTGTTAAAACCAAACGTAACAACAATATCTCAAAGTGAAAATACTAAAAGATGAAAAGAAAGTAGTGTTTTTTGACCTGTAGACATTCCATTTTCCAGTTTCCAGCTTTTCCGGAAGCACCACACTGTAGCTATCCTCTAGAGAAAACAAGAAAACAATCTCAAACACAAAGGTGTTAAAATGCAAACATGGTGACTAAAAGCTAATTTTCAGGTGCTCACCTCTGAAGAAAGGGGAAGCAGAAGCGGTGGCGTTGAGGAAGAGAGATGTTGGATCGTTGGCCGGAGAAGATTCGAGGTGAGAGCGAACGGTTTCGAGACGACGTTGTGACGGCGACGAAAAATCCATTTTTTTTTTTTCTTCTCGAGTAAATTTTGGAAGAATACGAAAATATAAATCACCGATTGTGCTTCACAGCATAAATAACGATCGTATCAAAGTAACGATCCTATCAAAAGTTTGACTGAAGGTTGAGAGTGACATCACAGGTTAAAGTAAAAACATTCCAAGGTAAAAAAAATATATAATACGTGGACAAGCAGAGGTGTTGTTTTCATATTTTTCCTGTTTAAAACAGCTTACAGTAATTAATCATATCACATGTATACTCTTCTATATTGCTTACGTCATTTACTCTGGGAATAAAGAAAGAGCATCCACAAAATCAGGCACCCTTCTCTATGTGGATAATTTTACCATTTTCAAAAGTTTACTATTTGATCCCCATAAAAATACCTATTTACATTTTATGGCAACAAAAAAAAAATCGGATCAATGTGCTAGAAGAAGATAGTAAGTAGTACAATGTATCAAACTCTCTCGTTCATGCATCTGCATTTGTAGATTTGATTTGGATAGATAAGGACTAAAATCTCTGCTTGTCATAGAGGTTAATTCACTGACAACTATTTTAATTAGTATACGTATATCATATTCATCATGATGCAATAACATGAAAAGATATATCGTTTGCTTGCACAGAGAAGAAATCATCTTCACATAGCTCCTCAAGATCCTCCGCGTCAGGTCGATCAATCATATAAACATACCCAAATATATTTTAATATATAGTATTCAGAATTTGGTGAGCTAATTAAGTTCACATTGTAGCTCCAATCTGGCAACATATGATACGTACGTATATATAAACATATTATAACTAAAAATGAGCTGCTGTCTCAAAGTTGAAACCTCCAAACACAAAAGTTGTGTGTTATGATCATCTCTTGTTATGTCTATGACTTTATGTTTTTGGATAACAACAACGCCGATATATATATTAGCAACAACAACGAGGGGTCGCAGTAAATTCCGGATCGCCATCTTCCTTGGGGTTCTTCCGCTAAATCCTTCAATTACAAAAACTCCAGAATCGTTTACCCTAAATTGAAATTCCACTCCTTAATTTATTGAATAATTTTTTAATAAATATTGTAAAATACATCTTTTATCTAATACGACTATATTGGACCGAATGAGGAATACAGAAAATAAAATTTCTCTCAAACAAAATTTCATATGGGGAATATGGAGAAAAAAAAATAGAAACTTGGAAAGGAAGCAAGGTGATCTAATAACATGAACTCATGAAATTTTTTTGAATCCGAAGTTTATGATATTTGATTCTGAAGAAAACTAGAAAAAGATTCATTACTTTAGACTTAGATATCATTCCGTTATAACTATTATCATGACATGAAATGTTTCTCACTAAACAATTTTTTTTGAGTTCCAAACTCACTAAACAATACTTTAACTTGTAATATTTTGCAGGATTCCGTTAATGTGGACCCCAATTGTCCAAAAGATAAGAGAAATGCCTTTCGTTATACAATGTGCTGAAGCGGTTCACTGACGCACAGAAGAAACACTACTCTTTACGAGTATGTATTATATTCATTCATGATGCAATCGCATAAAAAGATATACAGTATCACCCTTTTGGTTACATATATACTAGCAGATATGTGAACAAATCATGACAATGCGGAGAAGAAATCATCTTCACATAGCTTTCATGAACCTGTTAATGGATGACAAAATTCCAGCAGCTTTACTCAATAAAGATGGCTCTTCATCTGATTTCTCTTCTACGTTCCCATATATTATCTGCAGAAAGATAACATTTTATAAATTCAGATTGTAGTGCATGTAAGAATTTGACAACTCAATACAAAACAGGAATCGAATCTAGTTTTCAACTAACCTCGAGATCCTCCGCATCAGGTCGACCAATGAGTTCTTTGGCCAGTAGGTACCGGCCAGGTCTGTCTTTATTGTCGTAGAAGACTTTCCATTTACTGGAAATTAAATCAGGATATGAAAAATGATCATCGTTACAGAACATCTATCTACATAGAACTTAATCAGGTCTTTAGTCTTCTTACCCAGGATAACACCTGAACACAGCACCAGCAGCCAGAGGTCTCATGGAGTAAACCGTAGTAAACGAACTACAAGACTCAAAAATGAAATTTATTTTTCTTTATCAGTTCTTGATGTCAAGTCAATAACCTTCTCAAGTCTCATTAAGGATCTTGCCTTTTACCTTAGGAAGTAACGCCTTAGTTTTCTCACGTTAAACCCAACCCCGACTTCCTCGCTTATAAGACGAGGGTTCCACATAACGAGAGGCCTTGGCTGCAAAGAACACAAAGAAATGTCTTCTTGATGTTAGAACAAAAGGTACTTCTTGGTAAAATCAAAAAGTAAGAAGACTTGACAGATTTAGTCACCGGGTCATCAGCGAGCCCTTTTGCAATTTTCTCAACGTATTCAAGCATTTGGTAATCAGGAACAACCATGACAATGATCTCATCTTCTTTCTCCACTGGTTTCCGGTCACTTAAGCTGCATCACAACACGGAACATGATTGCATATTCCCTTTCACAGACTCTGTTAAAACAAAAAAAACTATACTATGCTCTCTCAAGATGAGGAGGCAAACTTACCTAGCGAATCCAAAAGCTGCATCCTTCCATTTATATTTTAGTAATGCAGCAGCTCCAGCATCTGGAAATACGGCTTTAACACTCTGACAACAACATTTCAAAAAGTACTAGGAGTTATTGAACTGAATCCATCAGACTGACTGAGCTGAATCATGTAAACAAGTTTCACAAAACTGTTCACTCACCTCACAACCTGTTTCTTCAATGAGTGTCTCCAAGAAAACCCGCGAAAGCTCCCAAAGTTCAGCTTGCGCACCTTCGTCGTCTAAGAACTGCAGCTGAGGAATTAAGAGCTCCACCTGCGAGACTCAATAGTCAGAACCTCGGAGATAAACTGAGCTAGTGAGTGAAATCTCTTTCACAACAAGGATTACATATTTATTCACTAGCCCTTACGATAGCTCTTGTTCCTCCCGAGTTCACAAACGAGGCACTTGCTTCACCTGACTGCCTAACAGCTCCCACCAAATCATTCGGCAAACAGCTGAAATTATTGTAACAACATCTGTGAATGATATTCTCTCAGAAGCTGAAGAGTTAAAAAGATTTACACTTGCACAAGAATAGATCATTTTTTAGCCATATCTTCCTTTATCATTCCAACACACACACAGAAAGTTATAAAATTTGAGGAAATTGATCAACTTTGGATCGAATCCAACGGGTTTTCTTCACAGTGATCACAGAAACAGAAGACGACCCAATTCTCAGAACAGAAAGTGTAGTCGAACAAGTGTAGATATTACTGAACCTGTCGTCTTCGTCTTCTTCTTCTGGTTGGTCTTGAGCTTCAAACGGTGGTTCCTGTGAATCAGAAGCTGATGTGGTCTGTTCAAGAGGAGACTCACTCTGAAACTTGTCGAATTTGACACATGTTCTTAGCCTCAAAGTGGGAGAAGCAGAAAATCCGCAAGCGAGAGAACGCGGGAAAGATTGGGTGGTGGAAAACGAACAACTGTGGAGATAGCCATGGAAACAGCTTGGTACTGATGAATAAGCCATGGCCAGGTTCTGGCAATCCTAATATCGAAATTCAATGAAATTGAAGCAGATTTGCTCAAACAGCTGGAGCACAGGCCCGTCTATTCTATTTTACCATATTTGGGATCTTTGTGTAAAGTAGTTGGAAGTTTAGGGGGTTTTCTTAATTTATGAAAATATTTTATCCGTTTCGGTAACCCGTGGACCCGTTTCTGGATCCGTTTTCTGACGCTCCCTCTTGGTCAATGAATGGTGATAATATATAGACGTTATAAAGCTACTTCAATCCAACGGCTGTCGTTCATCTAAATTCAAATTCCCTCATTTTACCTACACCCCTCGCTCTCTCTCTCTCAGTCTCGTTCGATCTCTCTCTCAATCTCTTTCGATCTCTCTCTCGCTCGCTCTCTTCTTCAGAATTTTGGATCCTAGTTCTTTGGGTTCTTAAGCAAATCCGCCATGGAAGGTACTATACTCGATTCTGTCATCGCACTTTAATTATGCTCGCAGATTTATGATATCTTGATCGATCTGTGTTTTCGATTCGTTTTCTTGATGCTAAACTAACGATTCGCTGATCATCTGCGGCTTCTTCCAGATCAACATCCAGAAATCTGCAACGACGGTGTTTTTCCATGTGAATCGAAGGAGTATTCTGCCGACAATCGCGATTCCGACGCTGGTAAGGGTTTACTAGGGTTTTCTCGTCGTGAATTGTGAATCTAGTTGAGAAATCACAAGCGAAACTGAGTTTTTTTTTTCCGATTGCTTAACCCAGAATTGGTCTCTCCTTTAATTCTCAAAGAATTAGGTTTTGGGTCCCTAAGTCACCCCATGAATCTGAAACTCAGTCAGAAAGTAGGAATGTAATTGATTCTTTGTCTCCTTACTTTATTCAGTGGAAGAAATAGTGGAAGAAAGTGAGGATACTGTGACAAGTGGAAGCCAAGAAGTTTCTCCCATCAGTGGACCAACACTTCCAATTTTGCAGAAGATTATTGATTTGAGTAACAAAATCAAGGTACTTCTTTCTTTCTCGTCCTCTACATCAGTTGCTTCTGAATTGCATTAGTAAGGAATATAAGTTGGAGGTTGCTCCAAAATGAATCAAATTTCCATAGATTTGCTTTCAGCTTCCTTCCTTCTGCAGGTGCTTTATGCTCACCCTTTCCCCTTCATTTCATAGGTCTTGAAGGATGAACATGCGTTGGTATCAAACCAAGTAAAAGAAATCAAGAACTGTTCCTTCGTAGAACCGGAAATGTCAAAGGCTCTCCAGCTCCTAAGTCAGTACCTTTATTGTCTTTAATGTCAAACATGTTTGCTTTGTTTTTAAATTTGTAACTGATATGCGTCAATGTGTTCAATGGCAGCTACTGAGCTTGGAAACCTGAAAAAGCAGTACTTGGAAGAGTCATCAGAGAGGAAGCGGTTGTATAATGAAGTTATCGAACTCAAGGGAAATATCAGGGTCTTTTGCAGATGCAGGCCTCTGAACCAGGCTGACATAGCAAATGGCTGCGCTTCTGTACTTGAGTTTGATCCATCTCATGAAAACGAGCTCCAGATACTTTCAATCGATTCCTCCAAGAAGCATTTTAAGTTTGATCATGTATTTAAGCCTGACGATGGCCAAGGTAAATGGAGGCGTTACCTGTTTAAACTTTTTGGATAAACCGCTCTTCGAACACTAAACCAATGAGTCTTCTTATCTGACTGTACCTTTATGTGCAGAGACTGTTTTTGCGCAGACGAAACCTATAGTTACTTCTGTGCTGGATGGTTACAACGTCTGCATATTTGCCTATGGCCAAACTGGAACTGGAAAGACATTTACCATGGAGGGAACACCAGAGAACAGAGGAGTCAACTACAGGACACTAGAAGAATTGTTTCGCTCTTCAGAAAGCAGAAGTCGTCTCATGAAGTTTGAGCTATCTGTTAGCATGTTGGAGGTTTACAATGAGAAGATAAGAGACCTCCTGGTTGATAACTCAACCCATCCTCCTAAAAAGTAGGTCCTTCATTCTGTTACCTTGGTAATAGAATAAACTCACCTCACAGTTTCTCTCTTTTCGTTTTAAGAACACAAAGTAACACTTGGTGCTAAATTAATGAAGGTTGGAAGTTAAGCAATCAGCAGAAGGAACACAAGAAGTCCCTGGATTAGTCGAAGCTCAAGTTTTCAATACAGATGAAGTGTGGGATCTTCTCAAGAGAGGATATGGTGTTAGATCTGTGGGATCAACAGCTGCAAACGAGCAAAGCAGCCGCTCTCATTGGTAAGTAGGGTTTGGAAATTAAAGTCACGTGAAACGAAACCGTATTCTTACGACCTCAGTTTCCTTTTTGTGCAGCTTGTTGCGAGTAACAGTGAAGGGAGAGAACTTGATCAATGGCCAGAGAACCAGAAGCCATCTTTGGCTGGTGGACTTGGCTGGTAGTGAGCGAGTAGGAAAGGTAGAAGTAGAAGGAGAAAGGCTGAAAGAATCTCAATTTATCAATAAGTCGCTTTCGGCACTCGGTGATGTTATCTCTGCCCTTGCATCCAAAACAAGCCACATTCCTTACAGGTTTTTCCCCTCTTCTTCTCTGTCAAAGACATTTACATTTGAGCTTTACTGATTTATGTTCATGACAAACTTTTTCCTCCCTTTTGTACAACTCTAGAAACTCAAAGCTCACTCATATGCTACAAAACTCTTTGGGTAAGTAAAATTCGTCCTATATATCCCTTGTTTACATGAACCATAAGACATTGTTTTTCATCTCCATGGTGTATCCAATTCATTGTGACTTATATAGGTGGAGATTGCAAGACATTGATGTTTGTTCAGATTAGCCCGAGTTCCACTGATCAAGGAGAGACGCTTTGTTCCTTAAACTTTGCAAGCAGAGTCCGCGGAATTGAAAGTGGACCTGCCCGAAAACAGGCGGATGTGTCTGAACTGCTCAAGTTAAAACAAATGGTAACGTGATTCCTCTGAGCTCCTCCTATTCATCTAAGCTTTGACATATTTCTTAATCTGATTTTCAGTTTGTTGTCTCCTTTATAACAATTAACAGGCTGAGAAGCTGAAACAGGAGGAAAAGGAAACGAAGAAGCTGCAGGACACTGTGCAGTCACTACAGCTACGCCTCACTGCTAGAGAACACTTATTCAAAGGACTTCAAGATAAGGTAAGTCTTCTTTAACTAACGAATCCGATGTATTGAGTGTTCTCTTCTTCTAACTTCTAACACCTAAAACCAAATTCATGTTTCAGGTACGTGACCTGGAATTTCAACTAGCAGAAGAAAGGAAAACCAGAATGAAGCAGGAGTCACGAGCTCTAGCGACTGCATCGTCATCGTCAACATCTAGACAGCTGAGAGAGACACTACCGGTAATCACAGAGAACAAGCCACCTTTGGCTCCCACAAGATCAATGCGAATGCCACTCCGAAGAATCACAAACTTCATGCCCCAACAACCATCTCAGGCTCCTTCCAAGAGATTCTCAGACGCAACATGCAAAGAGAATAATAACAATAACAGAAGATCATCATCCATGGACGTGAATACACTAATGAAGCCAAGAAGAAGCTCGGTCGCTTTCAGACCAGCTCCTCCTCCATCATCCATGGACGTGAATACACTAATGAAACCAAGAAGAAGCTCCATCGCATTCAGACCAGCTCCTCCTCCATTAGCCATTGCATCAGGTAATAAGAAAACCCTGCAGCCGAGAAGGAGAGTCTCTATTGCAACGTTGAGACCAGAACCATCAGCATCATCCTCTTACATGAACATGACCACTCCATCACGCCCTTCTTTTTCTTCCTTCCGTGGTGGTAACCCGAGAAAGGCGAGATACTCAAAGCTCTTCTCTCCAGACCGCAATCTGGTGACTCCAAATGCAACGAAAAGCAGCAGATTCATGAAGAGCCCTCTTGGAGGCAGCTCGTGGAAGCCGAGCCATCCCACGGTGGTTGCATTGCAGAAGAAGACTGTGGTGTGGAGTCCGCTTAAGTTCAAGAACAGAAGGCCATCCTTCGTAGCGATGAGAGGTTCTTCTTCTTCTTCTTCTTCTTCTGCCACCGAATTGCTCCCGAGGGAACAATAGTGTGGCCTGCATCTTTTATTCACTGTCTTTGTGAAAGTGTTTGTTTTCGTTCGGATCGTCTGTTAAAACTATAAAATAGGATTTCTGTTGCTTTCTCTTGTCTTCATTCGATTTGTTAACTATAACTCCATTGAGATCTTGTGCTATGGTTCTGATATATGTGATGAAATTTGAGATCTCAGCCCCTTATTCTCCTGTCAATTTACTTTGAAGATGAAAAAGTAAGAAGGAACTATAAATATGTAGCCGTTGGGGTGTACACAGGTGTAATGTGCTTAAAACCATTAAAACACATATTTGCAACTGACTCTGAGAGGCCTCAGAGTTCCGGAATAGCTCAGACTTCTGTTTGTGCTCTTATTCTTCTGAGTTTTGTCGCTCTTCCCAACTATTGAAACAAAACTGAAGTAACGGTTTCCTTTTCAGATTGATCTTATTTTTTCAACAACTCAGAATTAAGATTTCCTCAATTGATTGTCTTTTCTTGATTACATGTGAAACACGAAAAATCTTCATAAGGTCTCCTCAGATTGGTCATTTTGAAAACTTATCTACGAAAGATTATCAAGAACTTATTTGGCGTCGGTTCACAGATCTTGTTTGATCATAAGCGGACTACACTTTATAACAGACTTATAACAGAGCAAACAAAAACAAGATTCCACATCAAGAAGACAAAAATCTCTTGTTATTGAACAAACTCAACACAATGTCTATTGACTATGTTCTGTCTTTCTTTTTGTCACTAAATGTTTGTGTTCCTACAGATCTTGAAAGCCACATTTCCATTTAACTTCTAAAAACAGTACACTCTGGTTAAAACTTGGGAATGGTAAACAAACTCAGAACAAGAGATTTGCTATCTTCTTCAGATAAAATGGAATCTTCACTATCAATCTTTCTCAGGCAGAAGCGCTCTTCCTTGTGGCGTACACACGGTATGCAGCCAGCCCAACGACCACAGCAGCAGCTCCAACTGTTTTCAAATTTAAAATAAAACTTAAAATGAGTCTGAAGCTTTTTTGTTAGTGAGAAGACTTGTGTCAGGATCCAAGACTATGGGGAAGAAAACGTACTTGAAACAGCCATGAGAGAGCGGTTGATAAGTCTGTTGTAATGTTTGCGGCTTTTTCCTGCTTCGGTCTCTGGAATACTCAAATGAGGATGTTGCGCTGCTGTTAAGATTTTGCGGAATAGGTTGTTGAAATCCCCCAACTTGGAGCTGATGGATACTGGAGGCTCTATTCCCATATCTTGTGTCACCTGCAACAAAATCCGTGAGCATAAATATATATGTACATGTTATTAAATCAAGCTATTTTGATTGGCTCGGAGATCAATTAGTAGTAACCCTACCCTGGTGGATTCTTGTATGGAAATTGGGAATGAATCAAGATCGTCTTTTGCAGAAACCATGAGACAAGGGACCTCATATCCAGTGGCCTCACCGTGAGTTGCAACTTCTACAAGTAACTCAGTCGCTCTCTTCCATGACGACTCATCAGAACTGGAGAAAAATAATAAAATCAGGGTATCAAACAACATCAACTTAAAGCCTCGTTAAGGCACATCAGATTTTCTCGCCCAGTGAACTCAATTGTTACCCATATATAAAGCAAGAAATATACCTGTCATACACAAAGACAGCTATGTCACATGCAGCCAAGGATTCCTGGGATGAAAATAGCTTTTGAACCCCATCTTCTGGAATTTCCCTCATGACAAGAGTTTTCTTTGCACTCTGCATTCAGAATTTGCAATTAGCAGATGAATGAGCAAATTATATACACAAACTTAGAGAAAGTAGCCTGTAGCCTCGAAGGATGCCAAAAATATACAACCATATCAATATCTTACAAAAATACTAGTCTGAACAATTTTGTTTGAAACTACGCATGTACCCACAGAAACAATTCATCAAAGATATCTAGCTCGTTCCATCTCAAATTCCCTAATTAACACTACAAAATTTCACTGGAGATTTATTTGCCAGGAAAAATATATCAAATACATATATCTTTATATGCAGACACATAATGATACAAATTGTATACGTATTCCCACTCACCTCAGATTCATCGACCATATTTACTGCATAGCGCTCATCAGTAGTCGATCCTTGGTTATCAGCATATGACCTAGATCATGGAGAAACACTGTAAATCAGATGGAGAGACCATTTGAAAAAGAGGAAAACTTTCTGCTCCGACGATATGCAAACGTCTCCGTGCTTAAAAACATTGAAAGCATTATACTCTCTTCTGTGTGTATTTTGTAACTGTAATAAGTTTTGGTACGAGTTAACAAAACATCACAAACCTTCCAAGAAAGCAGTTCAGCAATGCAGATTTTCCGGCGTTATTGGGTCCGAAAACAAAGCACTGTAATACTTTTCTTTCACATTGTTGCTTTTTGCGATCTAAACGTCTTCTCCTAGTAAGACGAATGGCAGAAGATGGATCACCAGCGAATCCAATGTAGATCAAATGTTCCACACTCCGAGCCGGTTCTAATAGTGTCATCAGTGACCACTGCAAGGATAGAATTGAAAGATTAGAGAAATTGGTTTAATGAACAAATTAATAACTTGGCCTTGATATAAATCCACAAATTATTGTGAAACCACATAAAATCAAAATGTATATGTCGCAAGATAAAGACACATAAACGATCATATCTGACAGAAAGAATTGCATGACATTTTAGTCCGTCAATCAACAAAATCAAAGAAAAAATGAAACCAATGATGAGTAAATGTTGTTGAGCGTGTAAGACAGGAGAATATTGATTACCAGTGACAGGAAAGCGTCAAAAGATAGTCCTCCAAGGGCAGTTTTCTCCGCAGCATCCTCATAAGGAGCTTCCTTCCAAGGACTGCATGTCACAATTTATTACGGCATTGCAATGTAATGAAGATTACCAAAATCGAAGATACACGTTTTTGCCTTGTGGGGGTGGAATGATTACCTTTCAGGTGCAGTTGAAAATAGATCTTCGATCTCTTGAGGCCTCAGATTATTATCCTGCAAAGTGCAAATTCAATATTAGAACTATAAGTCTATAACCCTGGGACCTTAGCTATTAATAAAAAAGGAGACTTACCTCATCGTCATCAAACAACATATACATTCCTTTCAGGAATTCGATTGCTGCACTTGTCAACTCAAAACTCTGCAAACAATGAACACAACCATTAGCGGCACAATGCAAGGAAGGCAAGTTAATGTGAACCAAAGGGATGTTCATCCAGTAACATATTATCAGAACCACCAACAAATATAATAATGAAGCCACAATGGATTATATATCTGCCATTTACCTGATCGGGAGCTCGCTTGAATAATGAAGACGGAAGCAATTCATCAGCGAGTCTTATATCATTATTATACCCAAACTTCCTAAGTACAGTCCACGTTGTCTCAAGCCTCCCTTTCTCAATAAAAAGTGCGTGTAGAAACAGGAAGCCAGTCACTGTCAGTCCCCTTTCATTCACACCTTCTGGCAACTTTTCTTGCACAACCCTCTTAACCCCTTCGATTTCAGAAGGCTGCAATGGTGCATGGAAGCACTTGACCTATTTTGAAAAAAAAAAACTATTAGGTGTGGATAAGGAAATCATTATCATACTGAACGATAGGCCTGAGCCAATTCGATGAAAAAAAAGTAAAAGCACATGAAACACAAGTGGGAGAAATATAAGAACCTGAAAATCATTTAACTCAGCCTCGCTAAGAGCACCATCTCTGTCATGGTCACAGAGTATGAAGATACGCTTCAAGGCCCTTACACACCGGGGCTTCAGAGCCTGGGATTCTTGATCGAACAGAGGTCCTGTTGGGTGAAGGACAGTTTTTTGTGCATAATAGAAAACTTCTTGAGCCTACAGGAAAGCTTTACATTAGGATAATAGTTCAAACCTGAGATATAATTTATAATTTTCAACTAAAGCTGTTTTCTGACAAAGCATTTTCAATTCATTCCTGATCAAAGTCTACACCAATCAGCACAAGTTCCACTTTCAGTCAAAAATTTAGCATGTCTAATGTACTAAATATCTCTTAGCAAGACAATCACATGCCTAATCTACCTCGAACCAACATCTGTGCCGTGTTTGAGCCAAGACAAATTTTAAATCTCAAGAGGAATAACAAAAGTCATGAAACCTGGAGTTGCTTCAGGGCAGAGCACTCGATACATGTCTCAATCTCCCGAAACTGCTGCATTATCGGTGACATCACTTGTTCGAGGCTGACCTGGTTATTATCGTCTCTGAAGTCAAGCTTACACCCTGCTACTATAATAGGAACTTTAACCTGCTCAAAAAGATCACAAACCAATTAATAAGCAACAGAAAAAGTTTAGGTCACAGCAAATGTGTTACACATTCTAACACTAAAACAGTCATATGACAACCAGGAGAGAAATTGTACACCTTCTACAACTGATAACAGAGAGAGAGGAAAATCAAACCTCTAATCGCCGAAGCTCTGGAAGCCAGTATGTGCTCAAACGTTCGAGAGTCTCAGGTCGATCACAGGCATATGTCAAAACCACTGCATCTGCGTGCTTCAATTCCTCAGCAACCATGTCCCTATCTTCCTGCCTGAACACACAAGCAGAAACATCAGAAGATACTTCAAGCACATCAACAAGCAGCTAAAGCATGAAAACCCAAAAAACTTCTTCCAGACCCCCGTGAACAGTAACTAAACAGTTGGCACAGACTCATAGTGATATCCCAACAACAATGTTACATGTGCTATTACTATCCTTTCCAGTTCATTTATAGTTTAAAAACCTAAACATAGTACACTCATATGCATGCATGGCAAACATATTAATCTCCATATACCATAAAATTCACTTTCCTCTGCGGAAACCACTACACTAGCATCATGTTCCTACAAGTAGCCTTATTCAAGAGATAAATTATCAAGTAATACTGTAGCCTTCTTCATTTCAAAACATATACAAGGAGATATACCTCGAGGAAGTGTCAACAATGGTGACAGGTATACCGTCGGGGAAGAATTCAAAAGGCAACTTGGTATCAGGAAGAACGGGAGGGACATTGGGAGGGAAAGAATCGGTGGCTGCAGCGACAATCAAGCTGGATTTTCCAGTGCCCTTGTCACCAATCACAACGATTCGCACAGATTTGGGAGAGCCGGGACAATCCACCGTACCAGCAGCGTATCTCGCCATCTGAAACTGCAACAGAGTCAAAGAAATCGAAGTCAATTCCAGAAACCGAATGAAAATACGATGAACTCAACTCTCACTGACTCTCCAAACAGCACGCAATACAGATGCACAGAGGATAATCAATCGAAATCAAAGAAAGAAAACTAGGTTTGGAATTAAACTCAAGAATTAGAGGCTCGAAATCAGGATTCAAGTATTCAAGTACATGGAGCTTGAAAGAACATGGATCTTCAAACAGCTACGAGTTTGAGAACAAGTAACTGAAACTTTTTCCAACTGAGATTAAGAAATCCCAGGAACACGAGCAGCAAGAGAGAACAGGATCGTGAAGAATATGACGAACAATTCGACTTCTCGAAACCATACAAAGCAATAGAAAAGAGTACATCAACGAGAAGAAAACTAACCTAAATCAGAGATTAGATTCAGAAACAAGGAATGGCCCCTAACCTAAACTGGAGATGGAGAGTGAGAGAAAGAGAGAGCCACGAAGATTGAAAACCCCTTAGAAAACCCTAGAGATGTGGCGGTGACGATTGCAACGAAGGAGGAGAAAAATAGAAAGCTTCCTTTGCTTCTATTCTAGTGGCATTCCCGTAAAAACCAGCCCTGTGTCTCTTCCTTTAACGCGTAAGTATAAATTTTTTTTTTTTTTTTATGACCACGCATCAGTAATTTTCCCCTTTTTTTTGCTTTTGTTTTGTTTTACGACCACGCATAATTAATTTGTGTACAAGAAATTTTAACTTTTTTTTTTTTTTAGAAATTTTGATTTTTAGTATTTACTGAAAGTGTTGTATTGTTGTGTACCGTTTACTGAAATTTTCATTTTTAGTATTTACTGAAAGTGTTGTATTGGCGACCACGCATTGTGTACAATTTACTTGTATTGTATGTCTTTTTACGGATAAGTGAATTAGGTACAGCTCACATACCTGAATTGAGAACCAAAGTAAGGATTCATTTCTATGTATGTGCAGATAAACGAACGTACAGTGTATAAAAAAAGTCTGTCATATAAGCTTGCAACTTATAATTATAGAAACACAAACATAGAAAATAATATATTTAGTATTTATTCTAAAATTTAGAAAATAAGAAAAGATATCTCATATTATGAATGCAAATGGAATGAGACAACAGAAAGAACAGACATGACAAGGATGTAAAAGAATAAATTAAAAGGATACTAAATCATTTTTTTAATTGATATATTTACAAGTTACTTAGGTTTTCAACAGTGTGATGCAATCAGGAAGATGGAATGTTTTTTTTTTCTGATTCTTTTATGAAACTGTATCAAGTGTTAAATGTTTTTTCTTCATAATTGAGAACTAGTACTTCGTTAACACAAAAGTTTAAGAGAATGCAAGAAGGAGAGTAAATCAACAATAATTAATTCAGCTGAAGAAGGCAAGAACGAGAGTAAATCAACAATAATGAAAATTACAAATTTACAAGGAAAGAAATATTCATATTTTATAAATAAAATCCATACGTTACTATTAGATTACAACACACACTATTGTATTTAGGAAAAACGTTAAAGCATATCCTAATGTCATGTAATACGTACACCTAAGATGATAATGATACTTTGACCATATAGGACTCGATAGCTTCTTAAACATGAAAACAACGTGGCGCCACTTTGGTGGCATCATCCTTTTAGATTTGTCATATGACTAACCAAAAAAAAAATAAGGGAAAACAAAAACGAAAATAATAACGAGAGTGATGATGTGTCAACGTCGCTAAACAACTCATACGGCTGTTTAAAATCCCAAGACGAAAGGAAACACTTTTATGATCCCATACCATCATATACCTTCCTCATTTCCTCTCTTCTTCCGGAAAAAAAATCCTCTCTTTCGCTGATTCGTGGGAAGAAGATGGGCGTTGATTTGGATCTGGAGTCTATCTCCGAGGCCACATCCGGTGCCATAGGTTCGCTTCTCAGCACAACCATTCTCTACCCTCTTGATACCTGTAAATCCAAGTTTCAAGCCGAGATTCGTGTTCGCGGTCAGCAGAAATACAGGTCTCTCTCTCTCCCTCTCTCTCTCTCTATCTCCTCTGGCTTCTTTCGCTTGCCTTCGTGATTTGATTGTGACGCGATGATGGTCTTTCACGATTCTGTAATTTGAATTGATCTCTCGGTTTCTGCTGAAATGATTGAAAATTGGTTTTGTAGTATTCGGCTTTTCTCTTTCAGGTTTGGATTATGTGTTGATTTATTCATTGGTCCCTTGTAGATCCTCGTCTGGATCGTAACTTAGACCTGGGTTTTGATTCTATAAGTATAATTTATCCCAGAAATTTCACTTCTTTGATCAAAAGGCTTTTCAATGAGCTCAAGCTTTTGAATTTCTTCTTTTTGTGTGCTGCTACGTTTGTGTTATATGTTAAAGCAGTATCCTTTTTTTTATATATTAGACTCGGACTCGAAGCACTTTCATTCTTGCTCTCACGCGAATACTTATAACTGGTCAAAATTATAGTTCGTAGATGGTGTTGTGGAACTTATGACATGTTTTTTAATTTCACAACGAGATGCTATTTATCTGAAAAAATTTCGTGCAATTGTAGATATTTGAATTGTTAGAAGCTGTACTCAGGACAGAGTTTTCAGGCCGTATAATGGTCCATCTTGTGATTGTCGTTGGAGTTTTTTCGAATATCTAAAGCTGTTTTGTAACATTTTTTCAGATACCTGTCAGATGTATTTTGGGAAGCAATTTCTTCAGGAAACGTTCTCTCGCTGTATCAAGGCCTAGGGACTAAGAATTTGCAGTCCTTCATTTCTTCCTTCATCTACTTCTATAGTTATAGCTATTTCAAGAGGCTACATTCTGAAAGGATAGGTTCAAAATCAATTGGCACAAAGGCAAACCTGCTCATTGCTGCTGCTGCTGGAGCTTGTACCTCTGTGTTGACCCAAGTACGTTTATCTGCACTCGGCTTTGCTCAAATCTATGTTATGTTTGGCTGTCTTATGTTTTCCTTTTGTTTTGGGTCAAAATCTTAAAACTTTTTAGTTTCTTACTGGCTGTTCTGTCTTCTCTATGAATTATAACTTTATAAGTTGTATGTTTGTGTAGCCTCTAGATACAGCCTCGTCAAGGATGCAAACAAGCGAGTTTGGAAAATCAAAAGGGTTGTGGCAGACCTTAACGGATGGTACATGGGGGAATGCATTTGATGGCCTTGGGATTTCTCTTTTACTGACCTCGAATCCTGCAATTCAGGTACTACTGTCCTTCTTTTTACACCATCAAATTCATATTTACAGTCTTAACTTTGCTAGTTGTTATCTGCAGTAACGCTACTCGCTGAATAATAAGCTTCTCTTTGTATAGTATACAGTGTTTGATCAGCTGAAACAGAACCTCCTTGAAAAAAGAAAGGCAAAAGCCGGGAAAGACTCGTCCCCTGTAGTTCTCTCTGCCTTTATGGCGTTCTTGTTAGGTGCGGTCTCAAAAAGTGCTGCCACCGTCATCACATATCCAGCGATCAGGTATTATAGCTTCCGGTGGATTATACAGCTGTGCATCGATTCAGACTCTTTCGTGGAGGATATTGATTTACATACACATTCATGGGTTTTGTAGGTGCAAGGTGATGATTCAAGCAGCAGATACCTCCAAGGATAATGAAGCGAAGAATCTTCGAAAAAGAATCAAGAAAACGATTCCCGGGGTAGTCTATGCGATATGGAAGAAAGAAGGGGTCTTAGGGTTCTTCAAAGGCTTGCAGGCTCAGATCTTAAAGACGGTTCTGAGCTCGGCGTTGCTGCTAATGATCAAGGAGAAGATCACTGCAACCACATGGATTCTCATTCTAGCGATAAAAACTCTGTTTGTCAACAAAGGTAGGTTGAAAGGTCCATAAAGATTGCTCTTTCGCAAGTGTCCCAAGGCCAAGCGAGAGCAAAGACTTTGGTTTGGCTGTCTGTTATTGAAAGATTTTCGAGCAGGCAAGTATTGCAGTCTTTCGTATTTTAAGAACACTTGATTTTTGAGTAAGAAACTGATCGTAGGGTCGCATAAAGCTTCAAAATTGTTGCCAGATTGAGTTTCTGGGCGTAGAGAACTCTCTGTTGATTATGTAGTTTCTCTTCAGTTGTAATAAAAGCATGGATCCTCTATGTAGAATCATGTGACTGATAAAAACATGTCCTATGAGACTACAATCTTAGGCATCTTAATCATTTTGTGTGTGTAAATTGTAAACAGAAATGCCAAATACGAACGAAATTAATATTTTGTTTGTGTCGGTGTACAAATTAAAAACTTGAAAATTATTGTATATCCCCAAAAAATGTTAAGTGGAAGAGAAAAAAAAAAGCCTCATTTAAACGCAAACGAAAAAATTACGCTTAAAACAATCAGAATCTGAATTACCTCATGTACATATTCTTCAATTTCTGATCAGTATCCATCACCATCAGTTTTTGATATAGATTTTCAAATTATGATTCAAATTAATCAATATATTTTTTATGTGCAATATTATTCTATACATAAGTTCAAAAAAAAAAAAAATAATTATCCTACACACTAATTTCATTATTTTTTTTATCGGATGTCAAGGACGTATCATTTACTGGGAGATGATTTACTGTAGTTAACTTGATTGCTTCTAAACGAAAAAGAGGTTTAGTGTAAATACTATCGGTCGTTTGTCACACAGCTGCGAGACGGACGTGAGAACGAAGATGATGTCCGGTGGGAGCTACACGAGCATCGATCACCAGAAAGTCTCTGGATCTGTACCTGTAAGCTCTTTTCCTTTGCTGATTCGTTCTAGATCTCTTTCCATTCGCATGAGTTATCTATCTTCTGTGTATGTGCTCTTTTGCACTGGCTATCTTGTCACTGGATTGTCGAATCTCGGTTTACTATCTCATCTGATCAGATCTATCAATTTGTAGGCCGTTTCAGATCCTGGCCATGTCACCGTCAAATTCGCAGGTAAACACTGAGATTTCATGCTGCTTAGTTGAATTGGTGATAGATAGAACGAACCAGTAAGAAAGAAATCCTCCTGCATTTGGAATTAAAGGAATTTCTCAGAGTGTGTTTGTAAGGTTTCGCAAATTGCTTATGTATTTGGTTCCCTTTTGTTCTGTGATTTTGATTGAGGTGGTACATTGTATGCAGAGTCAAATCTACAAACGTTTCCTCCATCTGCAACTCAGGGGAAGATCTCTGGTGGCACTAATCCCCCTCGAGATGCTGACGGTAATTCATACTTATAGATTTGCTTATATTACTAATTTTGCATTGTCTTATGGCTTATATGACTAAATCATCAACCGATGCAGATACATTTTCTAGGCCAGTGAACGGTACTGATGAACCTCAGTCTGGTGGTTGGCTCCATAGATTCACTGTTGGTGCTTACAAGCCTTACTTTGACGTAGACACCAGGGATGTCGTAGAGAGACTCAAAGAATCGCTCTTTCCTTTCAGAGGAACGTTTACAGAGAAGACAGCCAACAACCCTGATCTGTAAAGAGTCTTTTTTTTTTTCTTTACAAGGAATTTTACATTTGCTTCTCAAGAGTGGAAAATGATGAAACGGAATAAGATTTGTGTTTACAGGTACGGGCCATTCTGGATATGCACAACCTTGATCTTTGTAGCAGCATCCATAGGAACATTTGTTACATACATAGCTCACAAATGGAAGAAACAAGAATGGAACTACGACATTAATCTGGTGACTTGGTCTGCGGGAGTGTTCTACGGCTATGTAACCGTTGTCCCTCTCGCATTATATGTCGTTCTTAAGTACTTCTCTGCACCGTCAGGCCTAGTCCAACTCTTCTGCCTCTACGGATACTCTCTCTTCATCTTTATCCCTGCACTGGTAAGTTAGTTTACAATTCGGCTTTTACTCTCAGATGAGACATCGAATGTGGAAAAACTCCGACACTACAAAAAATGCTGTGTTTCTGTTTTTACTCTGCAGTGTCTCTCTGTCGTCCCATTAGAGATCTTCAGATGGGTGCTTGCGGGTTTAGCTGGATTCATGTCTGCTACATTTGTGGCTTTGAACCTCAAAGCACATATTAACTCTGCGGGAGAGAGATGGTTCTTGATTGTGGTCAGCATTTTTCTTCTGCAGCTCGCGCTTGCCGTCGTGCTTAAGCTGTATCTCTTCACTGTCACTGTATAAATCATTCCCTCACAAGACTGAAGCTGTAATTCTTTGAAGTGTTTAACTAAGGTACAATTTGAGAATCTGATTCTGTAGATCATCAAAGGAAAGAGTTTGTTGTTGCAAATGGTCCAATTTTTGTATAACTAGTAGAGACCGAATCTGTGTTGCATGATTCTTTCATTTGTTATCATCAACAAGAATATTATGAATATACGTCAAACATGTATAATTTTGTTGACATGATATATAAGAATTTTGCATTTCATCTAAACTATATGAATGGATGAATAATTGAGAACAAGCATTCGCCAAAGAAAATAAACAAAACTGTGAGAAATTCGATGATAAACAAAAGGTTCCAAGTAACACAAATTAATTCTCAAAAAAAGTTCACAAAATAAAGAAAAATGACGTTGAAGTTTTTCATCAGTTTCATGAAAATCACAATATATGAATCAAGCTTTATTAGACTTTTTGCCTTTGGTCTCGGTAGCTACGGGCTTAGCTTTGAAGGGCAAAAACGTCTCTCCGCCCATAAATGGCTGTAAAACCTCAGGGATCTCCACACCATCCTCTCGCTGGTAGTTCTCGAGAATGCAGCAAATGGTCCTCTCAGTCGCCGTAAGAGTCGAATTCAGCATATGCACATACTGCTTCGCCTGCTCATTGCTCTGCGTCATAACCACAAGACCGGAATTAAACAAGATCTAATATATTTGCCAATGTAACGAATTGAAAAGAAAAAAAACAGAGAGATTTACCTTTTTCTGACCGTATCTGATCCCAAGCCTCCGAGCCTGATAGTCTGTACAGTTGGAACAGGACACGAGCTCTCTGTACGTCCCCGACGCAGGAAACCAAGCTTCCAAGTCAAACTTTTTTGCTGCTGCATCGTTCAATGCTCCCGAGACGATCGAGACGATTTGGTATGGAAGTTTTAGCTGCAGAGAGAAGTCATCATACAATTGGCTGATTAGAAAACAGAGAAAAATCACAAGGTTTCTCAACTTCAAGTATCAAAAATTACCGCTTGGTAAAAATCTTCCGAGTTCTTCATCATCTCATCGAGCATTGCCCACGAATCATTCTCGTTAGGACCGGTGATGCAAAACTGCTCAATTTTCTCAAACTGGTGAACACGGAAAATGCCAAGTGTATCTCTTCCGTGGGAACCAGCTTCTTTTCTAAAGCAGGACGAGTAACCGGCATATCTGGACAATATAAATAATATGATGTCGATAAACTTTTTAAATACACAAAGAAAAATTGTCTAAACGCTGCGAGATCATAAATTACTGTTTCTGTTTACATGCCTTATGGGAAGCTCACTGGGATGGATCCACTCCTCAAGATGGTATGCACAAAGAGGTTGCTCCGCAGTTGCAATAAGGTATTTGTCATCTCCTTCACCAGTCACCTGAACAAAACAAAAATCTTCTCAGAATCCAAGTCTAACAGCATAATTAAACAGATGTTGTTTTTTTGTAACGATTAAAGACCTTATAGAGTTCTTCATCAAACTGTGCCAACTGTGCGCACTTGGCCATGACATCCTTCCTCATGAAAAAAGGAGGTTGCAATGCTGTGAATCCTCGCTTCTTCAAGAAGGTTAGCCCAAAGTTGATAAGAGCTTGGTTAAGGAGCACACCATCTCCTTTCAGGAAAAAGCCTCTTCCTCCAGCAATTTCAGCACCTGAGGTCAAAATAGCATTTTAATGAATCCCAAAAGCACCAAAAAAAAACCACAACACTGATGTCGAGAAGGTGACCAAAAGTGTCAGCCAATGATACCTCTCTTGAGATCTGCGATATCGAGAAGCTCAACGAGATCCACATGGTTTTTCAGCTTCTGAGAAGGCGAACCATCCCGCCTATCACCCCAAGTTTTAGTCACAGTATTATTTGCCTGCAAATGAAAAACACCACACACTTGATAAATCGCTCTCCTTTTCGGTCACCACGATGCATACAAACCTTAAGGGATAGAGAAATGGAACTAAACCTCATCGTTATCAATTGGAACTGAGTCATGGACGAGATTTCCAACTGTCCCCAATTTGGCATGTAAAGCATCATAAGCTTCACGAACTTCGGCCTCTTTCTCGGTAGAATCTTTTTTGTTTTTCTCTGTTTGCTGGATCAGCTCAGTCGCATCAGCACCAGACTATTCCAAAGAAGACGAAACAAAAGCTCATTACCATCGGATAAATTCTACTTAACTTCCATCACGTTCAATCAAACGAACTAAAATCATTTGGATCTAGAAGAAGGTTCCTATAACTTATCAGAAAACACTAACAATTTTGAGCTTGGCCACTTGCTTGTTCAGCTTGTTGAACTCCTTTCGGAAACTATCAACTTCAAATTGACCTGAAACACTCAGAAATGTCTTAGCAATCAAGCTCAATTTGTAAGATGCGAGTAAAGGGGTCGATGAAATGGGATACTTACGTTGACGCCATTCTTTGTCGAGCTTGATAATCTCATCAACGACCTCAACGCTGGCAAATCTCCGGCGCTGAGATTCCCGGATGATCTCCGGGTTGTTCCCCTTCTCTTCTCGAAATAGATTGATATCCAACATTATCGTACTCTTCTCTGTGAATCAAAGCAGAAATCAAAATAAATAAACCTTACAGGCTGAGCTTTCTAATGAATAAGAACTGGAGCCGCGATAGATTGAGATTTGGGAGATGACAAAAAGAAGAGAAACAACGTATCAACAGAATTCAAAGAGATAAAAGAGAAACAACAACGTACTTACGACTGTGGAGAAGAAGATGGGGACTACTGTCAGCGGCGTCGATTTGACCTCTGCAAGGAAGATGATCTGTCTAGGGTTTTGGTGTTCTTTGTAAATTGTTTTTCACTTTTTGTTGATTAATTAATAATGGTAAATAGCCGACCTATCCCCATTATGGTTTTTAAAATAAAAGAAAGCCCCAAAACTTTCAGATTTGTTAAACAAACCCATCATCCTGTATTAACAAACCCATCATCATGTCACTCCTAGACGTAAACAATTTTATTGTATTCAAATATCCTCTATTAAACTATTCCACGTCGTGGAGATACATGTACAGATGTACTATATTCAACGATATTGTGGAATCTTAAATTAATCTGATTGTTGATCTTCAAGTATTGACATAAACAAAAGTTGAAAAATGTTGGTTCTCTTCCCTAACGATGGGAAAATAAATTTGCTTTTGGGCTTACCGGCTCAGTGTGAATTTGAGTGTCTCAGTCGATTCTTTTTATCTTGTCAACATTAGGTAATTCCTCAACGGCCCAGATTCCTCAAATTTACTTAACGGCCCAGATGTTGTCCCTGGTCTCGCCCGGACTTTGTGAGATTCTCGAGAAAGAGAGCGAACCAGACTCGCGATTCCAATGGTGATTCGGTCCTTACCCGTCACTCTCGCACCGTGAGCTACTTTTTCTCCTTCCTCACGTCTGCGACATCCAGGTACAATGTACAGCAGGATTCGTTTGGTTGCGAAGACGAGTTTCTCCGGCACCGGCGTAGCGAGGCTCGTGTCTTCACGCGCGTCCACGGATACGTCTCCCGCAGCTCATCGGAATGGCTTGAAGGAGATACTGAGAAAGAGCGGTCCTCGACGCAGCGTTTCCTCCCTTCTCCAGGAACGGGTCGACTCGGGCCACGCCGTCACGTTATCGGAGCTCCGGTTTATCTCCAAGCGCCTCATTAGATCGAATCGCTACGATCTCGCACACCAGGTTTAATATTCTCGCTTTATCAAACTGTGAAGAAGTAGGAGTTGGTCAAAATTGGTAACGGAAGCTTAGATTTGCCAATCATGTACAGATGATGGAGTGGATGGAGACTCAAAAAGATGTTCAATTATCCGCCTATGACACTGCTCTTAGATTGGAGCTAATCATCAAAAACCATGGCTTGAAAGACGCTGAGGAATATTTTGAACAGCTACAGAGTTCCGGCTCGCTGAGAGTAGCGAAATCAGCTTACCTTCCTCTTCTTCGAGCTTACGTTAAGAAGAAATTGGTTAACGAAGCGGAAGCTCTCATGGAGAAGTTGAACGGATTGGGTTTTCTTGTAACTCCACACCCATTCAACGAGATGATGAAGCTCTATGAAACCACTCACCAATATGAGAAAGTAGTTACGGTCATTTCGATGATGAAAGGGAACAAGATACCGAGAAACGTTCTCTCGTACAATCTCTGGATGAACGCATGCGGCGAGATATCAGGTGTTGCAGGTGTGGAAACGGTTTACAGAGAGATGATTGGTGATAAGAGTGTCGAAGTTGGCTGGAGCTCGTTGTGTACTCTCGCAAATGTCTATATTAAGGCTGGTTTTGATGAGAAGGCGAGTTTAGTGCTTGAGAGCGCAGAGAAGAAGTTGAATAGAAGCAATAGGCTTGGATATTTCTTCCTCATCACGCTTCATGCCTCTTTAGGGAACAAGGAGGGTGTTGTTCGTCTGTGGGAAGCTTCGAAATCGGTTTCTGGTAGGATTACTTGTGCAAACTACATATGCGTGTTGTCATCGTTGGTGAGAGTCGGTGGTGTCGAAGAGGCTGAAAGGGTTTTCGATGAGTGGGAAGCCAAATGCTGTAACTACGATGTTAGGGTCTCTAATGTTCTTTTGGGTGCCTACGCTCGTGATGGAGAGATCCGCAGAGCGGAGGCGTTGCACGAGCGTGTATTGGAGAGAGGAGGTGATCCAAACTACAAGACTTGGGAAATTTTGATGGAGGGATGGGTGAAATGTCAAAGCATGGAAAAGGCCATTGATGCTATGCAGCGAGCATTCGAACTCATGAAGGGTTGTCATTGGAGACCGTCGCAAAACATCGTCCTGGCGATTGCCGAGCACTTTGAGAAGGAGGAGAAAATCGAGGAAGCAAACGCTTATGTTAGAGATTTGCATCGTCTTGGTCTTGCAAGCTTACCGTTATACAGATTGTTACTTAGAATGCATGAACAATCTCAGAGGCCGGCCTTTCACATCTATGAAATGATGAAGTTGGATAAAATTCGAATGGACGATGAATGTTAAGTGAAAACTCGTCAAAGAATGTGGTAAAAGTGTAATGTTTCTGTAGTCTGTGGACACACTTCTTTCAAGAAAATCCAGCTTACCAACATGTTCATTATCATCATGTATTAATTTCTACAATTAAAACACAACAATTTCAACAACAGAAGAAAAAGGAAAAAGACAACTATTTTTGCTTGTTGTCAATCATTTTCACATGGTGGTAATAAAGCATTTTTACATTCAACACATCAGTACTAAAAAGAATTTGACTTTCTGGATTTCTAATTGCAGCCTTCTTCTAGTAGACTTTAAGAATGGTGAGAAGCCAAATATGATTTTGTTAACCATATAGCATCAAGCATATTCTGGTCTGATCAAAAGCAAATCTGAGCTCCGTTACCACCAATTGACGCCGTGAAGCACTGAAAACCGCTGGACTCGAGCTCCTCCACCACTTTGTCCACCACCGTCCCTGAAACCACTTCGTTTCGCAGAAAGGGAATCGACGTCAAGGGACAAACAAAATTCAAGATTCAAGAACCCAAATTCACAAAAAAAAGGATGATTGAAAATTTCTGAAAAAGGATACGGGTAGGTAATAGAGTGAGGACGCAGCCGCCACCACCAGCTCCGGTCAGTTTTGAGGTAAGCTTGTGCTTGAGCGTGGTTCGGATCACGGTATCGATCGAGCTGTGGCTAACCCCCATTGACTGCAGCAAGCCTTGGTTCATCTCCATGAGTTCTTTAATTCTCTCTTCTTTCTCTGTAACCGAGTTCTCGTCTTTAGATTGGATGATCGTAGCGAGCTCTTTGCTTATAGAATCCACGGCACTGAACACGGAGTTCATGGCATCTGGATGTCTGACCGTTCTCTCTGACACACCAGAGACCAGAGCTTTCGTGTTCCGCCCGACTTTAGTGTTGGTGATCAGCATTCTCAGAGGCATGTTTGACTGTAACCGAGTTATCTCGCCTGAGCAGAACTTGATCATGTTTCCTGCGACAGACAACCGCAAAACAGAAATGTTGCTTTTCTCTTAACATACAGAATTGAGATGAGAGAATCTTGGAGGTTTACAGTCAGAACAAACCGTATGCACTGACGGTGTTGTCGATCCCAGAAGGTTTCCCATGGATGATCTTTTCGCCTTCAAAAGCCCATTTGTTCAGCAACTCGAGATTGGTTTCATCGAGAGAGGACCAAGCGTCACCACGGGTTTTGTCTGAACTAGAAGATGCGATAAGAGCAGCTGTGAGGGCTACACAGAAAGCTGCTGATGAACCGAGGCCAGATCCGTATGGAAGCTCGGTTGTAATGATGACCGTAGCCGGATTGAATCTAGAAAACAACAACAAGATTCAAGAGCTCTGAAAACAAGGTCTAGAAATCTCTTTGAGTTAGAACCTGCTGTGAGTTTTCTTTTTACCCTAGGATGTTGGTGTATAGCCAGAGAAAGGTGGAGATCCCAGAGGAGAGCCAGATCTTTGCCTCTGGAATATTTTGCTCTTCAACCAAAACCGCAATTGATTTAAGGGTCTCGCCTGAACATGAAGTCGGCTTGGAAGAGGAAAAAGTGCTTGAGTCACAAGGAATTGCTTCTTTGAGTCTGGCTAATGACCAGGAAAACTCCAAGGAAAGGTCCTTGAGCTGGAGTGTAAGCCTATCATTGTTCTCAGCTGTCAGAAAGAAAAAAAAAAGGAAAAGTAAATGCTTCAGATTTGTTACTACATTGGGACAAAACAGAGAGCATAAGCAAACTACATTAACCATCAAATTACTTCAAATGCATCATACTCTAGCATTGATGCAACCTTAATCCATTTTGATAATACTGTTACTTGGTATCATAAGCGGAAAAATTGCAATATATCATGAACATCCAAACTCTACAACCCAAATTAAATTTGAACGAATGTAAACTCATGGATCACCCAAAGTTTTCGGGGTTGGTTACTTTTGGATCCAGATAGCTAGAGAAACCAGAAACACTATATTCTCAGTTCTCAGGTGAATTTAGAAAGCTCAGATCTTTTGCTAATCAATCTCTAAATAGGTTCAGTGAGAGTTAACACCCAGAAAAAGAAACCAATCCCAGAATCTGTATAAGAGAAAAGGAACCTGATTGAAGAGGAAGGCGGAGAGTGACGTAAGTGTAGAGATCAATGGCGGCAGCTACTGCCGTGGATCCATGGACCACCGCGTGTTCGCCTGCGAGAATGATCTTTCCTGGAGCTCTCGCTTTCACTTCCATTTTCCTAATTCAGCATAAAGTGGAAAGTATTTGAATTGATTGACATAAACAGAGATCAAAGAATCCAAATTCTAGCAACTGTGAAATGAAATGTAATGACATTGTTACAAAATGTGAATCAGATCAAAGGGCATTTGTATAACTGGGATCTAATATGGATCTCATTCGAACTACAGACCGAAACTTTGAGAATTTACGACCAAAATGGTAAATGTGAATCAGATCAAAGCTGTTCAAATCGAACATAAGCTAAGAAGTGGGTAAATGAAACTAAAATTCATTCTTCTTCGTCTTAACTTCATTTTCTTAGCTCACGCAATCACAGTTCAGCAAAAATGAAATCAAATTTATAGCAGAGATTTTATGGACAGGAAGAGCGTACCTGGAATTGCCGAGAAAAAGAACCCTAGAAGGTGGAGGATGTCTGAAGCCACGCACCAGCAGCGTATTTAATTAACCATTTTTAAAGATAATTTGTAGAGAAAAAAAAGATAAAGCGTGGTTTAACTTTTCCGGTTTTGAAAAATTGATGTAGAATGTGATTTGATTCAATCCAATTTGGCAAGGTTTCAACTTCATTTTGTGTAATTATATCTGTACAATGTGAGATTTATTGAAGAAAATTACAGTTTCAGCTCGGGTTTTATCAGACTTTATTTTCTAATTTCGGTTTGGTTTGGTTATGTTTTGTTTGTACAAACGGTTTAAAGAAGAACAGGTTCGAAGAAACCTGGAAGACACACACAATCCCATACGCATTTAGCAACGGCTATTTCTATTAGACGAGAAACAAGAAGACCGAAATTGCGCTGAATCTGATGACTCTTCACCTGACATCGCATCTCATTGGGTTTCATTTTCTTAATCCACAAAGTCCGAGACTTTCATCAGCATCTCGAGTCTCTGTGTCGCTACCTTCGATTTCACATCGAACCCAGTTCCAAAGCTTGGTTGTTTGTGCAAGGAGGAGGAACAAACGAGTCGGGTATCAACGAATCGCAAGGTTTCTGTTCAAGTCACTGTCTTTATTATCCCCTAATCTCCATATTTTACCACAGCCGTTGGATCTTGTCATTGCTGATTTGGGGGGCGTAGATGGAGGGGGAGGGGGAGGAGGAGGAAGGCGAGGGTTTTGGAAAGGATGGGGAAGATTTGATGGATGGAGAAGGAAACGGAACAGAGTACCAATTTTGCTTTTCGTTTGTGTAGTTGTATGGATTTATGGTTTCTGCAAAATCTCGGGGAAAGACATAAAGAGCGACAAGGTTATGAAGGTTTTAGGGATTTGTTTATTTGGTGTCACAATGGTGAAAGAGTTGAAGAGAGAGGCTAGATACTTAATGTTTCTCTGCTTGATTGCTTCATTGGTTTTTGGATTCAAGAAAGAGCATTTTGTGAAGTTAGCTTCAGGGGTTAGGTCTTGTTCTTCGGTTCTTTTTGGTAAAAGGAGATCTCGTAGAAGAGTTTAGTAAGCAAGAAAGATTATGGATTTGTTTCTAATTTATTCTTTCTCGACGATTCTGTGGTTTCATCCATTATCTTTCAACTGTGATGTATATCCAAAAAGGTCTAAACTTTGACGATTTTGTCTGCAATTGAATATGATGAAAGGTTCCAGTTTTGTTACTATTGAGCAAAACGAGAGATTGAGAGAATAATGAAGAGTAATGTGCTGTTTCCACTTGCTTGCATCATCTGCAAACGTTTTAATGGAGAAGAGGATGCTGGTTTGTGTATAAAAAAAAGATGTGGCTGATAGGGTATACATGCAGAGTAATGGTATAAAGCTAGTCAAAGAATCGATGAAGAGGAAAAGGATAAGTCTATAAAATAGTTGGCTCATTATTCATTCCAAAACAATGTACTCAACTTCGTGCCAGTTTACAGATCAAGCAATTGACGCGTCTGAAGTCTAATTGAACATCTGAAACATAACTCTGTTCTTTCCTAGTTTAAAGGAACTTTGTTAACCATCATCATCATCCTCATCTGTATGCATCGGGTAGACGATAGCCAGACATAACTATTTTGTCAGCAAACATCTTGCCAGTCTTGGGCATGACATGCCAGTGTAGTGTCAGGTTGAAGTCTTTCCCTCGGAGGTTGTGCCCCTAGAAAGATCCCATTGACAACAATCAGATACTCTTGCCAAGAAGAATTACACAGAAGGATGAATGTTTTTAGGGGAGAATCACGGAAATTGCTTTTTTATGTACCTGGTCTATGAAACGGTACTTGTTTGAGATTTGAATCCAGAATTTAGCATGTTCTTTCTCAGGTATTATGGCGTCCCATAAAGAAACCTGCAAAAAAAGAGGTCAAACATTCATGGTATATATATACAAAAAGGGTCCTCACTTACATTAGAGGCATGAAAAAGGAAGCAACACTAAAACCACATAACCCCTGAACTTGTTCTTAAAGTAAATGTTTACCTGATTCAGAGAATTCTTCGAGGTTTCATACTCTGCTGCTACAAAAGCGAACACCTGCAAAATGTTTTCATTTGTGTTGGTTTTATGTACATCCGAGTATCCGACCATACAAAAAGAAGTATCCAACAAGACAGTATGATATAGGAAAGACCTCAGGTTATAAGCATTGGTGTATTTTCAGATGCTATACCTGCTTTGTGTTCCAAGTATATAGCGACTGCAAGTCCGCTGTTATGTTCAGTGTCAAGCTGACCTGAAAACACGTGAAATGCTGAAAAGTTAGAATATATGCAAAGCAACCTGATGACTCGATAAAGAAGATAAAACTACTAGTGTATCACATCTGGTGTTATATTAATCAACTTCGACAGTATTGAGTTCAATAATATGACTTTCAACAGTAGGCTAATGTCAAATCTTTTACATTCTACTACAATGTTCAAAGAAACAATCCTATGACTGAACCCCCAAGGCCATCAGATTCAAGAACACACAAAGAATACTAAGCTTAAGATGAAAAAAAGCATCGAACATAACACAGAACAATGGGTACACTCAACCATATATAGGGAGCTCAAACCAAGAAATTAAGAAATTCACAGACACATCCGATGAAGTAACAAAACATAAGTATAAGACCATGAAACCTTACCTCGTCATTTCCATGGGGTTGCTTCTGAAACCAATTAATATTCAATATCTGCACACAACAGCACAAACAGTCTGAGCACAACCATCAACCAAAATAAAAAAATTCAGACTTCTCAAAACCCAGAGAACAAATTTTGCAGAATTCTCCTTATATTCCCCCAAGAAAAAGCTCAAACCTTTACAGGTTTCCCACCACAAACGTCAGAATCCAACAAAATTAGGGATCTAAACAACTTAATCCCATCACAGAATAAAGCATGAACGTATAGATCGAGGATACACTAAGAGATCTCTGGATTAAAACAAAGGCATACCTGGATCTGAGCAGAGGGAGTTTGTTTACTGAAGTTATCAGAGAAAGACGCAATCGCGCAAATGAAGGCAAGTATCGTGACAGCGAATGTGAGCAGAGCATTCGCTCTGTAACCAAAAGAATGCATCCTCTTAAAAAGTTCACTCGTCTACTGGTTTTTTCCGTTCACCGGAAGTTCGTCTCGAAACCTTTCTCCGCGCGGAGGATGAAAACGTTTTTTTTGTTCCTTGTCTTTTTTTAGAAATCTTTTATTCTTTAATATTTTTATTTATTTCCTTGACTTGACTGATATCGTCGCTGTAATGTGATTGGCCAAGCCACGTAGAGCACTAATGTGCTATATAACCGGCATTCTGGTTTACAGTATCATCGGTTCAGAAAATGGTTGATCGGTTATGTCTCTGATTTAGTACTAAAAAAAAAAATTGTTCGATAAATATGTTGATTCGGTTATGTCTATGTGTTATTATGTCTCAGATCAAAAGTTTGCTTGGAGACAATTGAAGATGCTGAGGAAGAAATAAAAACAAACAAACAATATATGTAGCATCGTCTTGTTTTGTCACCTGATCATGTAATAAATATAGGCAACAACGGTTTTTGTATGTTTATGTTTGTGTTTGCGTTTACGTTTGTGTATGTTTTGATGATTAATTTAGTTTTAGGATTATCGGATACTCAAGGCACCTTCCTTTGAGCCAAACGTTATCACGACTTTTGGTAGTTTACTACATATTATCTCTTCTAGAACAAAATTTGACTAATGGCAACTATTCAAATTGTTGAACAAGTAAACTTTGGATTTCGTATAAAGGCGACCTGGTCGTTGTCCAACTTTTATTTTTTTTTGTCAACAGTCGTGGTCTGTCTAGATGATATTCATTAGGAATGAAGTTGCCATGTTCTTATATTTTATAACTTGGAAATTGGAATGTATATGATTCCAAGTTACTGTACCTCCAAAGTTCAAATGATTTAATTGTCGGAACAGTGTGAGGATAAGATTACCTGAAGTGTGATACATGTATGTTTGAATTCATACAATATATTATTCATGGAGTATGTTTCTATTATATTGAATTCATATATTAGTACAATTTTCTATATTTATATGCACCTACAATACTTTAGGAAAAGGTTTAAGCAATCATTGCTAACAACTTTTTTAATTATGGTTTATTGTAGAGAACAAACTTATTATATAAATGATCAACCCAATATCACTCTATTGTCTGTACTTTGTTTGACATGTCATGATAGATCTTTGAAGGAAAACATAAAAACAAATAATACAATCTCCGTGCCCAAGGGATTGACATTTTAGTATTTTACAAAAAAAAGGAAAGAAAATCAAAGAATTGCCAAAAACCTATTGTGTGTTTATGAACAATGCACAAAACACCCAAAAAATTCGAAAAACGAGGTAAAGTAGTTCTGAATCATCTGATAGAACAAGAGAGAAGCCAACTAAACCGGTAATCTAACGGAACCGCTAGCTAAACCAACTGTACCGGTATGTTGAACTTGAGCCGACGATGTTCCTTCACCGTCCTTGTTAACTCCAACTCTCGGCGAAGGAACCGGCGTATTCCTCCACAGAAACGATGGGTTTCTAAGAAAATTCCACCGGTCTGATCGTACCGAGTCACCGGTCGGGCTTGTCGCTGTATTAGCTCTAACGCTACCGGTACCACCTAGCCTAATCGAACCATCGTCCCGGCTCCGCCACATAAACGACGGTGTTTTGCGGAACAACCACCGGTCCGATCGAGCCCTTGACCGCTCAACCGGTTTGTGACTCCTCGAGCTTCCTCCTCTCGGTAGAACCAAAAGACTATTTGACCGGTTCATCTTCCAACTCGTCATTATCTTCTTCCGTAAATCTTCCGGTAATTTGAGCGTAAACCGCTCGGTACATTCTCCAGGTAATACGACCGAATGCCCCGTCGTGTGCGACCTCGAGAATTTCACACGGTCGACACTCCCACCGAGTTCCACCGCCGGTTCGGCGATCACCGGTTGCTGCGCCTCGATATCCGTTTCGGTTACTATAATCGGCTCGACCGATTCAGCCGGCTGCTGATGTTCGGCGAGATTCGTACGGCAAACGGGACAAGTCACGTGACCGGCGAGCCACGCGCCGATGCAGTGCGGGTGAAACACGTGGTCGCATTTAGGTAGCAAACGCAGCGTTTCGTCGTCCTCGAACTCGTTCAGGCAAATCGCACACTCCAACGCACCTTTCCCGATCTTCTGCGTCTTCACTTCCGAGTACACGAAAGTCGGAAACGTCTCGATCATCGATGCGTCTAGACCACGCGCCACCGCCGTGTTCGTCACTCTCCTCGCTCCTACCCTAGGGTTAACGCTGCCGTCGGCTGCGCCCGTACAGTGGCGGATGTAGACTGTGAAGAAGCCCATGAAGAAGAGAGCGGCGATCACGACCACAACGACAACAGCCATGACGGGACTTAGCCTGCCGCCGTAACCATAAGGATCGTTTATCCGGTCCGGTTGATTCGACTGAGCCGCCGCTAGCTCCGACCTGGATAAAACTAGAAACAAGAAAACAGCTGCTAAAGCGGTTTGTTTTCTGGTCAACTGGAAAACCGGTAAACCGGCGAGAAGATTAGTGTGATGGGAGCTCTTCATGCTACTGGAAACCCAAAAGCACAAGTTAAGTTCCTTTTTCTAAAAAGTTGAAATTGGTTATATTCTCAAATGAGAGAAGAAGAAGCTGAAGTTTATAGGAGATATTTGAAAATCGGAAGTCCTGGAGAAGAAGAGAGGAGGAAGGACTCGAGAGGGTGGTGGGGCCAGTTAGGGGATATGTCATCAGCAAATGTGTCACTTAGACTTAGAGAATTTTCCAATTGAGGTGGCAGTGAAAGTCACATAATATATAGTTCGGTGACTCTTGAAGAGGTTGACAATTGACATGGTCCTATGAAAGGAATCTTTTTCTCTTCTTTTTTTTTGTTCTAATGGTTATTTTTCATATTCTTTTACCCTTTCTTATATTAGATCTCTTATAAATTTTTCATTTTACTTGAATCCTTATTAGAGGTTTTTTACTAATATTTTAAACTATTAACTAAATTTGCTTAACATAAAAAAGCTTTTAAAGTAGATTATAAGTTGCATTTTATTTTGTTGCAGATTACATCTGCATTGAAAAAAGTTTAGGTACAAAGAAATTACAGTATTCACTTATCACCAAGAACTATCAGTTCTTTAGCTACTTTAACGACTTTTCTTATGTCTGTTTATATCTACTAAACTATCTGAATTTGTAAACAAACTTCTTACATCCTCTTTGTCAAATATCACCAAATGACAGTTATAGCAAAAGAAAAGAAAGAATCAAGTTTTTACCAAACTTTCAAAATAGCTTTATCTTTAATAGTCTTAGCCATCATCGTAGGTCCTACTTCTATGATAATTCATTCCTTCTAGAAAGCTCTTAGCCGTCATAGCTTCATAGATCACTAACTCAAATGTGTTTTTACTTTTTCGTTATAGTTTTTTTATGACCTCTTTCAAATCAGTAAAAAACTAATGTTTGCAACATTAATAAATTTTAAAAGAATCTGCTGTATTTGTAAATTATGTAAAATCTTTGAATTTCTCTTTACCTTTTCTTTGTTTTATACCAAAAAGAGCTAATCATTTTAAGCTTACTTGGAATATTCAAAGGCAAATAGTATTGTTATTATGGTTTTATTCATTGGTCAAACATTATCATTCTTGTGAAGAAGAAAAAAAAATCAAACAAGGAGAGGCTGACTTGACTTGGTCGGGATGACTGTTATTACATTGACCCACAGCACGAGCTAAAGACATCACGCACTTTCTATTCGCAAAGTGAAAACAACACATCGTTTTCTATGGACTTGTTGCATATACCCACCGATCTTCGCCTCCCATATAAAACTACGTGCCGTTTGTTCCTATGCCATGTTTCATTACTGCAGCAACTAGCAAGGCAAGAATCAAAAGCCTTTTGAGTTTTGACTACAGATGTAAAACATAATGAAAACCAATGATAAATCATGCGATTTTTTTTTTTTTTTTTAAAGGGCTCCTTTTGTTCAACGTTATGGTAAGCGTCTGAAACCAATGGATCCGATTAAAGTTCAAGGCTTTTTCTCCTCCTCTGCATTTAGCTTAAGCATGTGATTCATGACAGAGAATCTAGATGTTAACACATTTAGAAGTTACCTTTTAGTGTTGTACGATCAAACACATGGTTCAAGCCTTCAAGGTTCTTGGTAAGTAGGTATTGGGACGCCCGAGTCATCCGTTAGTTTCTTGTAAGCACTTTGCAGTCTTCTTGTTACCGGTCCTACTTTTCCTTCACCGATCACACGCCCATCAATTTTCACAACCTGAACGTAAAGTGTTCTACAGTTTTTCATATTTATCTCAAGAAGGAATTCAATTTACTCAAAACATTGAGTTTTTTTTCCATGACTGTAGTAAAGTAGAGACTGTGTATGTACCGGGCTGAGTTCTCCCATAGTTCCTGTAGTCCATACCTGGAAAATTTTGATATGAATGAGAGAATAGATAGTTATTAATCATTTGAGATTCTAAGATAAAGTAAAGATGAGGAAACCTCATCAGCTGTATGGAATTCGGACAAGCTGATGTTTCGTTCTTCTAAGAGGAAATTCTCTTTCACCACCAATTCCATGACCTAGAAATTGATAGGATGATAAGATTGGTTATGCTATAGTCACTGAGAAATGTTAGAAGACCGAATGTAAATCGTCTTCTCCTCTTACAGTAGCTCGGGTAATGCCAGGGAGACAGTAATCTGCGTGAGGAGTGAAAACTCGGCCTTTCTTCACCATAAACTGCACCAACAGAGTTCCTCCACACCATTTTAGTTTTTTAGAAGCTACACAGAGATTCAGTACGCTTCTCTGGAGAGTAAAATGTTCAATCCGGGAGTCTCGAGGATCTTACAATATTGGTTGCATTGGTTTCAGACACGAATCCATCCTTGTCAAGCATGATTGCATCATCCGCATTGGCGTTGTTGCTTTCAATCTGTGTCATCATCACAGAAACAAACATCTTAAACAAAATGATATCCTAAAAACACATGATCATGGATTCAACTTGATGCCGAGCAAAAGATGGAACCTTTGCAAGTATGTTATTGAGGAGGTTGTTATGATGAATCTTGGAATCTAAATTCTGAAGAAAAGCAAAAGAAGAAGAGAATAAACAACAATGGACAATAACACTTTTGGGAAAATGTGTTTCTCAACTAAATAGAGGAAGGAGCAATGGGGACCAAATTTCTACATTGGGTGAATTGCGGCGTGTAGTTGCAGTAACCAGCACAATACCACCATCGTTGTCGTAGACCGGAGGCTTCCATTCGGCAAGCACTACATTATTATGAAAAATTAATAATACTAGAAAATTTTCAATGCAGGGACCATATTCACAGACATTAGTTGTACGCTTTCAAGAGAAACTTTACCGATCAAAGTACATCCATAACGGTTAAATGCAGGGCTCATTCCAGAAGTGACCTTAGAAGAAACAAAATCATAGCTTGTTTCGGTTTAAAATGGTTGAAATGAAAACATAAAGCCTTCTTGCAAAACATTAATACCTTTTTGCCTCGAGTTAGAGACAGTCTTATATGTGTATTGTCAAACATTCCATTGGTTATGAGAGTTCTGAAGATGGCTTCTTTTACCTGTGCATTTTCCGATTTGATATAGCTTCATTCTAACCCCAAAAATTCAATACAATAGTTTTGTCTTAATCAAAACTCAAAAGCTTACCTCCTCCCGGGTTGGGACATTGTCGAAAGCAAGAGCCTTTGCTGAATCAAACAGCCTAATGTAACATTTAAACATCTATATAAGAATTAGTGCTTCACATAAGTTCTTGGGTTTTTATTCTGTTACTTGCTTCTTACCGGTCTAGATGTTCTTCAAGCTTGAATACTTTCCCTTTGTATATTCGAAGACCTTCCCATGCAGAGTCGCCGCCTTGCACGACCGAGTCAAAAACAGAAACCTTAAAACAAGAATAAAGAAATACAACATGAGATTCTTAAAGCAGAAACATAAACAAGCAGCAAATAACAAGCAGAGATCATCCATGTATGGTTCAAGCACCTTCGCCATCTCACGTGGCACAATCTCATCACCAACCCAAGCAAAAAGTTTAGCATTTTCAGGAACTGGAAGACTGGGAGGAGTTAAGGTGCTGGTCAAGAGAGACGACTTGTGCTTCACTTGGCGCCTGAGAATGTTGTATAGTGGTAAACACTGCTCCAGCAAATCGTAATGCCTCAAAGGGAATGTCTGTAAACAACACAAAACACAACGTAGTTTGAATGATGTTTTGAGTTGCACAATCTTTAATTTCGGTAAACCCGGGCCCGTACATGAGGATATTTCCTCGGAGGCGAAAACCCCGTTGATTTGTGAAGAGTCTTGTACCACCATGAAGCCCATAGACCGTCTTCTGGTATAGGACCTGCCTCCCATCTTTAAGAAAACAACAACAATGAGTTTTTTCCGTTTATGGTCAAGTACAAGAGAAATTGCTAAAGAGTCTTACTTAAGCATAGAGGCTTGGAATGGGATCTCCAAGTCATTGCAAAGACCACGTAATGTAGCCTGAAAATAGATGAATGATACAGAAATTAAGCATCTTCTTGCCTAAGAGAATTGAGTTTCTTGTCAAGTTTTCATAATACAGCAAATGAAACCTCTGGATCTCGCTGAAGCTCATCTGCATCGATGATTGCTGGTGGTGTTCCCATATGACAGAGATCACTGTATATCGAAACTAACTCACCCAGTCCCAATTCGAGAAACGACAAAGGGTGTATCTTCTCAAAGGAAGGCTGCAAGAAAACAAAGACAAACATTAACCACGAGAAGAAACATCTCATACCTGAAAGGATCAGACGAATACCGTCAAGACAAACCAACTCAGAAGAATCTCCAAGAAAACACAAGACCAGAAGTGAGCTTGATAAGCTTACCAATATGTTAAGCGGGTTGCGTATCAATATAAAGTGCTTTCCTTTACTCATTAGTTCACTTGGCAAACCAAGAAGTCGCTGTTTCGATATATGCTGTGCATAGAACGGGAAAGAAAGTCAGAAAAACAATAAGAATCACCATTTTAATCCCAAACGAAATTGAAGTCTCTAAATCAGAAAGAGAAGTGAGTATAACCTTACAAAACCTATACTTCTTCTTTCCTGGACCATAAATAATGTCCTTCACCACCTTTTCCCCATCACACTCCTATCAAAGAAAATGCTACGATTATATTACTTTCTCCTCAACGAAATACCTCGAGACCTAAATCGATTACTGTGAATTGACATACCATCTTAGAGAGGAGCTCAGCTCTGTATGGCCTATCAGCACCCGTAGCCTTAAGGAACGCAGCGTATAATGGCTCGTCGAGTACTTCAGTGTCATCTCTCTAAGTGATTTTAAACCAAAGGATCTTTCAAGTCAAAACTTAGTTCAAATGCTATGAATTTTATTCAGAACTTTTCAACACTAGGGACCCATAAAAAAAAAAAACTTGATCCTTTTTCATTTTCCCTGTCACTCCACAGATAAGAAAAGCAATCGAAATCGAAGAGTCTGTTTTTTTTTCATCTTCACGAGAGAAACCAAAAATTATAACTGCAAGGGATACTCAAAATCTGTAGCTTTTGTTTTGTGTTCCACTTCTTTTCCGGAGAAATCTCAGCGTAAAGTAAGAAGAGAAGTACCTGGGCAAATGAGTACATGAGAGTGGTGCTGAGTGATCTCGGAGCAGACCATGCGTGAATCACCTCCATTAAACACTATCGCTTTGAAATCAAAGAGACACTTCGCTCTTTGATCACTCCACTTAACTTCAAGTCAATTATTTGCCTTTGTCCGTGTTTCTGTTTATATATTAACAAGAACCAGACCAGAGAATCTGTTTATCACTTTTGGGAAAGCTTAGAAATGTCCGAAAAGTTTACCCGATTTGACCGATAGATTATTAAGTTTAAGATGTTTTTTTCGATTAGTTTAGTATTCACAAGTATCTTATCTTATCTCTTGCCACATCGAATTTGATGAATGATAATGTAATGAAATAAGGCTTCTCTCCAAATAATAATTTAAATCGACAATGAGATCAGATCAGTGTCACAGAACAGAAGCAAGAGAGTACATGGGTTCCTACAACAACAACAAAAATACAAAACAGCTCAATAACTAAATGTAGAAGATCACAAGGATGATAACATTTCCTTAGATCAAAACTCTGCAAATGAGCTGTAGATGCGTTTATAGCGGTCACCACTAGCGTTTTAGAGATAAGTTTAGCGGTTGTTTTGTGAAGCCTTAATTTGATCTGCAACCACGTGAAACGCTCACCGCAGTTTCAACCACCAAGCAACTTGGAAAAAGCTTCGATGGATAGCGCAAGAATCTTTAATTTCAACTGTAAAGAAACTAAACTGCTGATGATAGAAACACATTATCTGGAGGTTATGGAGAAGAGCCGGACGCTTGAGCGGTCATACGAATGCATATAGGGTAAAAGCTTGAACCGAAGGCTAAGTTCTGCAGTTACATCTGTGAGAGAAAGGTCCATTTGATCCACAAGCCTCAAGAACGCATTGAAAGTGTCTGCATTGCGGATCACAGATGCGATATAAGCCACCACGGGGCTGCGACCTTGCTGTGCCGTGTCTCTGTCTCCGGTCTCTATCGAGCCATTCTCTCTTTTGGCTGGTCTCCTTAAAAGAGCTACTAGAACCCGAAGCAGATGAGGCAGACATGAAGGATCATAGATTACATCTGCGCCTACACTGAAAAAGAACAAAAGTAATTAGTGACATGACATAAGCAACATTCTAATACACCAAAAGACTCCTGGTTTACTCACATGACGTCTGGACGATATTCGCTCAGTTCACTTTCCGATGCAGTTTCCCACGGGAGATGAATGCATTTGACTAGCTGTTAACGGAAACAGGATTGGTCTTTGAATCTGTTAAGTCTGAATCAGAAAGCATAAAGAAACTATATTTCCTACTCACTGTACTCTGAGCTTCTCCGGGTTGTTTGACCAACTCGTCATCATAGTTTAAGTGATTCCTCTCCAAATTAAGCTTCATGTTAGAAAGAGTTAAAAGATCTCCGTCTGTTAGCATCACCTGCACGAGAAATAAAAATGTGACTTGACAGTTGACACAGCTTTGTACTAATTGTATGAGAGCTTTGGTAATAACTAATAAGCAATTACGGATACCTTCTTTGCCTTTACATGTGCAAGGCAAATTCCGACCATACCAACTCCAGAACCAACCTAAACATAATAGATCAGAACGTAAACCTCATTGGTGAATAAGCTTCATGATGTAATCAATGTAGAACTTACCTCAAAACAGGATTTATTGGCGAATAAGTCTGGAAAAGACAGAACAAACTCTGACAGAAACAGACTTGATGGCCAGATGGAACACCTGCTCAAAACCCAGGATCCAAGGTCAGATGTAGAAGGAGACTCGCGCATATAAATGAATCTGTGGCAGTCAAATAATCATATAAAAAAGAGTCTTACCCGGTATCACCTTCAAGCATGTTCAATGAACATTGCAGCGGAACAACTAATTTCCTTGACCTTGGACAACTTGGATGTTCGTATAAACCTACTAATAGCAATAATCCACAGATGAGTTCGCAAACACATCTCAATAGGGAAAGATTCAATGAACGACGAGCAAAAGATACACAGCAAAGACAAGATTTCACCTTCTGGGAAAAGAAAAGAGATGAATTTGGTGATCCTTATGTTTTGTTTCACAAATGCATCTTCCTAAACACAAAACCAAACTTAACTTTATTTTTTTATTCAATTACGAAAACAGGGAAAATTCAATAACAAAAAAAGGTACACCTTAGAAGCCGCCGACATGTAAAGAGCGTACTCTTCATACACTTGATCCAATACTTCACCATGCTCCAACTCAACTTCATATATGAGTTTCTTCAGTAACTTTTTCGCGTATGATGTGTTACCATTCGCAGCCTGTACCGATCAAAGAGTTTAACATACAGTAACTTACACATTACTACTACTACTACTACTCAAGATTCATTTTTTTTTCAGAGAAAACTAATAGGGAAATCGTATTTAATTTGGCAAACACTTGAATACCAAAATCTTAGCAGTATTACGCCATAAAGCTTCCAAATTTTTTCTGGATTTTCTGATTGTCTAGTACTTTTCCGAACAGAGCAGAGCAGTAGAATTTACTTACAGCTTTTGCACAAATTTCCCAGAGAAATCTCTGGGCGCTATCAGTAATTGCTCCTCCGCTACACCCTCTACACGAAAAGGACAGTCAGAAGCAAAAAAAGCAAAAATCAAAAGCCGGAACAAATTAAACAAAGAAGCTCACGGCGGTGACGCGGAAGTGATGCTTGTGTTTTACCTCGCGAGAGAGATGACGGAGTCCACCGGCTCCATCGCGAGGAAGGCAGAGAGTACATGAAGGTACTGTGACTCCGCCTCCGCCGAGTACAATCCCGTTGAGTTCTCGCTCGCCGCCATGACTTCGCCGTGTCAAGCTCGGAGGATCACTTAAGCCATATCAAAAGCCTAGGAATTGTAATACTTTGGGCTTACTAATGGGCCTGAAATGTTTTGGCGCATAAACAGATACAAAGCTTTTGAAAATGACTAAGTGATCCTTAAAAATAACTCGAATCTCCTAAAATACCCCTTACCTTGAACTGCTTTTGTCTTCTAAGTTCACCTTCAGCTAAGTTCCGGATTTCTTCTTATCCATTACAAGCCATGAAGTCTTCTTCTATCTTCTTCCTCTCCTCATGGCCATTGTACTTCACTCCCTCTCCCTTCATCCGCCATACCCTAAACCCCAAAACCCTAATAGACCCAGGATTCTCTCTCGGCTCGAACCTTCTGCCACTCTTAAAAATCCTACCTTTAGGAGAGATGTGGTGCTTAGAACAGCATCTCTCTGCTTCGTCTCCTTCATCTTTCAAAACCCACTTCCAGAGTCTTTAGCCGATCCGTCGAACTTACCCAAACGGGGAAGACTCGGCATTGCCAACACTAAGTCCTGGTTCCAGTTCTTTGGCGATGGATTCTCTATTAGGGTTCCTCCTCAGTTTGAAGACGTCATGGAGCCTGAGGTGTGTATCTGCATCACCAATCTCTTATGAATGCTAATCATTTGAGTGTGATATCTTCTAGTCTCTTAGTCAATCTGAAATTGAACGATAAATTATGTAAAGACTGTTCGTTTGATCAAAGTTGTAGACTTCCCTTGTTTCTGGCTGAATCAGAGTTAACTTGGTGAATTTAAGGAAAATTTATGATTTTTGGTGGAAATGGTCTTTTTACATTGTTGTGTCTGATCGATCAATGAGTGAGAAAACTTCTTTAGCTGCAAAGTTGGGTCTAAATCATTGGTTGTTCTAGCCAATTTGATTTGGGGTTGAAACGTTTTTGTTACAAAAAGTTCTGTGTTCAATGACCTGTATAATCACCTAGCTACTATCTGTAACACTTTAATCAAGACTGAATTTGAAAAATCATTGATCATTGTTCTTGACATCGTGCGTTACCTCATGCTCTAGGATTACTCTGCGGGGTTGTCTCTCTATGGGGACAAGGCAAAGCCAAAGACTTTCGGCGCCCGTTTCGCATCTCCTGATGGGTATTGTTGTTGTCCCTCTTCCCTCGTAATTTGTTGGATTCAGTTTACAAGTTGCCCATTAAAAAGACTTGTAAGACAAAATCATGCGTGGATGCAGATCAGAAGTCTTGAGCGTAGTCATTCGCCCTTCAAATCAACTTAAGATCACTTTCTTAGAGGTTTGCACAACAACAAAAACATTTCCTTTTGCACGTTTTACATTTTCGCTATTTCACAAGTGTGCTCATCAAGTGCTCTTCTGATACAAATAGGCTAAAGATATATCCGAGCTGGGATCACTGAAGGAAGCTGCAAGAATCTTTGTTCCAGGTTCTCTAAAGCATATGCATTTTTGAAAATCGCTTACAACCTTGCCTTTGAACTCCTTCTATTCTTCTTACCTTATTGGTTCTGGTCGTTTCTAAATTCTTTTACCGCAAGCAGGTGCAGCAACGATTTACTCTGCTCGTACAATCAAGGTAAAAGAAGAAGAAGGTTTCAGGCAAGTCTCGTTTCGAACTGTACTCCCATCAGTACGGGAATTTATACACTTGATTGGAGAATGACCACAGGAATCTCTATTTGTGAAGTCAATGTTATTGTTATTTTTGTGTGCAGAAATTACTACCTGTACGAGTTTGGGAGAGATGAAGAACGCATTGCTCTAGTAGCCGCTGTGAACAGGGGCAGGGTCTCTGCTGCAAACTCAGATTACTCTTTTGACATTCATAGTTCCACATTCATGACTTACTGAATCATTTGTTTCTTTCTTAATCATGTAAAGGTTTTTATCGCTGGAGCAGCTGCACCGGAGTCCAAATGGAAAGAAGATGAATTGAAGCTTCGTTCTGCTGCGATTTCTCTGACGGTCCAATAATCGAGAAGCATCCTTCTTCTTCTTCTAACAGAAAAAAAAAAGAACGCTCTTTAGTCCATCCAGAAATGCAGAATCAAGAACAAACTCTGAGACTCTTTTGTCAACCATTTGCGTTTTCTGTTTTTTTTGGCCTTTGGTGATGTGATGTTCGTTATTGTATTATATAATGAACAAAAGTAATCAAAATTCTTTGAAACGCCGAAACTTCTAGCTATTTTTGCACAGAAGCGTCCTAGAACGCGATTTTGCTGCTTGTCTCATTGGCGTTTCCGTTTGTGTTCAATCAAGTGGTCTCCTATAGTTGCGGTTCGGTCAACAAAATCTGCCGTTTTTCTGCGATTGTGTTGTTGTTGTTGTTGTTGCGACTTGCTCATGTCTTTAGCCAATCGTTAGAATCGCGCGTCTGCGTTTCCGAGCTTATGACACGTTTTCAGTGTAGAAGAGAGGTACATCGAGATACGGTGCACCGCGATGTAGTGAATCTTATCCGACTTAAACCCTGTCGATCGAAGTTGAGCAGACGGAGAGAGATCCTCCTGACGGAATTTGAGATCAATGAAAGCTAGGGCTTTTCTTTGATATTTCGTCTTGGTTATCGAGAATGGCGCTCGTGAGGAGGTTTCAGACAGTTCGTTCATTGTTGCGAACAGCTGGATCAAGAGAATCTTCCCTGTCGTAAGCTGTCTCCTAACTTGATTGTTCTTCCTCTGATTGAGTTTTAGGATAATGCGTAAAATTGAACAAGCAAAACTTCTGCGTCCAATTTACATAGCTGCGCAATGATTTATAACTTAAATTAGCTGAAAAGGATTCAACTTTAGCTTCTTCATCATTTGTTTTCCAGTGTTCGGGATGGAAATGAGTTCACTTGGACTCAAATTGGAGATGATTTCAGATTCGGTAGTTACAGGAGCTCCCATTCTTCTCTTTATCACGGTGAGTTTCTCGTTTCGTGAATACAGCTCCCATTTCTCCATTGGTTTGACTGTGAATGAATGCTTTTGAGCAACTTAGTAATGTAATTGAGACATGTCCAGCTCCTGACGCTAATGGAAAAACCTTGTATTCACGCTTATACGAGAGCCGCAACGCCAACACACATTTGCTTCGATCTACAACGGTAATCATCATTGCCTGTTGTGTTTTACTGACCAACTTTTTGGTATAATCGTAGACATGATTTTCGTTGTTTCTTCTTGTGTTCCTTAGATTGCAGAGTCTGTTCCGTTTAGTTTCGACAAAAGGTCTGCTACAACGCAAGTAAAGGCTCCACCTCAGCTACAGAAAACGGTGTGTTAAGTAACTCAATTTTCAATTGCACATTCATGGATTTTTTCTTTCAAACGTCAGTTATAACCAAACAAATTGTTTACTTTGATGTCTCACATCACTCAGGGCGCCGTTAGAGTGTCGATGGTAAGTCCTGGATTTGTCTACGAACCCTATGCACTCCGGGAGAAAATCGCGTTTTGGCGGAGGTAAGTGTTTGTCATTAGACGAACTTTTGAGTTCTTCTAGAGCTGAGTTTGTAACTACTTTGTATTTTAATTGTAGATGTTTCACAAGAAGCGGTTGGCAAAGAACGAAAGAGGATTTTATACGGGAGGTTGAAACATCTTCATGCATTATCTAGACTGGAATATATATATATATCTCGAACATATATACTGATAACATTTCAAGTCTCCAAATTTCAGCTAAGAAGTGCCTACGCTATCGCAAAGCTAAGAAAGACTGGGTATTCAAAGAATAAGTTCTACATAGAGGCACTCGAGTTATACAAAGAGGTATTCTACTTGTATACTTGGTTGTGGTTGTAACAGTGAAAATTTTACAAATCATCTTGAAATATGCTAGACGTTTTTTGTTTCTTCAGATTAACATTATGATGGCCAATGGTGAGAAGAAGACAATAAGGAAAAACGTGACTGAAAGGATGTATTCTGTAAGCTTTCCAACGAATTGATTATCAGTTTTTTTTTTGTTGATAGAGAAATGTGGTCAAGTATTGTTCAATTTTGGTTTCTCTCTAATGTTAGGCACTGAAGAACGAAATTAAACAAAGAGAAGCCAGTTGGGGTAGTGTTTACTGGGAAATGGTTGAGCCGGTCATCAAGATCAAAACTTTACAAGCTCGACTGGCAAGTTCTTTGAAAAAGCTTGGTTTTTGTTTATACAATGATCATTTTATGATCCAACCAGTTACAGTTGTTGAATCTGAAGCAACAGTGGATTTTGAAGCTGACCCTTATTTATTTCATCCTTTTTGACAACTTCTCAGATCGGCATTGACAGGACGGACCTTAGCAAAGCATTCATACAACTGACACTTGAGTTTCTGACAAAGCAGGTCAGTGTAATCTTAACTCATCTGTTTGTTTCTAGTGCATTTGAAGCTCTACTGAGAACTTGAGGTTCGTTTCTATCTTCAGAAATTTGAAGCATACGATTCGAAAGGCAATGTAGTAGCTGGAGACAAGAAGAAAGAGGTAAAGACAATATAGGCATCAGGAGATTGTTTCTAGACTAGAACTAATTGGCAATATTTCAAAAATAACATTTGGCCTTGATCGATGAAAATCTGATTAAACTTACACTGGTAACCACTTTAGAAATTTAAGCATTTTTTCTTGCCTGCAAGTGAATTTATAGGTGTGTTGCTTCTGCAGATGCTTGTACGTGACATATGGGTCTTTGAGAAGTCTCTGTTCCATCCAGGAGCTTGCTGGCGACTATGTGGCCGGATTAAATTATGAGTTCTTGCAACATTCTGATTTCTGATAAAAGAGTGTCATCAATTTCCCACAAAGAATAAAATCCAACATGCCCTCTGATTTTTGATGAGTCAAAATTCTCTATACAATTGCCTTTCTTCTATTTATATTTCTCTTGCTACTGAAGCCTGAATGTTATCCTCCGATAAGATCCAAAGTGTTAGGAAAAAAATGGCACAGCATGTTTTGGGTAATCTCTTTGTAAAAACCTCATTGGAACCACTTTTTCTTGTTTTTTTTTGTAGTTTATTAACATAGACTGGTTTTGTTGCTTCTGTTGGTTTCTTTGTTCTCCTCTTCTGTAAAAGTTATTGGTGAATGCTTCATGATCAGGCAACTAGTGTAACAAAATATATAAAATGCACCTCAATTTTAACCCCATTACTTTGAAAAACTGAGTTTTATATCCCCACGTTCAATTTGTACACAGCACAGGTCCTACAGGACAAGAAGACAAGTTTCAACTACTAGCCAGCCTCACCTACCTCACCACTTCAGAATAAAAGATGTTTTAAATGTTGTCAAAACAATGGCTGGAGAACAAAAAAAACTTTGAACTTTCTTTTATTTTATAATTTACTAAGCTGATAAGTTTCACTTACTATATCAAAAATATGTTGTATTTTCTTTTTCTTATAGCTTTTTTTATATAATTTTTGCAGTCATTATACTAATTCTTTTCGTTAGGAATATTTTTAAAATGTTACGATTAAGATATACTAATTTTTATTTCGTCCGAATAAACAATTTATAGGACAGTTTGAATGAGAGATCTCAGATATTAAAAGAATTTTTCCTAATTAAGAAAAAACAAAAAAATGGTCCCTCGTAGTGTGATCTGTGTTTGACGGACCTCAACGTGATGTGATCCTCCAAAAAGGCGTAAGGTTGCAAATGGGCAGTGGCTGCTCTTCTCTCTCTTACTCTTCTTCAACTATCATTGCCACTGCGTTCTCTGTCTCTTCTCCATCCTCTTCCCTTAAACTCAATCCAAGAAGCTTCCTTTTCCAGGGCCCCAGAAATCTATCGACCCAATTGAGAAATCAGGCACCTTTGAGGTGTGGGAGATCCCTGGAGATGGAATCACAGAAACCCATGTTCGATGTCGAAAAGTTTGATGATGAGTTTGTTCAGAAGCTGGTTTATGATGCTCTCGTTTGGTCCTCCCTTCACGGACTTGTCGTCGGTGACAAAGCTTATCAGGTTCGTTGCGCCACTAAAGCTCCTCTCTTTTGATGTTCCAATAATACGAAAGCGAGTCATTTGTTTAGCCTGATCATACTCATCGCCATACTTGATGATCTGTACCAAGCTAATATCACATGTTAATGGATGATTAGTAGAAGAATGAATGAATGAATATGTTTGTTTTTTTCTCCCAATGGTTTTGATGAGAATTTTGATTACAGAAATCAGGAAAAGTTCCAGGGGTTGGGATGATGCACGCCCCAATTGCATTGCTTCCGACGCCATTCCCAGAAGTTTACTGGAAGCAAGCTTGTGAAGTTGCTCCGATCTTCAATGAATTGGTTGATCGTGTGAGCTTGGATGGGAAGTTCATACAGGATAGTCTCTCCAGGTTAGCTAATCTAAAAGCCTCTTATCTATCTGTTTTGCGTTAAGTAGCTGTGTCGCGAATCTCGTCTAAGAACAAACATGCCCTTTGATTGATTATCCATGTTGTAGGACGAAGAAAGTTGACATCTTTACATCTAGACTTCTCGACATTCACTCCAAGATGCTAGAAAGCAACAAGACAGAGGTCTTTTACATCATCTCTGGTTTCATTGTTAATCTTCATTCTTTGGTAACAATGTTCTGGATTTCATTCATTTGGCTGTGTTTGTTGTGTTCACAGGACATACGTTTGGGATTACACCGGTCAGATTATATGCTTGACGAAGAAACAAAATCACTTCTTCAAATAGAGATGAACACTATCTCGTCTTCGTTTTCAGGCCTTGGTCGTCTCGTTGGCGAGCTACACCAGTACGCGCAGCCATACACCATCTTCTGAACAATCTGTTTTTTTGCTTTTGGAATTTCACAGAGACTTTTTAGCTAAAAAATGGTTTTCATTGGTTTTTTATAAAAATATACTTCCTGTGTTTGCAGGTCATTGCTTCGATCTTATGGGGATCATCTTGGGCTAGACTCTGAACGTGTACCCAAAAATTCATCCACGATCCAATTTGCTGATGCGATGGCTAAAGCTTGGTTGGAGTACAATAACCCAAGGTTAGCCTTAGCCAAAGAACTTGACTGTGATAAAAATACTTGAAATCAAGAACAAATGAACTAGTTTTCAAAGGTTCCAATATGTTTAAAGATGGCATTTTTCTTTGTTTCAGAGCGGTTGTCTTGGTTGTTGTGCAGCCGGAAGAACGCAACATGTACGATCAACATTGGCAAAGCAGTGTTTTGAGAGAAAAATATCCTCTTTTATCTTGTTTCTCTGGTTGTCAGGGATCAATCTCGACTTTTTTATCCTAATTTCGTACAAAAAAATGTTGGTGTTTCTTCCTTAGCTTCGAAACACGCACAATATTGTAACCATCAGGAAGACTCTAGCAGAAGTCGAAAATGAAGGGCGTGTACAAGAAGACGGAACCCTTATTGTGTAAGTAATTTATAAAGCATTTGCACGTTGTTCTTATAAACCTCTGTTAAGAGTTTGTGTTGTTGCAGTGGAGGCCAAGCAGTCGCAGTGGTTTATTTCAGATCAGGCTATTCACCCACTGATTATCCGTCTGAATCAGTAAGTAAACCATCTTCTTTCCCATACTGTGGCTTTGATTCTTTGAGAGTGTTTCTGAATGATAGTGTGATTTGAAGGAATGGAATGCAAGGTTGCTTATAGAGCAGTCCTCAGCAGTCAAATGCCCGTCTATAGCTTATCATTTAACTGGCACCAAGAAAATCCAGCAAGAACTCGCAAAACCAGGTGTTCTCGAGAGGTTTCTTGACAACGAAGAGGACATTGCTAAGCTGAGGAAATGCTTTGCTGGTCTTTGGAGCTTGGACGATCCAGAGATCATCAAGAAAGCAATCGAAAAACCCGAGTTGTTCGTTATGAAGCCTCAGAGAGAAGGCGGAGGTTAGAACCCTATCCGAGTCCCCCCGAGTCTTCTACTTTTCTCGTCACATTCTAATGGTATCTTGTTGGATTCTTACAGGAAACAACATCTATGGAGATGATGTAAGGGAAAATCTTCTGAGGTTGCAGAAAGATGGAGAGGAAGAAAACGCTGCGTATATCCTAATGCAGAGGATATTCCCAAAGGTCTCAAACATGTTCTTGGTGCGAGAAGGCGTTTACCATAAAGATCAAGCTATATCAGAACTGGGGATCTATGGTGCTTACCTCAGGTACATACAGTAGTAGGAACAAGAAGAGTTTGGCATGCTTAATTCAGTCTCTTCTTAATCTGTGGCATAATCTTTTTTGATCAAATGAAACGTGTAGGAACAAGGAGAGAGTTATAATAAACGAGCAGAGCGGTTATCTGATGCGCACAAAGGTCTCGTCATCAAATGAAGGTGGTGTTGCGGCTGGTTTTGCCGTCTTGGACAGCATTTATTTGAACTGAGATGGATCACATTCACAATCATCCTGATTCAAGTTTTTTTTTTCTGGTTTGTTACTTTTTGTTCTTCTTCTTGCTTGCTAAAGATTTGTGTACTAATTCATGAAGATCCCATCTATGTAAGACCAAACAAATCTCTTTACAATTCTTTCCACAAAACATAAATGCTTCTTCAGTTCTTTCTAGGCCGTGTGAGGGTCATGAAATGGACAAGTCGATATTTACAATATGAATGTGCGTAGATTTTGGTAATATGAATGTACGTAAATTTTAGTAAATACCATGATACATAAAATAACCAACGTATATAATTCGTTTTTCACAGTTTCTTCATAGTGGTGGTTAGAACATACGATATATATACAATGGTGCATATATATTTTACGCAGGAATATTACCAATACCCGTGAACCTGATGCCTCTCCGTTTTGAGGGAAAGATAGCTATTAAGAAGCTCGCCACTGCCCCCACCATAACCCCAAAATACCTAATCAAAATTACCATAATACTACCCCAGTTGTCGCCGTCGTTCTCCGGTAGCAAGCACCTCCGAAAATCCGAACTCTCTACGGCTAACGCCAAGAACACGACCACCGACACGAGAGCATGCACGAAATCCACAAAACTCAGCTTGTATCTCCGTTTCTTGTCGCTCGTTAACCCGGATTCCGGATCATAACCATCGTCCGGACAGTCGTTGAGGATGTAAAGACCGTTCGCGGTGGCGACTCCGTAGTAAATGCGGCCGTCTTCTCCTTCGAAAGAGTCAGTGAAGGAGGAGAAGAAGCAAGTGGCGGCGCAAAAGGAGATGAGGGAAATGGTGAGGAGTTTGTTGGCGGGTTTATCGGTGCACGCGCCTCCATTGGAGAAAGACGGGATTAGGGTTTCGAACATGAGGGCAGTTCCGGTCGGCAAGAGTTTGGCGAAGTTTCCGGCGGCCGGAAGAGATCTAGTGAACGCCGCCTCCATTTTCTACTTTTGGTCGGGAGAGGGAAAAACGTTTTTGTATATTATATGGAGAAAGGAGTGTCTTGTATGTCCTTCTCTACGTAATGCATGCGTGGGAGACACGTTTGATGCGTCCTTATTAACATTTCTTCGAGGAATCGAGTTTTGTTTGGTATCCCAAAATGTAATCGAGTTTTGTTTTGAAAGCATAAAATCGTCACAAAGAAACGTTCGCATGTTTAATTTTGATTAATCAAACTGCCTGAAAAGAAAAGAATGTATGTAAGAAGAATAAAACGTACCAATTGGACAATGTGCATGTTCTATGAAATTGAGTCCAGTAAGCTATATATCTTGCACAGTTGTACCTAACCTAACTTCTTTCGGTGACTAGGTCTTGGAAAATATATCAAATTTACTAAAGGGATTTGTAAGTGGATCTCAGATTAAAATTAATTAAGTAGTTATACAAGATTGAGAAAACAAACATCCCTAAATAGAACCTTTGTGGTTGTGCAAAAGATTCTTCTTACATAGATTCTAAACTACACTTGAAGCTCTGGCCCAAAAGAAAAGAAGGAAAACTACTACTACATGCCAAGCTGATCTAAAATCGGATTCAGCAGCCCAATTTACTTAACCAAATAAAAACCAGTTGAAATTACCGGGTGGGCTTTATCTTCTTCCTTTTTCACTAAAAGAATGTCCAATAAAACAATATATACTTTTTTTTTTTGTCGGCATAAAACAATATATACTAATGTCCAATAAAACACTCTTTCTCTAAACACATAAATTTATTATAGACGTTTATTTATAAAATGAATTAATTCTCTTGACAAGCTTGCATCGATCGTCTACAAGAAAGTGCATTTTTATTAGAAATCGAATCCCAGATAAAAGACAGTAAATCTCTAAGCACTGTACTAAAAAAGTTTCTACACCACACGTAACCCTTCTTTATGTCACTGATTCACTGAAGGCAGCGTTTATTTTATATCCTAATGGTGGACAAGGAAAACAGCACAATATAATAAATATATTTGATTATATATACAAGAAACAGAATATTATTGAACAAAACGTGGTACCTTATCCATACCATGTCAAGCAATCCTGATCGTAAATGTACTTCTCATGATTCACAATAATTAATTATTACTATTATTATTTTATTGTCCATTGGCACGAAATAAGTGAACCCTAACTTTTTGGCGTGAAGCCAATTAATTTATGGAAAACAAAGTGGGGACAATATTCAGAACGTGTGTATCGACAGAAAATTACCACTGGTCAATTTGTAACGTACGTCTTTAGCGTATGTGAAAGTGATAACTTGTATATAATCTCTAGAACTGCAACAACAAGGATAAAAAAAACTAAGAAAGGCGTCCAAAATTAGAAAACATTGAAGCTGTTCCATCAGTTAGGTTTTGATCGGCGTGACGGGTTGTGAAAGTGACTACCCTAATTTAAAAGACTAATTGTTTTCGTGTTATCGTGTGCATTGTTCTGTGCCAGACACTTTCACAACCCGTGGACATGAGGGTATCTCAAGATCGTATGATTTTTCGTGTGACCGCCACAAATATATAGGGCAAGTTAAAATTTTGTATAAATTTCTTCTTGATTTCAGCCTGATATCTACGGCCAATGATCATAATTCATGTCGCCACTTACCAAAGTATTCTAGTTTCGACGAACTTCTATGTCTTGAGTCTTGACTATAAGTGGCTTAATTAATGGCTTTATATTTGGTATTCAACTATCATGAACTGCCAATGAAGTACCCAAAGTGTAAATTGGACCCCTTAAATTTAAAAATAAAAATAAAATATATTAGAGCTTTTTGCTACTGTTTGATTACCATGAGTGGGCTCGGTCTTGCTTAATGCATGGTTGGAAACAACTTGAGATTCGAATGCAGTGCACGAGACTGGTTCAATGGATGATGGCACTACTGTTCGATGTCTTGACTCAGTATCTTCATCACAAACAAAAAATTGTAACCTAAATGTGTAAGCACACGAGCTTCATTCTCTAGGCCTTTTTGAATTCAGATCCAAAACAATGTTTCACATGTTAATATTACTGTCTTTACAATGTGGGTCTCCCTAAATGCTAAAAGCATTGCAGGATCCAATAAGCAGTAAATAGTAGGGACTACTAGGCAGTAGGCAGTAGGAGCGGGGCACGGGGCATTAACACGTGATTAGTTACAATATACTATTTGATTATTATTCTTGGCCAACATTTTTAATGCGAGACCAGGACTGCTCAATCAGTTCCATGACGTGAATCTCCTTTTTACTGTTTGTTAGTATAGGATATGTGTTCAGAAAGGGATTTCTTTTACATGAAAATCATATTCTCTGGTTGTTAAAGGCTTCAACTGTTTTCTCTAGGAAATGCTAGGCTTAATTATTAACTTTGATGTCGATACACAACAATTAGGAAAAAATGATGGATGTTTAGGATGCAGTTTCATGAAACAGAAAATGATGGGTTTAACATCCTTAAGTTTTACTCCCTCTGTTTATAAATGATGGATATATTAACTAAAAAAAAATATGACTTTCCTAACTTTTTTTCAATTAACTAGCATTACTTAAGTTTTTATTTTAATCATAAATGGCATAAGGGTAAATTAAATAAACAACAATAACAACTCAGAAAACTGAAAACATCTAATTTTTGAAACAATTTTTTTTTTCCAAAACATCTATTATTCAAAAACTGAGGGAATACTTTATTATATAAAATTAAATTACTATTTTTATATATCTTGATCTTGAAAATAGACACTGTTGTTGATAGATCTTGCAAGCATTATTGGTTGGCTCTACATTGCTTTCGCAAAGGTTTATAATACTCAAATTAAAAAATATATAGATTACAAGCAGCACTCAAATTATATTGTTTTATATTCACTTTTATGTTGAATTTTTCAAATTGATATCCATTATCCAACTCTTCATAATTGGAGTTAAATTCTACTTTAGTATATTAAACGTTACCTTTGTCTCAATTTCTGATGTACGATTTATATAATATCCTAACAATCATTTCTTTAAATCAAAAACCACACAAATTCTTTGCTTCTTCTGCAATGAAATAAAACATTTATCCACGTACAATGTAACCATCAGCAGAACTCTTTACCTAATTTCCCGCACAGTTAGAAAAACTTTCGACATAAAACACTAACATCATTTAATCGCGAAATGTTAATGCTATAAAGATTTATAACAAACATGCAAATGCAACCCCACTACTCATTTCTCCAATTCCACCTTTTTAATATGTTTCAAATACCAATTGTTGTAAAATCATGTCAAAACTGCTCATTATTATATATATTCGATTTGTATGCAATGGACAAACCCGCATAAATTTGTTTTAAGCTTTCTTTTAAAAGATTTCATATTATTTAAAGTTAAATTTAACTTATATATTAAACTGTATTTATCTAAATTTCTAAATTTCCATTATAAGACTTAGATTGGTATCCTAAAATATTCGTCTACGCCCAAAATAGTAAAAAATGACCCAACATCAAGTTTTTGTTTTTTATATAAAATTCGAGATTGGGTTTTTTATTTTTTTTATTCAAGGAATAGAAAGATTAGACAAGCTGTCGTGGTCATTTCTTTTCTTTTTTTGTCAACTTGTTTCATTTATTATGACTCAAAAATGAATTATTTAATTAATTATTTATAACGTATTTGCTTATTTTTGTGAACACCATTCTTTTTTTTGCGTATCATGTATATAATTACGTAAAAATAGGGAATTTAATTAATATTCATTTTTCAGGTGGAAATTGGGTTGATATTAGTAACGCAGTCTCTAAAATTTACCAGAACTGGAGTAAGATTCTATTTTAATTATTTATTATTAAATTGTTATTCATATACCTTGCTCAGAAAACAGAAAAGCTGGTAAGCGGTTTTAATACTGATTTATGATAATGATTTTGTTTTTTGGGGGGGGTTAAATGGCCTTTGTTATAAAAGATTTTACATGGAATCCAAAAAGAACTAGCAGAGAGGGAACTAATAACCTAGACAAAGAAATTAAGAGGAAGGGAGCATAGCCTGCTCGATCATTTTTATACTATTGAAGAACAATATATTCGTCTTCACATTTTAATATGTAACTGATATCGAATGATAAGTTTTTCATCAATAGCAATCTTAGAGATAAAAATACAAATGAATATAGGCCGTGTTTACATCACGGAAACTTCATTTTTCATTATAGGAAAACTATAAAAGAGTAATTACAAAATGAAAAGAAAAAAAAAAAAGAGAGTAAACTTTGCTTTGTAGATGAGCATATCACACCGGAAACTAAATTCAATGATATTATATATGAACATATAAAGTAAATATTTCAATTCAAATGTAATTTATTTCGTCGGGCTGACGAATAAGAGAAGCTTGTATTTCTTCAAGTGATAATCCTTTCGTTTCCGGAACGAGCAACCAAATAAAAATCAGTGCTGCTCCTCCAATAGCCCCGAATATGTAAAATGTTCCTATATTGCAGTAATCGAAGTTAAACTATATCAGCTCTCTATTAAATTCACCTTATATATATATATATATATATATATTAATTGTTAAATAAGAGTAGAAAAACCATTGGATATAAAATGAAAAGAAAAAGAAAAAAAACCTTGAGTGCTCCATTCGAATAGAAAGTTGAAAGCGTAAGTGACGATGGAACTACTTGACCATGATGCTAACGTAACTAAGGTCCCTGCTGTTACTTTTATATTCATTGGAAATATCTGCACACACCAAAAACCATATATTCATATATTACTTTATTTACAATAGAAGGGGATATATACTATATTCTGCGTTCAAAATAAAAGTTTGAGATAACTTATATGTATACCTCAGACATAATTACCCAAGGGAGACCTCCAAGGCCTATTGCGTAAGCTGCAATATACAGCTGCCAAGAAAGAAAACCAACTTTGTTTTATATTACGTTTTACTTGTAAAAGAGACAAAAGTTTTATTTGGTATTAAAAAATTAAAAAAAAAAGATAGTGTGAGAGTAGAGCAAATGTCTTACCGTGACGCATATAAACGTCAATACTGGAGTTAGTTCCGTAAGCAATTGCATTTTCTGATCATACCAACAAATATACAAAAACATTGGTTTAGATTACAATAAATAAGCTTGAGCCAAAAAAAAAAAAGATTACAATACATAGCAAAATTAAATTAATAAATAAACGTAAAATAACCTGTAATGCGAAGGCGATCCCAAGAAGCATGCAAGTTATGCCCATCCCAAACGCAGACGTCTATATAAATGTCAGAATCGTCACCAATATTAAACGACTTTATCATTTATATTTATTAATAAATACATGGTTGTGTATTTAGAATAAATTAATCCAGAAAACGTGCTCACCAACAAGAGGGGCCGTCTGCCCCATCTATCGACCAGAATTAAACCAATCATGGCTTTTGGAATCTGCGTATAGCCACAAATACCATTCAATGCTAACAAGAGTACAAACAAGCGCAAATTGATTATAATTATAATCAATTATATAAATGCAAATTGATTAGTTTAAATTTCATTTTCGTTTGTTAAGAACAACAAAATGTCGATTATAACGCCAACATCACCATAGTTAAATAACACGTACTCCTTCCGTTCCAACAAAAAATATTACTCATTTTACCACTTTTTACAAAAATTAAGAAAATAAACTAAAATTCTTTTATATTTTTTGTTCATACACTAAATAATTTTTTAATTAATATATTAAATACAAAAGTTAAAACTAAATATTTATTTAAAATTATATATTAAAAATATAAAATAATAAAATAAAACTTTCATGAAATACATAAAAATAATATATTAGAATATACTTCGTTTGTTTCTAAAATAAAAATGTTTTAGAACTTTTACACATGATAAAAAAACATATCAAAATTTGATTTTAAATATTTTATTTTCTGTGATTAGCAATTTCTAATAAATTTTAACCAATAATTATTTAATAAATTTAATTTTTTTTCTTGATAACTATATTTTACTATTATTAACTAATAAAAAATACACTAAATACACAATACATTCATTTTCATGAAACAACATTTTTTCGAAAGCATCCTTTTAAAAAAAAGGAGTATTTTTTTCACAAATGTGGTATGAAATTATCAATATAGTCAAACAAAAATTTGACAAAATCAAAGGTACTGTATATATACTTACCATGAAGAGACCTAACAGTGTCGATCCAATGGCCACCGAAAACCCTTTTTTAAACAAAAACAAATTAATGAAGCAAAAATCAGAACAAAAAAAAGAGAATTAATGCTAAATATTCTAATTAATGCAAAAATAAATAACAAAATAATTAGTAGGAAAAAATAAGTATTTTAAAGAAAAACAAACAGAATCTCCTGAAATTTGGAAACTCTGTGCAAATACAAATAGACTAGTGCGCGTGTATTCATTATTATTGCTGACATTTCTTTGAATAAAAAATAATAGTAAACCTTGATTATAATTTTCTTGAATAAATAGTAAACCTTAATCTTACCAGCTTTTCTAAAAATGGTACTTGCATAATACATTACAGCCGAACTTCCTGAGAATTGTTGTATCAACATTAGCCCGACTCCTACCTGAGAGTAATAATAAAAAATTAAGTTGGATCCTTGTGCCAATAAATGTGATAATAATATAATCTGGAAATTAACTAGTTAAGTTATTTTACTGTACCACGAGAGTGTGTCTATACTTTTTCTGGAACAGATCAGAAAAACTCGACTTTGAATCATTTTCTATCATTCTGGTCATAACCTGAAACAAACACCACTCAGCTTACATTTCTTTTTTTGTCAATGAATGAATATGCATTAAAAGTATGATTAATACTAGTATACAGTAAAACTCACTTGAATCTCTGAGGATTCACGTGAAATATTAGCACGTCTCCCTCTAAGCCGAAGCAGTGAATTCTCTAGTTCTTTTTCTGTAGCAACTTTTGCCTTCAAAATTGAAATAGATTATAAGGTTCATTTAGTTCTTCTCATGGTTAGTACTTAGTACATTATGTAACGGATTATCTTAAAAGAATTTTATAAAATTAACCAACCAGCCATCTTGGGGACTCTGGTACGAAGAATAAACCGATTCCTTGAATGAAACATGGTAAAGTACCTAAACCGGGATAATGATAGACTTTGATCAGTGAATTTGTACACTCTTATAGATTATCCACAGTGATTATGGTATCATAATTTTACCTAGTAAAGCCATCGTCCTCCAATTGATGAAATTCCCAAAAAAATAAACCATGGCGACTCCAGAATTTTGAAGAAGCTAATAAATTAATCACATGAGGATTAGAAGGGTAAATACGATAAGTAGAAAGCTGGTATATGATTTGGCTTATTTTGTTTGTTTATCTTATCTTTCTCTGTTTTTTCGGTCGGCGCTTATTATTTCTTTTTTTTTCTGAAATCAAAAATATTATATGTTTTTGTTTTAAGTTTTACCTGATTTGAAAATGTAAATGTACCACGAACATGTTTTGGTGTAATTTCTGCAATGTAGACAGGTACCTGGTAGGTATACAACACGAAGTTAATTAAAAAAATGAATGCACATGTACTAAATAGATAAATTAAAACAAAATATTAGCAGTAAGTTAACAAGGTAATTACCACATAGCTAATCAAGCCGATTCCTATCCCTGACGAGATTCTTCCAAAGTTCAGCCACATCACATCCTTTTATTTTCCAGACATACATTGTAAGAAAAAAAACTATTTAATTTTTTTTATAAAAGAAATAACTATTCAGTAGTTGAGTTTATTTAAGCATAAACTATTTATGATTTTACGGCACCAACATATATGTTTGTGGTTAGAAAGTTTTGAATACCTTGGCAAAAGCAATGGATAGCCAACCAGTGATGCAGAGGATATCAGAGACCCACATTGTCTTTTAAATCATGAAAAGCAAAACAATGTAAATTGGTAGCAAATAAATATATATTTCGATTGTCAAATCCTACTAGAGTAATATTTCAAGATTATGAAAAGGTAAAACGGTAATTACCCCTCTTCTTCCTAAGATTATCGCCATTTTACCACTGAACAGCGCACCAATGGTTGCTCCTAACGTGGAGAATGAACCAAACGCTGAAAACTGAAATTAAAAAATTACATATTTTTTTTTGTAACTCAAAAAAAAAAAAAAAGTTGAGTAGATTTATTACATATTAATCCAAAGATAAATTGCAAAAAGTTGAGTAGATTTATTCTATTGGGATATTTATTAGTTACTAAATATTGGGATATTTAATATAACCTACGTACTACTTCTATATTAAGTCATATAATTATTATATTTAAAATAACTGAACATTTTAAAAGTATGAAAGAGAAATAAACGATTGAATTGGGTACTTCATAAAGCCAAAAGAGAAATGATTGATAATACTGTACAAATGTTTTTATCGTGGATTTTAATATTATATATTTATATACGTATAAATGTATATGTATAAATTTTCAATAGTATAATATTTTCGGGACTCTATTATTGGAGACGATATGCGTTTGACATCATTGATAGATATATTATATACTATTTATTTGTAGGATTCCGATAAGTCCATATATTAGGATATTATAAATATATATTGTTTTCGTAGGGTTATTCTATTTGATTATTCTACTGTAGTAAGTATGTGAGGTAATTTTACCCAAAAAAAAAAAAAAAAGTATGTGAGGTAAAAAATTGAACAGAAAAATAAAAAAGGGAGGTGAAGCACACGATATCAACTTCGCCATTTGGGATAACGACGATATATCTTTTTCTTAGTTAGAATTGATGTTTCAATTATTACAGTTTGAATGAATTAAGAAGTAAATAATACGGAGTTGGAATAGATGCGACGTGTTGTACTTATCTAATTGCACTATACATTAAGAATCGAGTATGCATATGTCAAGGGTAATTTGTGATTAGTTTAATTCAAATGTTAGATTATTGAGAAAGAAAAAAAAGGAATAAAAGAGAGAGAGACATACTTGTGCGATAGATAGACCCATGTCCTTCATAATTCCTACCTCAGCACCTGAAGTATAACCAATCTGCAAAAAAAAAAAAAAAAAAAAAAAACGATATTCTAAGAACTAAAAGAAAATCTGTGGGACGTAATTGAGAATGAGAAGGGCCTTTTAATATAATTTTTTTGTGGAAACTAAAAGGTGAAGGATGATGATACGATGGAGGAAACGAAACTCACGGCGACACCAAAGGAGAAGGAGCCACAGACGGCGACGAAAGTGCTAAGGATAACACAGGCAGTAATACGGCAGCTTGAATCGTCGTTTTGGTTTTTGAGCTGTAAAAGCCCTTCCTCTATACTTGTTTCTTCCTTCACCACCATCATAAACACATGCAGTACAGAATTTTTCCGGAGAGGTTTAGAGAGACTGAAAGATAAAGATTAGAGAGAAGGAGAGAGAATGCTCTGTTTTGTTAATGTGGGATTCCTATATAATAAGGTGGGTGTGGGTCACAGAGTCACAAGTATTATTCCTTCCTATATTACCATTTATTTTGGTTTTCTACTCTTTAAGTGTCTGGATTAGAATGCTGATGTGGACGTGAGGCCACTTTTTTTAGAAAGTTAATCAAAACTTGGAGTCAGATTTTATTCAATTATATATGTCCTACTACTAATTTACTAAAAAAAATAAAATACAGCTATTTTTTTATATATATATATTTATAATTTTATATATGATCATTCATGCGTCATCTTTGAATCTATAATATTTTCACAGGTTAACCAAGCCTAAAACCATTTTATATGGTCTTCTCTTCTCTTCTCCCAAGCTAAACTCGGAACTCAGAGCAAAGTCCCCTTTGGTAACGAACCATTTACAACGGATGCAAATACATAATCTAGCACGAGTGGACAGCACAATGCACAATTAAACTCGTAATATGCATAATCACTATAAACCAATCAGGATTTCTGCTATAAATGGACATATATATATATATTGAATAAATTTTATTTTATGTTATATCTTGTTAATTTCATATTATTCAGACTTTTATCTACATTGCAAACCATATATAGTTTGAAAGTTATTTTAGAATATTTGCAGCCAAAATATACGCTCAAAACTGTAACCAATTAGGATGGATACATATCGTATCGTTATTTGATCATTCTTCGACATCTGTTGATAATATTTGGATCCGTTCAAACATTTTAAAGAAATATTTATTTTTCAAATAAAGCAAAAAGTAAAGATTTAGCCACTCACAAATCACCATGATGACAAGAAAAATGTGCAATTCATGATTCTCTAACTACTGTAGATTTGTAGACTCTAACACGATACAATAAAAATAAATTGGAGAGATAAGTAAAAAAAAATTGTAAGAAGAAATTAATTAGTAAAAGTAAGCAAAACTTTCCCAGTCCTTTATAGTATTATATTTTCTGTTCTCCTTGTTTATAGACGGGAATGATTCTCTAACGTATATATATTTCAGATACATAACTTCCCCAGCCTTTTATTTATATAGCTAGACGACATTGTATGTTGCGTCAATTTATGCAATTTAAAGCGTGACACTAGATGAAGATATCTATAAATACTGCATGTGGCAGACGCATACATGAAGCGATATGAAACCACTCGAGCATAGGTACGATCCAACAAACATATTATCTAGCATGTGCATGTCCATATATATATATACATATATATATATATCTCCCAAAACCATGTATTCATACCCAATGAAGAGAATCCGAAATCTTTGAACGTGTTCTCTCATTCAAGCCTATGTAACTATGTAAGCCTCGAACTTAGATATCTTTCCAATCATGTAAGCACCATACTAGAGTGTCCCGAGCCTAGGAGAACACTGCATAGTCTATAGGGTTTTCCTCTAAATTTTGATTAGGCTTCATCAAAATAGTTGTTAAAAACACACATTCCGACTCCACTATTGAAACTTACAGCATCTAGAACTACGTATGAGCAGATTCGGAACCAAGCCTTAAAACTATATTCTGCTGTTTTAGATAACAAGTTTAAGAATGAGTAGAAATAAGAATATGTAATAATAATATTTGATTGGACCAAATTATCAAGGGAATAAACTGGATCAATTTCACGCAGTATACCAAAAACCATTTTGTTGTAGTCTTGTAGGTATAAACAATTAACTGCCTACTACTCATTTGAAGTTTTACTTATAAATTATTAATTTTTATTTATTACTATTTGTTTTTTACGTAGGGTACTCATGGTGTCGTGCTTTATTTGTTATTAATACTAGTAGTTATTTAATATTTAACTGTTGGATAATTTAAGGTTTGCTATATTGTTTAGATTATTCATATGTTGTTAATTATTATTATGTAGAATCTAAATACCTGTTACCATCTAGGAATGGAACTGCGTGAGGAGTTGGCCTTTCAACTCTTGAGTCGTGCTACCTAATTTAATTTCATTCATGAAAATATTTGGAGATTAATTATGAAAAAGGTCAAGGCTAACTATATAATTCGTATTTTTGTACGGTTGAGCTATGATATTAAATGCTTTTTTTTTTTGGCAACACAATTTCAAATACTTCTTATCATATTTTATCCACTAGTTGCTTCTGTCCAACTACCACCCATATACGTAAGAACAAAGGGCTAATATTGTTTTTAAATATTTGCGCTATGATGGAAAATTGTTTTTTCTATAAACAAATCTAAGCCAACGTCTTATTGACAGCAACTCGTTAGAATCCAACAGGCTACCTGACCATAAACCCATAATTAAGTGTATATAAAAATTGTTGCTTAAATTTTAGAACTTCTAACTACATTAATTAACTATTAAAACAAACAAATAGATTTGACTTTTATACCTTTACATAGTGCTATAACTTGACTTAGATACTCCTGAAGTTCCTACGTACAATCTAATCCATTTTATCTCCAATAATTGTTAGAAGCTCCTATTATAGATTTGACTTTTTGGTATATTGACAGTTTGTTTATGCACTTAAATAACGTTTCGTATCATATTAATATAGCTTGGACGAACAAATTAGCGATGCAATTGCTTAGTTAGATATGATGTTCCAAAAAAATAGTTGGACTACTACTGACTACAAATAACGACTGTATAACTCATGGTGGCAGCAGATCCAATCCTTGGTTGTACACATTTATTCAGTTTCAATCTAAATTAAAATTGTCATAGTTAAACTAATCGATGGTCTGTTCTTAGTGATGTAAATAAGATTATAATATATTTAGATTAAAACATTGCGTTTAAAGTCTATTAAATATTCTTTCCGTTTTTTTATATATAATGTTTAAAGTTTTGCATATAAATTAAGAAATTCATTATTTTTCTCTTTTTCCAAAATAAAACAGCATTTTTAAAACAATTCAACCAATAGAACAATAATATGTAAAATTATAAACAATTACTTTTTACATTAATTTTTGAAAACATCATCTAATCTCAAACAAAAAAACTTCTAAAATATTTTATAAAAAAAAAACAGAGAGTATATTATAATCAGTCTCCCTAAGGGACGAACATATATTTCCAAACCTACATGATTTATAATATAACCAGTCCATTACTAAATACTAACTCGTTGAAAAAAGTACACATGTTCTGCTAAATATTGACAAAGACTATTAACTATTTCTATATTTAATGCAATAGTTTTGAAATGGTTTATAGTATAACTATAATCATAAAGTTTGTAAATTTTTTGGGGATTAAAACCACAGATATTTGAATAGAGAGAAGTACTTTTACCAGATCAGCATTTGCGGTGACAAGGAAGCAAGGGAGTGACGTTACCGAAGAGATTTGGCTACCTCTCTCTCCGACCCACGTTTTGGTCCCCACATTAATCATTTAACTTTCTTCGAGATAAAATATCTTTTTGATGATTTTTTTAAACCTATTTATGGATCGAAATTAATTTCTGAGGACTATTTACTGGAAAAAAAAGAGAACAAGTTTTACGACTAGTTGGGAAAGTCTTCCAACGACTCTATATGATTTTTTTTCCCTAGTCGACAAACTTGCCCACCCACTAAAGTACCAACAACTTAATTAGAATTCAACGAAAGCAACTTGATTACTTTCCTGTACTTTTTTGAATGTTTTAGAGCGGTAATAATACATATGGATGTTTGATTAAAAATACATTAAACTACTCAGGTACATTGAATAATCGAGGAGTATGATATGTTCGTGACATTATAATAAGTAAGATATATGTCTTCTTTTACTCTTATCCACTTCTTGAATTGAGGCAAAACAGCTCTTTACTTACTGACCTGCAGAGGATTCATTGAATATAGACAGAAGTAAGATCCAGCATAAAAAAATGATTGGAGAAGCCAATGAGAATAATGTAAAAGACATTAATTCATCACGATTTTTTAAAGTTATCCGTGGATTTGATGTTCATCCACTAAGACACGATTTTATGCCTAAAAGTACATAAATGTTAGTATATGAATGTACGTACATATATAAACTAGTAACATACTATTCTTTTCGTTTTTAAAACAAAGAATTTTTTTGATTTTATTTTTGTTTTTAAAAAATAAATATTTTTAAGTTTTGAATGTTTTTTTTCCTAGTAAGAATTGTAAATTTTGACGAGAATTAATTGAATTTATTAAATTGCTATTAACTTAAAATTTTTACTACTTTACATCATAAAAATAATGCATTTATAATGATGTTTTTTTGGGTAGGGTAGAGAACACAAATGTCTCCCTTAATTTATTCAAACACTTACAGTACTATTACACTAGCACATGATGTTTTAATTTGTCTTCTTGTTTTTTTTAAAAAGAATTGCACCAAAAAGTCCATTTAATTTGTTTTTGTTTTATAATAAATGGTTTTTTTTTAAATAGACATATACATTGAACCTGGTCGGAAAAAAGGATTTAACAGGTACTACTGGTTAGGATTTCTACCAACAAAAAAATAGGTACCACTGGTTAGGTAAAACTTAGTAAAACACAGGTGCATTACGTCATGGAATGAATAAATATCTAATAATCCCTTTTCCAAAAAAAAAAGAATAAATATCTAATAATCCCTTTTTCAAAAAAAAAAGAAGAATAAATATCTAATAGAAAGTGATTATGCAAGAATGCTTGCCCCAACACTAACGTGTGCAAAATAGAGACGGTCACTAAAATTGACAAAAATGAAAAAAACATAGAAAGCCTGGATTTAAAATCAATATTATTACCACTATGAAACGACATTTTATGAGAAACAACGAATTTTACTACATTATACTGGTATCTTTGTTTTTAAACAACTTGAATTTGATAATGAAAATTTTGAGAAAATAGAATCCCCACTAATTTATAGC